CCTCCATATCACCTTGTACGACCGTACCTCAGCAGTATAGGCCCCCAGTATTCCACCACAAAAGCAAGCTTTGTGTTAGTGTTAGAGTCTTGAGTGTATTCTTTTATTTTGAAAACACCAATAACCTTACTCTCACTGTCTGAAAGACGTTCCCTCCTGAGATATTTCTCACAAATACCACTTATTGTCGTATATCATAGTTTATTAGAGCAATACAGCATACCCAGCTCTTCTCAGAGCCATGGACAACTATTCCGACCCAACAAACAGTGTATAAGCTTTAATTAGTTTCGAACAGCACATATTCGCAGTACTATCTCTAAGCTATAGAATCACTGCCTCTCATATTTATCACTTTGTACGACAGCACCTCAGCAGTATAGACCCCCGGCTTTCCACTCCCAAAGCATCTCTTCCGCCGATGCTAGAGTGGAAAACAAACCTTACTTCTACAATAAAATCGCCACTCTACTCTCACTGTCTTAAAGGCTTTCCACCTCGATATATCTCCGAATGGCTCCCAAAATTGACATATTTTATAGTTTATCACACCAATACAGCACTCTTAGCCTGAAGAATCCTAAAACTATCACCGCTTTCTATCTCAATACATCAGAGTTACAATCAAGCCCACAGGCACATCAGCAGGCACCTCATCAGGCGCATGGCCATGCGTATGCATACCTATATGTATAAGCATGCGCGTATATGCATGCAAAAGTTTACTTTACCCTCCTCGCACAAGCGTACCATATGACTAGACAATTTCCATGAAATAGGAGAATCTAGATAAGCCTCGAGAACTCCAGATAAGCATAGAGAATTCTTAATTGAAGACTAGACATGAAATGAATGTCTTTTTAGCTTAAAAAATATATGTCCCCCATTGTGCCTAAGGGTATGAATTGCCAAAAACGCATAGTACTTACACTATGACAATCAGCTACATGCTACTCTTTTTTATGTTCTCTGTCTATCATCCGACTTTCGTCTATCTAATGTTTGAAGAAGTACAAGCTAGCCTCACATTTCAGCATTGGATCTGAGTACGTGTGCAACCTGCTGCAATTGATCTAAGGTTGTTGCAATTCCCGGTCTCCGAGCAGCCTTCTGGGATGCTAGATAACCCGACAGCCCAGTGGTCGGCACAATTGAAGGAAGCTCTCGCAACTTTTTTGCTGTAGCCGAAAACCGAATATTATGCAAAGCAGTCTTGAGTGTATCGACATATCCCTCTAGCTCCTGGATGTCTTGCTCCGAAGGTATACCGTTAACTTGCGGTGTGCGGAAGCTGGATTCAAGCTCTATCCAGTTATGCCATGATTCAGATGCAACAGCTTGAAAGTAAGTAGCAGTACTTGCAGTGACAGAGTCAAATGAAAAGGAATCAAGTCCGTAAGACTCAAGTCCTGTGCGAACAGAATGTCCAAACATGAGCTCTTGAGTCATTGTGTGATAAACCTCAGACACGGAACTACGTTTGACATAGTTTCGCATGATCGCTACCATTGCTTGACGCAGCTCACGAGTATTGAAGCCTAACTCTTTGACTAGCATGTCGTTGAACCCTTTCTGGCGCAGTAAAGTACTCTCTTTTATGCTGAAAAACACATATTGGTGGAGAATATATTGGGAAAGTTCAATGGAGCTTCCATGAAATCGAGGCCAGTGTTCGGGGTTCACCTCGCAATATTCGGGGCCAAGCAAGTTGGCTTGTATCTGTCTCAGAATCACAATATGGTACAGGAGATACTTTGAAGTAGTTGCATCCAGCCGTTTAGTTAGTGGCTTAGTTGACTTGTCTCCTTTGGTGTAAGTCGTAAAGAGAACGAGACACCTGGTATCATTGTCTATGAAAAGCGCTCTGTTTGGTCCTGCATAAGTAATATCCACCAGCTCTGGAAACCGATAGGAATACCCACAGCCCAAATATACCATCCAGATAAGGTTCTCGGTTATTTTATCAATTGACTCAAATACATAAGCTTGCTGCTCTTCTGAGAGCATCTCGTACCTCGCAAAAGAAGGCAAAAGGCTTTGCAAATACTCGGAAGGGAAGAGATCAAGAAGTGAGCCTTTAGGATTGAAGCGGCTCTCGGTAAGAGATATCTCATCACAGTGCAATAGATCAACCGCAAGATCTTCGACAGTGGGCAACCGGAAGTAGTTTCTAAGACCCCATATCAATTTGTCACATTGCATTTTACGATTGCCATAAAACCATTGTATTTTGTTTTTGTTCAAAAGCTTATCCGAAACAGACACGCCGTCGGGCCTCTGTAGAAGAACGCGGTAGCTGGCGATTGTACTTTGCTCCTTGAATACCTCATGGTAAATGCTTGTCACATAGTTCCACATGTTTCCGGATGGGCTGTTCTTGTCAAATGGCGAATGCATATTAGAAGTAGGAGCGACCGCCAGAGTGGCATTGATCAGAAAAAACTTTAGAGTGTCAAGTGAGTGACGGGTATTGCTCAATGTTGCCAGTTTTGGCTTGAAATATGGTATACCTGGTTCCCTTACTTTCCAGTCAAACACAGTCATCTTGACTAATGTCTCCAGTATCGAGCCTAAGCCATCTGTGTCGGTCAACATATTGTAGCATAGCTTAGATATGCATGTGAGTTTTGCTGATCAGAGGGCTTGTCTAGCATGAGTGGCTGAAGCAGCTCCTCTAGATACTCCTTGCACTCGTAAGGAAACAAGGATAGTTTGTTAGCGTGCAGAAGCAGATAGTAAAATGGGGTAAAGGAACGAGCATAGCTGTTTATAGTAGTATTTTGAAAACGTTTGACCACAGATCCACCTCGGAAACTGGAAAAGCTTTTACGCTGCATTATTCTTGAGTTCCGAGCAGAGATAGTCAGATTGTAGCATCGGTTAAACACAAACGTGCATTCCACTCGGAACGCAGCCAATGACTCTTCGAGATTCTCTAGTATCTTATTATCTGACTCACAAAACTCAATGGTATCCGCCATTAACACGTTTTGAATATGGTGTTTACTCTGTCGGAAGCAAGTTTCTGTTGTTTCTGGTTGAAAGTGTTTTGCCGCCCGTTAAGATCTTGAGATATAAACGAAATTGTCTTGAGCTCTAGCTGAGGGCGTAACTTGGCATCATCCAGCTCTGGGACATAAACCAAATACTTTTTTCGGTTGTGCTTGAAGGAAATTGGAATAACTTGTAATGCAAACAAGGGCGCTTTCGCTCCAGAGAGATCTCGGGCTGCCTTTTTTGTTCTTTTTAAAGACATTGTCTTCCCAATAGAATCTGCGCTCCAGAGTGGGTACAACGTCAAACAATGCTTTTGAACTGCATGTAAAGAGATCTCCTGGTGATTTATGATATCCAGAGATGTCGACAAGATGTTGAGTTTCAAAAAAGAGACGAGTGGGCACCCGAAGGTGCGAGGCAGTAGGGCCAGAAGTGTAGACAAAAGGCTTATTGTCCTCTTCTTGGCTATTGTTGTTGTTGCTGCTGCTGCTGCTGCCGTTGCCGTTGCCGTTATTATCAACATGGTTGTTGTTGTTATCGCCATTATTATCAGCATGGCATACATAGTTTTTTACTATATACCCTTCGATAACCGTAAACTCACCACAAGAAGGATACTTTGAGGCATCATTTTTGCCTGCATTGTCCTGAGATCGCGATAGTTGTTGCATGTAGACACCAACAGCCCTTTTCTTGGTAACTGGAGACGCCAAATTGCATTAGTTGCTATTATCCGTCCAAACAAGAAGAATTCGTCCAGAATTTATCCTTCAATTTTCATTCTCAATTGTTGTGGGAGCGTCACCGCCAACAAAATCATGTGAGATTGTCACCACCTAGAAGCTAACGTAGGAGTGCCACCACTAACAGGATCCATGTGGTATTACTTGAAAAAACAAATTTGGTTTTAAAACAAGTTGGGAAGAAAAAACACTTAGTTGGTAAACGAATGTAGTTGAAAAAAACGCGTAGTAAGGAGAAAAACTTAACGATTGCATGGTATCAATATGGGAAAAGCGCACTGCTTGAGAAGCCCTCCCCTATTAAGCTCGCGAAGGGGGGAGGCGAGAGAATACTTTCGCTCGTCGAGGAGGGGTCGATAGAGGCGTAAGGACTACCAGAGGAGATAGTTTCTTGATATACAAGAGAAGAAATGTTCTCGCGAGCATTATCCGCTGTACCTGTTGTCGGATCTTCACAACTCATTATTTGACTTGTGTTGTCGTGTGTATCTCTTAGCGGTCTATTTTCAGGTTGTACATCAGCAATGCCAAGATCACCGGTAGTTTCTTGATCACGAGTACCTATTCCACCTGAAGTTTCGTCATCACCAAGACCCATTACACCTGTAGTTTCGTCATCATCAAGACCCGGCTCACCTCCGATCTCCCCACCTGCGGTCTCCTCACCTGCTTCCTCCTCCAACCCATAGAACTCCCTTATCGCCTTGGCGTAGTTCCGCACACGCATGGAATCTTTGTGTAACGACCGTTTGTTCCAGAGTGTCACGCACCTCCCCGCCTTTCTCAAACGTCCTGCCATCTGGATGTATGTCGACACTGGCGGCACGTACCCCACAAGAAGCACCAGTCGTACCTCGGCTATGTCAATGCCCTCGCAAACCAGCTTTGTTCCCACTAGCACCTTGGTATCCTGGTTTTTAAAGTTCTGTATCCTCTTCACCTTTTCCTTAGCTTCGAGATCACCATGGACCCAGATGCAATCGACATCCAGATTCAAAGCAAACTCCTCCACTCTTGCTTTCTCCCCCAGTACAACAATCACCTTTCCGTCTTGCTGTTCGTTTATGTATTGCAATGCAATAGTATCAAGCTGCCCCTGCTTGACTTTCTCAAAAGTCTTTTCCACATGTTGCAATGGCATCTCCTTTATCATGTCCCACAACTCGACGTCTTCGAGATTCAAAAAGTCCAATGGTCTCTTTAGCCCTTCTTTTCCGGCTGTGGCTGTTAGTAGCACCACCTTCCAGAAGTTTGACAAAGGAACAGCAGGAATGCCTCTGAAACCGGATGCTCTAAAATCTCTTTCTTCGTATAGGTTATGACAGGAAGCACTAGCGTATTTGATAAATGTTTTTCAGTCTCAAGTAGCAGCAGATCTTGGCTGAGATTCAAGTTCTTCCGTATTCACTTTGTCAGCTGGGAGGACGTCCTTCGTATTAACATATCGTTTGATGTCCTTAATCATCACCACTATCCCTCAGCGTCGTCCAGTTGGCAGAAGCTGTCTCGAGATGAGCCGGTCTGAACAGGTCCGCCCTGCTTCTCTGCCACTAAACACCCAATACAATCTTTGGCAGAGATTTTCTAGAATATGAGTGAGGATAGCGCGAAATCGCATAACTTAATAACGTGACGCAGCGACGTGTTAGTACAAAGTGATGACAAGCTAAGGCCACGACAGCTCAAAACTATCATGCTAACCATTAAAAGTTGAATTGGAATCATATACAATTGTCCTAACATCACACAGTCATTGTCTAGAGTGTTATTCACGGTCATACCACCCGCTCCGAAATTTTCATACCTATGGTTTATTCACTAGAATAGGACTTCATTCCCTAGGCCAATAAAGCCACGGACAGATTTGTGACGCAGTGTTAAACCTCAACAAAGACTCAAGCAGGTATTTTAGTGGTGAGCCAGAACTATTTTAATAAAACTTGCTATTTTACATCAAACTCCCATATGTCTTGTAGGCCTGAGAACACGCTAATACAGAAGAGACAGAACCTGAATGACACATCAGTCAGTGAAATCATAAAATTGAAAATACCTAAAAGTACGAGTAAGCTCACGTATACAGCCATCAAACTTGCTATCAGAGCAGTGTTATTTAATCAAGCCCAAAAAGACTCTTTCATATCATGTGACCGGTCATCGTACATACTATTGCATATGCGTGCATGTGCATCTGTATAAGCATGCAGAAAAAACGCACGATAGCAATAGGTCATGTGATAATACTTCCTCTACCCATCAGCTTGCCGAGCGTACCAAATGAGTGGACATCCTCTCAAAAGTACTCGAGCTACTCAATGTCAAATCTCTGAAAATTTGAATAGAAGAAATCAGGTTAGCCGAAGATGGACAATTGTTTCCATTTAAAGTACTGACTTTGAAATTGATTGCAGGGTATAGGTATAATATATGTTCAGTTAAGGACCATACACACCGCTTTTATTGGCAAATAATGAAGCCACTCTTCATCATCTCGGCATTCTTCTGAAATGTTACATCTATAGTAGGAAGTACTGGTTCACAAGGAATTGAGCTTGTGCCCTGAAGAAGCTGTCGCCAGACGATTCCCCTCCTTTTGCCGCTTTACCCAATGAATCACAAGCAAAGCGGGCCACATAGTTAAAATACTGTGCGGAGCTGGAAGTAGGAATATGAACCTTGAAAACTCATGTGCTCCATCACTAATCACCTAATGACAGAAGTTATCAAAGAATGCAAGAAAGTCTTGATACGCACACCCTTGGTACTCCCAAATGGCTTTGAATGGCGATCTTTTGGGGATTACTTGTCATCAACGCTGATGCTTTGCTCACAGTGCGCAAAAACAATGACAACAGCTTGCCATCAAACGTCGCCTGCACCAGCTATCTTATATATTTAAGGTACGTGTGCGGCAATGTTAGAAGTGAGAAGATATCAAACATTCTAGACGCTCTTTCAGTGCTTTATATTGTTTACTGGTAAAGGGTTTTTCACAGCTTCAGTAATGGAATTCTCATGAAGCAGAATATTTGGTATGGCTTCACCTCGGCTGTAGTCTGATTAACATCGCTGCATAGCAACATTCTGGAAGTTAAGGTTGTCCTTCCTTCTGGATGCTCAACCCTCGAAAGGTGTTCCTGGCTTGCTCTGCTTAAATCCTAGCTATTCCAGGAAGTATAGTGCACAAGACAACACATGTCTCTTTTCGATTTATAAAAATATGCTAAAATCTTGGCAGTCATGCAGTATCCTCCTGTGGGGAGCCTACTTAGCGCCTGGTCTACTTTTTTGGTTTAAAAAATGTCCGCACATTCTTCATTCACTGGACCCTCACTTTTTGACTTTCTCTCTGACGCGCAAATCAGGGTGTTTGTTGCTGAGCAGTTAGTTACATAGTTGCCGTAACATGCAAACTGACTGAGAAGTTTCTAATTTAAGCAGCTGAGAATGACAACGAAAAGACTAGAGCCGCGCGAAAATTGCTTCTCCTGTAGAAATAATGCGTCCAGCCGAACTTCGTTTGTACTTGCCAAACTCTTAATCGCAAGAGGCAATGCAGACCCTGGCATCTAAGGAGGCCAAAAAAACAGTCTTTTGCCGGAAGCGTACAGTGCCTGGCCCGTTATCCAGTTGCCACTTGAGACAAAAAAGACAACAACTGGCGCTACGTCTACAAACGTGGCGGACTTATAAAGCCCCGCTGCTGGGGGCTGTTCCTGCGAGTAGGAAAAATGGTGTGCAGAGGGGACTTGGAGCAACAAATTAGACTGAGACGCGCTTGTCAATAAACTCTTTGGATACCCTATTTGGTTATTATTCTACAGCACTCTCTTCTTTCCTGGTACACCGCGTAAAATGGTGTACGAGCCGCGAGCAACGAGTTCACCGAAGAATTAATACTACCGCCGGAGATTGACATGCCTGCCAGTTTGTGAATAAGAGAACACTATTTCGTCGTTGGCGAAATCACTGTTGTCAAATTATATCTCGTTTACTCCCGCCATGACGTTTTCAAATCTTGTCCGCGTTGTTGACGGCAATATTCATAGAGCCGACTTTGGCCCTTGCCGGTTCAAACAAGTGTCTACAATTTGTGCAGATCCCGAGTTGCTTCTGTGAAGCTCCACCCTTACCCATACGAGCTTATGTTCGTCATCTTGAACCGATTTTTAGTGCAAAAGTAGGCTCGCTTTTGTGCTTGAAAGCAAGTTTGATAGCATAAGTTCTGCCGAGATTCTTGGTACCATTGGTAATTGGAGCAGTTTTCGCTTCCGCGGACAAACATAATTCGATTGATTGACGCAATTATGTGTTTCGCTTTATATGAAGTTGTTCTGTGCACTATGGGCTAGTCGAAGTCCATACAAAGTGCGGCTCCATCTATATAATCACTGAATGGTCTGTAAGCATCCCGTATGAAAAGGGCATTCGGCTGCTGCCAAGCTAAAAATCCACACTCTTACATGGTGAATCAAGAATCTATGCTAGCCGAGATTCAACAAGGTTTCTTCATTCCGACTACAAAACGTAAAGTGAAATTCTTCAGTTACCCCTATCGTTTAACGCTCTCTCATACTTAGTAAAGTAACCCTGTTGATAATCGTTCAGCGTTCTTATTTGTGTGGAAAATTTGAGAGCAGCACTCAGCCTATCCTTTTAAAGAAGATTGCAAATTCTTCATGGGAATTTGCATTCTGGGTTTTTTTGCCTGAAAAACGAGCACTCAGAAGAAATCTAACCGTACTTCCCGATTGGCTTTTGTGCGAATTTCGTTTCCAATTACTGAGGACCCTTGACTCGTCTCGGAAATATTTGTTTAACGCGAATACGTTGGATGGGTAAACAACTCTTTACAATAAGGGTTTGTCATGTCGTATTTTTGTTGTTCGCTTTGTAAAAATTGTCAGTTCCGCGGCAAAGCTAGTCGGGTGTAATGATTAGTAAGGCTGATATTTCCACGCTGAAAAATGAGGCGATGGGAATTCAGCAAACATAGCTCACTCTGTTGACCTTACTAATAACCTGGGTCATTAGTCGGCCCAAAAATCAGCCTTCTTTCACATTAAGAGGTATCTTGTTTCTCAAATGAAAGTTCTGGTGTATATAATATGTCAGTATGAGCCACTTGGCAGATTCTTTTCGTTGATTCGAGGACCATAGACAATGACAGTTGAAACTTTATACGCCACAAAACATGCAAGGGGGATGTTACCACGAGGCCTCATCGAATGGCTCAAAATTGACATAGAGCCTGTCGACCCAAATGAAAAGTATGATGAGTTTAAGACTCACTTCCCACTGGGAAAATCTCCAGCTTTTCTGGGCGAGCAACGGATTTGAGTTGACCGAGGTGCTCGCAATTCTTTCCTACCTGGTCAATTTGAAGGGCGACGTGGAACTCGAAAAAACGTTGTACGGATCAGCATTGGAGGAGCGTTCGCAGGTAATTAGGATCCTCTCATTCGTCAACCAAGAAATAGCCTTAAGCTTTATTGCACTAATTTCGGCTGTCAAAACCAGCGCCAGTCAAGAGGTGTACGATGAAAAACTGGCCCAATTGCTCGGATGCTTCGCATTTCTCGAACAACGTCTAACTCAGCAAGAGTTTCTGGTGAATGACCACATCACAATTGCGGATTTATACGCTGCAGCCGTGTGTGGGTTACTCTTCAAGAGTGTTCTTGGAAAGGACAGGACTGCCGGCTTCAGTTTACTCGAGAAGTGGCTACCCAAAGTTCTGCAACACCCAGCTCTCATGGGCAGATTAGACACCTCAGAGTTTCTGGAGAAGACGGTCTCCCTTCCCTCAGCCAACTGATTTGAGACGGTGCACTTTAGTGCTGCTTGAGCTTGAGTCTTTGATGAGTAGCTATTGGATATATCATTATATAAACGCTTTCGATGAGGATCTAAAAGAGGTTCATGTTTCAAAAGTTAACAAATAGTGAGCTAATAAGCTTGTCATATCATCTAGAATGTTGAGTTCCCTCGGGCAACAATTCCAGAAAGATTGATACTTAGAGTATGTGCATCTTGTGACAAATGAACGGTGGCTTTGAATTTCTTATGTTTTTGATAAGTAGTGTCTGACCTAAAATGGGAGAACACAATCTGGACTGCGCAGAGAGTAAGAAATAAACCACCAAAAAGGCCACGCGACACAGGCGCCACAAAACCTCCCAGCGCAATTCATTTGTCAGTGCTGTCCCAAACGTTTACACTAGGCGACTAACATGCTCGGCTGACTCAAAGGTCTTACGACACCATCCTCGGGCTTAGCACTTGGTTCTGTAATAAACTCCATTGACTGATCTTCATTCCATGGTCACTTTTGCGGTTATTCGGAGGCTTCCTCCCTTATCCTAAAGGGCACCCCATGTTTCATTTTTTCGTCTGTTGCTAGTTCCCTCCGATAGCTTGCTGAATAAGACACTTTTCCACAGACCGATAGTTGGAGTTTTGTGATGTATAATCTACGTGGCACGACTGCATACTACAAAGACTTTATGTTTGGTGTTTGAGAAACTTAAAAGATACCTGTAATAAGTGATTGGAACAGCGACCTGTGCAATACTGGTGAACTCCGCTTAAGACGAGCTCCACTTAAGATGAGCTCCAGCTTCAACGGTGGTACTCACAACTCAAACTATCTTAATTGCAACAGATCGCGCACAAATCGAAGTACCTCTCTTCTCAGCAACACACCTGGGCGCTTGTGAGACCACAATGTTGACTTGTTAGACCTCTCCCAATTTCAGCTCATACGAGTCTTAACATATGACAACTAGCTAAGCGTAAAATAATTTGAAACCTTTTGATGGCTCTTTGATGGTTCTCGTGAACATCTGAATATCAAATAACGAACGGATTCATACTATTAGGTCTTTCCCGGTGCCTCTGCTGCCCCTATGACACATTATATAGTATTGAGATTGGTCTCCATCGACCAAGTTCAAGTCTTGAAGATTGCTTCTAGTATTTTCAATGGACATATACAAGTATTTTTCAAAAGTATACAAGCGTTGGCTAGATTCATCTCTGCGATTTTTGTGTGTAAGAAAACAACATCGTTATGCTGTAGAATCGTTGGTAATTGTACATTTCTGGGCAGGCCGGCTACGCCCTAAGTAATCCTTGTAGCAGAGCTAGATGGGGGCAGTTCTGGTAAGATGGAGCCGGCATGCTACCCTTACATTGCGTCCGGATTGAAATCTGAAGTACTTACAATATTTTCAAAATCAGTTTATACTATCCTGATGTGGTATAGGCTCCGACAAATAAAGTAAGTAATACAATTTGTCAGTGAAAGAAACTACCTCACAGAACTCACATTAAAAGATAACGACTTTGAACAAATAATTACGACGGCTATTGACAAAATCACGAGCGATGACTTGTATAGATACTAGTCTCAATAGGAGATCACCAAAGGTTTGAACTCTGAGCTAATGTTATAATGTAATTCTTGGCTTCCAAAAGAACATCACATACGTCGTCAACTGAAAGGGTTTGATCTATTGATCTATAAAATTTTTAACTAAAAAGCTCTCGTCTCGATCTCACAGATCAGTTGAAGCCCTAAATTTCAAGCAATCGAGTATTCGTGCAGTTTTTACTGTTTTCCATCGATATTGATAAATCGGCCCCTCGTGTCTCACATGGCTCTTTTCAATTCTATGTTGACCCTTTCTGATGAATAGAAAAGGACGTAGAATTGGGCTCAATATCATCTCGCAAGGTGACATATGGAAAAACGTAGTCACCACCATTCTGTGTACGGTAAGGAATTGGACTATCAGTATCTATGGAGCGTATGCGCTCACGCAATCTCTCAGCGGCGGCTTCGTAGTCCTTCTCACCCGCAGTTTGAGCATTGTACACTATGAAAGGTGGAAGGACGCTATAGCCAGGATAAAATAGAAGACCATGATTGATAGGAAATAATAAGTCATCAATGTCACCACTGATTCCCCGGTTTTTATAATGTTCTTCGGGGCCACCTACAGTAACGATGAGCATTGCCTTTTTGCCCAGCGAAGGATCCCTCGCCGTACTGATCTCCGGATCTCTCATCGTTATATTCACCAACACCATAAGCCAAGCCGGAGGAGTATACGCGATCAATCCAGCCTTTGAGTATAGCTGGCATGGAAAACCACCAAAAGGGAAATTGCAAAATTAGAACGTCAGCCCACTTAAGCTTCTCTTGCTCTTGCTTTACATCTTCTGTCAGCATGCCTGCAGCATAAGCTTCACCAGATGCGTCACATATTCTCATAGCCTTATCCGGTTGAAGATTCAAGAAATCACTGCGATTAATCAATGGATTCCAGTTTTCGGCGTAAAGGTCAGTAACCTTGACTTCGTGGCCCTGAGACTTGATTTCATTGATTGCAACATTCTTGAGGGATGTACTCAGCGATTTTGGTTCTGGATGGGCGAATACGATTAAGACTTTCATTGCTTGTTGCTCTTGTTTCTGCTCTCATCAGTGGCTACTATCTGCTCATATCCTCGTAGATATATATATAATTTCCTGAAGTTATCAACTGAGCTGACCTTACACCGATAAGTAAAATTTTGGATTTTACCAAGGTGTAACCTAAGCGCTGCCTCAAGTGATTGCTCATCATAATTCTTTTACTTCGGCTCTAAGCTTTGCAATAATTAAATCTGACAAATTGCATATGTGGACCCTGCTTACCTAATCAATGAACCTGACAAATCTAAATAATAAATTGCACATGCGGACCCCGCTTACCTAATTGTGAAGAGTCGAGTTATAGCAGGGGCGTTTGCCCGCTTATTGGAAATGAAGCAGAGAATCATCAACATTTCGAAACTTCTCAAAGTCTAGTCCTGCAATGAAGACGTGACTATTAAGATTCATTTTCTTTTTTAATTCATGACAGCACCTACAGCAGCAGAGTGCCCAGACCAGAGTCTATCCAAAACAGAAAATCAAGGCTAGTCTCGAAATCCTTTGAGGATGGCACATTGGCACTTATTGTTAAAGTGCTATGCTCACAACGACTGAGTTGGATAAACAGCAATCATGTTTTATTCAATAGCGCACCATAATAAACGAGTAATATTTAAGACACGGCATTCATCCTACTCTTAACCCGATGTCACGGCACTATACTTGATTTGTCCTATTAAAATAACTGTACTTAGTCTCTCTTCATGGATTGATAAAACGGGTTCACCCGGCTGATCAAGAAGTGTATAAATACCGATGATTTCTCAGTGTATCGAGATTATGTCCTCGTAGAGAATAATTAGAGAATTCAGCAGCCAAGGCTTATATACTCTTGAAAAATACTTACCTATGTCCATTTGGAACTTCGATATCAACATTAAAGACTTGAACCTGGTCGACAGAGACTAATCTTAATAAACATGATGTACAACTCAGGTTGGGCTGACTTCAATTCATTATCGTAACGAACAACAAAATTAATGAGACTAAAAACGTTATCTTCCGTGATTAAGTTGTAACCCGAATTATGTTATTGCCTAAATCCAAGGTATCTTCTTAGGTAAGGAAGCTAGTTTTCTGAGCGCACTCTTCAGCCAGTACACTAAAGGCTTAGATGCGTACTATGACAGTTTAGTCATACCGTTAGATTTGAGAGAGGATATCCCATTATGTATCTTGAATACCATCTGAAGATGCGCAGTATGAAAATACATTGGAACAAAGAACATTACGATCCATGGCCAAATGGATAAAGTTCGAAACTGGAAAGAGATAGGTGAATACCAACGCCTTGATATATAAAGATGGTTATGATTGGTACGAATTTATACTTGTCTTAATATGCCAGCTCCTCGCTTAGGAGTGCGCCTCAGTTGTCTACTGGGTTCGTGCCATTCAACGAGAGGATTTTCTCCGTGTCTGGTACCCAACAAGAGTTCAGGTATTGTAAACCAAACCCACGATCATTACAAACCAAAGCATTCCTTGCAAGATTGAGAGCCTTGCTTGGTTTTTTAGGGACGCAGAACAGCTTTAAATTTACTTTTAATGAACTATGTTGAATTACATAGTTCGCCAAAATTTTCGTGGATTTTGATCCATATTATCACAGGCGAATGCATTGTCATTGTCGATAAAACCCTCATCTACTTCATAAAAGTTGAACCTATGATTTGCTGTACTCAAACTGGTTATGTAAGACGTCATTTCTAAAATGTTCAACACCTAGAGCACTAGTGTTACCCCAAGGCTTCTCAGCGTTTTCTTTATCAATGACCTTTGCGAAGCAAGATGACCAGCCTTCTCTGGGGTATTTGAGATTGATGGCATTCAGGGTATCAACATGGACCAAATGTGTGCTACGTCCGATGTTATCCACAAGTGTGGCTATTTGCAACACTAGTCCCAGCGAAGTAATAAAGCCAGTCTCTCCCAACATTTGGTGACGAATGATTGCCTCCGACACTGCGTCAGCGTAATCATTGTCGCCGCCAGTTCTGTCAAGGATAAGATCTCTTGATATCAATCCGCCAAAGAACTCGAAAGACATCTTGGTTGCAAGCATGTTTTTTTTAGTAGTCCCAATGTCATGGAGCAAACACGTTATAAACAATACCTCAAAGTCGAGATTCCAGTTCGAAAAGTGATCATTTATGATGGAAGCCGAGTATTGAAAAACACGTAGGGAATGGTAAAACACGCGGCTTGGAAGTTCTTCAGTCGCATAATCCAAAATGAACCTGGCCAACGGGCTGGTTGGAAGCGAGGTTAACTGTTGAGGTGTTGGTGGCTTGCAGTTGGCTGTAGCAACTTCGATGTTCCTCGGAACTTTAATGAAACCGTACTGGGACATGTTAGAATTGTTTTAAGTAATTGAGCTTGGCTAAATATCGGTTTTCCAGCTCAGTATTATATTTTAAAACCAGAAGAACAGGTCAATTGTATATGGACTAGAGAAAAACAAGGGGTGAGTTACTGGTAGTTCAGTTTTTATATTTTGCAACGTAGAGAAAGAAGATTGCTTTATTGTCAATTACGTTAAGCGATCCATTAGTCAACATTTTCCCAAGTAATTGAAACATAATTAATGGCCTAAGAATCAACTACTTTTATTCCGGAGAAAGCACATAAGTCCGTTTTGCCTATGAATTTGATTCCGGCCAAGCTCGCTTACTTACTGCTAGTCGTTAACCGACATTGTTAGATTAGGTAATGGAAATATCATAGTTCCAGACCAAATAATAGGCACAATAAAACACGTGATTTGAGGTTGAATTAAGGAGACAAAAGCGTCTGCTTTATCGATGGCCTTGGAGACGGATCAGAAATGGCAAGCTACTGACAAGAGCACACCACTGATTAGCAGCACTTTAGGCATTCAGAAGCTTTAGAAGCTTTAGAAGCTGTAGGCTTTACTCAAATTTTGAGTATTAAACAGCCAGCTAGCTATCTTGGAAAGCAGCAACTATTACATTCTTATCTGACCAAAGCTGTTTTCTCCCTAGATCGATAGGTTGTGTAATTATTCACTAACAGCGACAATTTTTGACCTAATCATACACTGTTGATCTCACGATCCTCTCAACTAGTTATAAAACGTCGAAAGCTTCGATAGAGCACTGCGGACACCAAGCCTCAAGGGCATCCCTATTGTTAGAATGGTGAAGTGACTTCTGGTTTTGAGGTGGTCAATAATGCAAAGTTCAATAAGCGTTGCAATGGACCTATACTACGATATATTAGTTGAGCTTGGGAACCCTCAGAGTTGCAATAATTTGGAAGGACTGGGGGAATTGGGCCAAAACTTCAGTCGGCTTTTTCAAGGCAAATGGACTAGGGGTAATCTTAGTACGCCGGACTTCTAGCGTCAGCAATTTAAGAAATTTCCAGTTCAACAATGCAGACCTGGAATTGATGTCACAATTCAGGCGGGTGTCACAAGATGTTGCAAAACGACCACTAGACCTGGTAGTATTTACGACAGGTATACTGGCTTCTCACACGCGAAAAAATTACGGAATGCTAGAGCATGATATTGTGGTAAGTTACTTAGACTGGTGAATCTACAAAACCTTCTGCACACTTTTGAGTAAGCGCACACGAATGTAGTGGGAAACCCTAGAGTATTCATTTTTGGGCAAACTGGCACGAAGGACACTGGAGCACACCATGACCTAAACTCTGTAAGCAAGTTCGAGGGGATTAAAAAATACATTAGCACAGTGGCAGGTAACCAGACCCTCATGTTCGACTGCGCACGGTGCTTGCATGAAATTGGAGTGCACGGACTTGATCCAAGTCTGATAAAGACGGCTATCCGCAATAACTTCGCGAGTGGCTGTCGATTGAATACAAGGCTAGTTGTGAGTCTAATTGGTTTCCTGTTCCAAAACACAAGCCAGTATGCTGAAAAATCGTCCCATTTATGTGTGTCTACTGAACTAAAGGATAATAACCCTGACTTTTTCTATTGCTATAGAAGGCCTTTTCTATCAGAAGGCTCTCAGAGTCTTGAGTTGGGCAACATATTGGCTAATCAGAAAAGCTATCGAGAAAGATGTTTATAATAAACTGTTGGGTATTGCGATTCTGATTCGAGTCAGCAAAAATTTATCAGCGATAATGTTCATTCACATAATAACAGAAATCAATACTTGATGCTTTTTGAAGTGAGAACTCTCTGTTGGGATCCTGAATATAAAGTTTGTTGCGTATCCTTGATATATGATTGATTTACACAACCTTTCGGGTCTAAAAGAAACAATGACTGTTAAGGCCTAACACTTTTTATTTATAAACAATGTCCTCGAAGGCAGATGTGTGTTGGAAATTGTCGGAATCTATACCACGTCAGAATAGTACGACGTGGTGTTGAAAATATTGTAAATATTTTAAAAGGCATTCGAACCACTTGTAACGCGAAGTTGCGCCACTGAGCCGGAAATTTCCTATCAAAATAGCCACATTAAGTTTTTACATCGATTAAAAGTACGGGCGTATTCAGCCGGCCAAGAAATGTATGGATACCTATAATTTTTCAGTATATCGATATTAAAGTTTGATACAGAAAACAACGGAGAAGTTTATCCTGCTAACACTTATTCACTATAAGGAACAACTTGAAGCTGCGATGTCATCTACAATATTACTAGCAACTTCGAAGACTTGAACCTGGTCGATAGAGATCAACCTCGTCAGAAATAAGTTACTTTCACAACGCCCAACAATTTTTTGAATCAGCTGTGACATTAGCTGGTGATAATCAAAAGGCTACGATCATCGCTTTTTGTTGTTCTTTTGCCTCGAAGACTGCAGAGGCTGGCAAATCTCTATTCAGTGGCATTCAGCGTTCGAGCATGTATGAACCATATTCGGAGTACGTCTTCTTTTTACTTTTGAAAGCGACCCTGTTTCAACCTTAGTGATTGCGGGCACTTTCGGATATTAAGTTGATTTCGTCGCGTTTTCGAGTTATGGGTCACTTATCTGAAATATATTATTTTCGGCAGTGAACGCTGCAAAAGTATATAAGACTACACAGCTTGCCAGATACTCTAAGGGATATCAGTTGATTCCGTTTGATTGTTTGATCTAGTATTAAGAAGAAGTGCGATCACTTCTGACATTCTCATCATGGGCCCTTTTCATCTCCAATATGAACCATATCACTCTGGATCATTATGTCATAAATTGATGCATTTATTGTTTTATCACCTAATGCTTAAAAAGTCATCCCTTTGTCATAAACCTAATGAAATTCAGGCATTCAAAGAGACAACCCGCCTGATCCGGAGTTTTTGAAGGCTTCAAACATGAGTTTTTCGTTAGCGTCTACATATCCTTGGATCCGGTCGCCTCTGGTGGTATGTTCTCCCATGTTACGGATAACTCAACAGGCATTAGCTGTAGCTGTTTCCCGAGCCGGTGGGTTTGGATTTGTAGCTGGAGGCTACGATGCGGAAAAGCTAGCGTTGACTCTGAAGAGTACTGTTAGTCTGCTAAACAGACTGGAACCGTCAATTCCCGCACATATGGGTGTTCTTCCCCTTGGCATAGGCTTCGTGTTATGGGGTTGCGATCTGGAACGGTCATTGAAAGTGATAGAAGAATACGTGCCTGCGGCTGTGTGGCTTTTTGGTGCTACTAATATTGAACAATACAGGACATGGGCAGCTAGCATTCGGGATGCTACGCATTGTAAAACGCAAATTTGGATTCAAGTCGCAGGTGTGAAAGAGGGCATTGACATCATGACAGCAGCTCAACCTGATGTTTTAGTCGCACAGGGCAATGATGCTGGAGGCCACGGTATGAAAAGGTCAGCCAGCGTCATATCTTTGGTACCAGAGCTCCGAGACTCTCTGATTGGCCATGGTTTTGCTCATACCACATTGTTAGCTGCTGGGGGGATTGTTGATGGTAGAGGCATAGCTGCAGCACTAGCGCTTGGAGCAGATGGGGTCGTGATGGGCACGAGGTTCCTCGCCTCTCAAGAAGCTGTTGTTGCGAAGGGCTACCAAACGGAAATTATTCGCACTCAGGACGGCGGAGTTAGTACCACAAGATCGAGGCTCTTCGACCGCGTCAAAGAAACTAACGGATGGCCTGCAGACTACGATGGTAGGGCATTTGTCAACAAAACTTTTTTGGACGCCGAAAGTGGACTACTCGATAAAGAGAATACGATACTGCATAAACAGGAGATTGCTCTAGGAGATACAGAGGGGGGGCTTCACGCAAGAACTATCCGATATGTCGGAACAGGTGTAGGGCTGATACGTGATGTTCTTCCGGCAGTAGAAATTGTTCAAAGCGTGCTTGCAGAAACCAGGAAAGCACTTGATAAAGCAGAGGATGGTTTGAATACCAACTAAGTGCTATAAACTTTGCTAACCTTGAAGATTTCATGTATGTCTGCTGAACGTCTTATTTGCGCTACTCATTGACGTCATAAGCGGAAATTTAATGAGCTGAAAGGAAGTTCGAGCATACTTAATGTAGAAAGACCTTTTACATAAGGTCCTCGGTACGTACACAGTTTTTTATCAAATGTTGAACGATCCCTAACCAAACAATTTAGCCGCGCTTTGTACCATGAAGGCATGCAAAGAATTCGGTTGGTCGAGAACATGTTTTTTGTACCAATCAGCCAACCAGTCTATGGCTGAGATCCAGTGATACTTGCGGGTCAAAATTGTGTTCCATGTACAGTCATGATATAGAACTGCAGGCTGTTACGCTTGCGTGATTTCTAAGAGTTATGCAAATCCCTGCATGATGATATACAATTTGAACACTGCGTTTTAAACAGCCACTATGGCACTTATAATTTGACTTCCATGAGAGCATCAAAGAGAACTTGAATATGCTCGTTAAGCTGAGGATTCTACAGATCGTAGCTATTCCGCTTAGCCTTGGCCGATAAGGCCACAATTTCGTATTACAGAGTTTTTAGTAAAACTCGTTGCAGTTCCTTAAATCCTGACCCGTACGGAAAAGCTCATGTTTGCATAAACGTCAACAACGCAAAAATGAACATAAAAGTTACAGCGAGCAATTGAGCATAATGGAAACCATCCGCGCTTTTTTGGTTAAATCAATTTACTAATGCTGGCACTGTCATGGTTGCAAAGCTGACAAAAACAAACATCGTTTACCCTGGCACTTCGGTACGATCAACATTCTGTGTTGTTGCTGTAGCGATGGCTGAAAAAGTTATTTAAGCTTCGACGTGAATATTCCATACACTATAGCAAATATTCGTGAATTGGGCGCGCTTCTGTCCCACAATAGATCAACAAGCTAGTAGCGACGCCAACCAGCATCGCTACTTTCATCATCCTGGGATTCGATTCCCAACAACGTTTGCGATAAGTCTTCCAAATACTTTGAAATCAATAATGAACTAGCACAAGATTGATGGGATCTGACAATCCAAAGGGACTCTTGGCAAATATAACAAGATAAAACAAAAGCGCCCGATATCATATAGAGAAGTTGAGAAACATGCTCCCTCAAAAGGACATTAATGCCCTTTCAGCCAGCGTTCTTTTTCCAATGAAGAGCTCAAAACCGCGTGCGGCCATTCTGGGTTTAGGCCACATCAAATAATAAAGGGGTGCGTCGAGGATATGGTGAATCTCAATAATGGCGTCGTCCATGGGAAGCCAAATGTTGAAAAAAAACAGCAATTGATTAGCCATAGAGAGATACACGAGTTCTCCTGTCGAACCTCCTGCTGCTGCTGCTGCTAATCCTATGGCAAGAGCCCGGTTACGTCAAAGTATTGTGCGATAAAGTCAAAGATGGGCAGAAGGCGAGCCCATTTTTAAGACCTAAGTAGACAGCTTGTGCCAGAAATATATGCCAATAGGATTTGCTCTGAGAGATTACGAATGTGCCGAAAAGCTATCCTACATAAAAACGAGAAACAGACTTTAACGCTTTCAATCCATGAAACATCGGACTGCGGATAAATCCGAGTGTGGTATTGCTGAAAAACCTTGAAACTACTAGTCAATCCCCACGCCTTGAAAAACAATAAGTGCATTAACAGAGCTGGAACATATGCAATTAAGATGCCATCAGGAATTGTAATAAAAGACTGGGTAGCGAGATGTTATTCTCTGAGTTGCACGTGGATCTGAGACAGGAGTGTTTATATATTTGTATGTCACCTTGATGTCCCATGCAAACTGACAGGTATATTACGATTTGCTACTGTGACTTTTATTGACAAGATAAAACCTGGCAGGAAAACGCACAGAATGTGCGGCATGATCCCGTGCTAGAGCTCCAACATTGTCGACCTAACGTTCCTTGGGCCCGCCGCAACATTGGCCAACTTGCTTGACCTATTCTGCAACCGGTCAGCTGTGTTTATAGTCAAAGTGAGGCACCGCAGGAAAGAATTTGTCTTTATAAAAATCCGGGAATTCTATTCGTAGCTCTGTAAAGATTCGACACACGCACAAATCAAATACTAACAAAGCTCTCGCTTATTAATGCCAGCGCTCCAGCAAGCAGATAATAATTATGTGTCTGACTGTTCTTTGTGAGCATTCGTCTCGCCGTTCTTTGTTTTCAATTAAAACTTGACGCCGATTTCCATCAAGCACTAAAACATTTTCTACGAGTCTTGTATTTCCGGACTTTTCAAGAAGGAATTGGGCACTGCAGAAAGTGTCTTCTTCCAATGGTATTCCAGCAACATAACACAAAACAATGGAAGCAAAAGATATAGAGGAACATTTGATCGGTACATCAGATGCGACTGATGAAGACTTGAGGATTCCTCGCGATGTTTTCCGCAGTAGATTTCGATACGGAATGGTCCGGCACAGGCTTGTCCTCATTTCGCTAGGGTTAGAATTAGCAGTGATTGCCGTTTTGATCCATATGGGATTCCAAGCTGATGATAAAGATGACAGGATTGGGATTACAATTTTTGTTATATTAGCCGGATCAGTGGTTATGCTGTCAACGGGTGTTATCACATATTGTGTCGTGCGTGGGCGGGCGGCTACTTTGACGAACAAACTGGGGTTTATGAAAGAGATAGCGACCGTAAAACCAGGCATAGAAATGAGGGAGTGGGATATTATTGCAGCTAGAATGAACCCGATTTTGCACCGGAGCAGCTCATTGTTAACACCTTATTTCTTTTACGACGGTGAGTCATGCTATTCCTACTTTAGGAGCACCTATCTACAGCCGTACTTGAACAGAAAAAATGGAAATGAAATATTCCGAGCTCCTGTCGATGACTTCCAGACTTTTCTTGACCATGTTATAAAAATATACGAGGAAAGAGCGAACGAGGACTGGCAACGAATTTTAAATGGAAGCTCGTCTCTGGGACCCTATGAGACGTCTAAATACTGAAAACATCTACAGAATATGCTGGAATATGTATCTATCAAGACCGTCGTGGCCAAAGAATATTGAGGCACCAAACACGTGATTGGTCGTTAAGTTAGGAGGAAGCGGTGGGAAATTGTTTTTAATCTCGCGGGATGCAGGGGAATACGTCAGAAAAAGTGGGCGTCATATGTATAGAAATTTATGAAAATTAATCACAGCTCTGAATCAAGCTCTGCACAATCATCAATCGTCAGTTGTAAACCATACAGTCAATAAACATCTTCGTATATTATCTAGTTACAAAGACCCTACGTGATAGCGGTTATATATTCGAAATAAAAGTCAGACAAATCACTGACGTATGACAGGGGGCGGAAATGTAGATGTTAAGTTATTATGGGCAAGCAAATTAGTCTCATTAAGATACCGATTGCATCAGACATCATAGTAGTCGCTCTTGGAATTGTCTCGGGTACTTTCATATCCCAAGTCGCGGTCGCGGAGTTCTTGAGTAATCAAAACGTGTAGTCCCGCTAGATATATCAGCTCGACGACAAATTCCATTACAACGAACATCCCTAGGTAAACTTTCCAGTCCCCATTAAAGATGTTAAACTTGTGGTACGCGGAAAGGTTTGTGGACAGAGCAAAGGACGAGATGATAGTGTAAATGAAACGAATGAGGAAAAATGGCATTGCAATGAAAACAGTAAGAAGAGCAATGTTGCGGGCCTTTTCGGAACTTTGTCTTTGAGCAACATATTGAAAAGTGCCAAACCCCACAACGAAAACGTACGTCGCTAAGTAAATTATCGAGGCTGCTTTGACGAGACTAATGCCTGTACCTGAGCTAGAATTTCCTTGCGACCACATGCTATAACCAGCGATGGAAAGAGCAACACCAGCAATTACTCCAGTACGAGATAATGATACAACCCTAACATTGGCGTCTCTAGAGAAGGCGTAAGACTTGGTGAGCTCCAGCAATGGAGCAGTTGCAAGTGCAATCATAATACTACCGGCTGTAACGAGGCCTGCAGAGGGCTCCTCGGATGTATTCTGGTCATTGGTAGCCGCGACGGTCTGGATGGCAGCGTGAAGGCAAATGCCGAGACCCGCGATTTTGAGGATAGATATTGTCGAAAGGTAAGAAGCCCTGAACTTTGAGGCTTGGCGGAACATAGCAGCTACGGCGCCGCACAGAACGCAGCTGTAGAAGACAAGTTCAACGACGTAAATGACGTGAATTTTGTTATCCCACAGGGAGACATTGGAGCTCATTTTGGAAGATTTTGATGGGAGAGACTGCTGAAAGATAGCGATATTTTGTCAAAAACAGATTCTATTGTTTCGTTCTCTCTCTCGAGCGGCTGTATTTGTACTTTTCGTTCGAGCTGGCAGCGCAATCAGACCATGTACTACCACATAATTGCCTTGGCTCATAGACTTTTTGGCCGCAACTCTATGTAGGGATCTGTACTGTTTATTGGGATTTACAGCGCTATTTCTGCACTCCGCCCCACCCTACGCCGCAGCGGCAATTACGGGGGCATCTTGATGGTGCCCCCGTAGTTCGAAGTGAGGTCTACAGCGGGCGGGAAACTTGGATATGTGTGGTCAAAATGTGGAGTGCTGCAAGGCTAGGTGCACACCGTCAAATAACGTGGCGGCTACTGACTAAGAGACGGCAAGATACCTGGTGAGAGCAACAGAGATAGTCAGGGCGAAAATCCTGCGGCCCCTCGCGCATGTAGTTAAGCTTCTCGGAGGCCCTTAACACCCTTTCTGCAGATCTAAAAACCAGAAACTCATGGTGCCTTCAGCAGCCGAAGTTGGTTGCTGCAGGAGAACTCGGACTTACTTCAAAATCTCCAGACTCGAGAAACGCAAATCTGGACTGTTGCGTCGAAAGGACCGTACAAGCAACGCATATATCAGAGGGCTTTTCCATGCATTGAAGAAGCCCATCACTAACAGGAACCATAAAGAAGCCTCGCCGACAGCACGGCCTCTTAAAAATCGAAGTTGCTTTTAATATGACCGCATGTGGTCCGGAAAACCTATGAAATCACGTGAAAGTGCCACCACTTGATGCAGTCCTCTTGCTCTGCGGATTTTAGAGCCTGTTAGCGTGTGTCGCTATCAGCAAGCGTTTCTTAAAGAGATCGGCTTGTTAATAGGATGACTAAGTCATGTCTTGTCAATGGTCATTTGGGATAAGTTTAGATCTTACAGGCTGTCAACTTACTCTTTTTGTCACAATGCTTCTATTAACAAATGAAATAAAAATTAGCGTAGCATCAACAAGTTAGATTGCAGCATACGTCGTGGATCTATCTAGACTTCTGGATCAAAAATTCAACTTGGTCGGACGACTATGTCGTTACGCAAACAGACTTAGTCCAGGACGCAGCATGTAAGACATCCGGCAAAGAGCCTTCTGCAGAGATAGAATGTTTATCGGGAATATCGCGAAGGCTTCCCACTTGTCGTTGAAGCCTTGAAACTTCTAATTGAGGAAAATGAAAAGTATAGAATATGCGGTAACATAGGAGCTGCAGAAAAGTCTTTGTTCAATGGACTATGCAGACTGGTAGCGCTGATCGGTGCTGAAATCGAAAGTGACGCGATATAGGTGAGGGACATAGGGTTATGTGACTCGGGATCTAGAATGTAATCCCCTCAGAATTTCGTATCAGACCATGGGACAATCACAAGTATTTTTAACCATTTATGCGCTTACCAGAATGCGGATGCATTGGGAAGGTGTGGACTTGTTGGTGTAGACCGTTGAGACAATCTGAACAGAAGCTCAGAAGTATACCACATTTTCCCTTATGAGGATATCGTAAAGTACGAAGAGTCGAATTTCTTACTCGGTGCGTGTCAACTGATTTCAGAAACAAGAGTGTTAATCAGCAATTATGGATCAAGCCACATCTAGCGTTGATACTGAAAGAGCTGCTTTCATGCAAGATATGATGATTGTTTGGACTATGAAGGTAATGCGATCAAATACGTTGCTCTTAGGTCGAAAATATTTTAATACAACAGAACCTCAGTTTTGGAAAAAGTCGAAGTCCAAAAGCAGGTTCGGCAACATTGAACCTGGGATATATGAAAAACAAATGTTTGACGCCTTCAGTATTGCAACAGACAGTTCTTTTTAGCCTTCCAAATGATATAATTGAGAACATATTAGTGGCGCGAGATCTTTATCACCAGTACTGTAATCTGTGACACTGCTTTTATTGGATTTCTGCATCATAATCCCCTGATATGAGTGTTGTGAGCTTACCCTATTAGCGTCAATGGACACCAAGCGTCACATAATTAATTTCTACTGATTACGAACTCGGCGATGTAAATCATCCTTCCGTGGGTTTCACCGGATGAAGAGTAGAATGTCGACATGTGGAATGAGCCCTTGACACTCATAAAATCATCTGGTTGACGATTTCCGAAGAAATGAAACGTTGTAGATTATACTATCAATTGCACTAACCTCATGTTCGGTTCAGTGGTGACGATGTGCGAAGAGCCGTGACTGCTTTACTCATCAATGCTTATATGACAGTTCTTTGATCGACTTATTTAAGGCGTGGCTGATTTTGGCATGCTCAACCCGCAACAAAGCTTTTGTCACTTTATACCACTGTGTCATAGTTAAAATCAGACACATCGGCCTCAAAGGGAACTTTTCAGCTCTGGCGCACAACTTAACCATGATCCACTCAGGCAATCCAATACGCCCACGCTTGTCGTTTCTTTGAAAAAGCATAATTTACATGCAGACTGTGCGTCTCTGATGGATTCGTGGTACCCACTTATTCTGTTGTAACCTTTTCCTACTTGGTCTTTATTTTTGCTTACACGAGGTATTGACCTCAAATTATTTAGGCGAGTTATATGACTGTGGTATATGTCGGAGGAACGGAGTCTCTTGCAAAATTTCAGCGGCTCTTATCGACATCTGCGATCGAAATAGGCCTCAAGGTCGTGAAAGACCGTCGAATCTTACTCATTCTCAGCGTCTTGATGTGCCGCTCTCCCAAATCTCAGCACAACTTAAAATGATTTTCAGCAACCTCATCCTGCAAAACTTTTCGAGAAAAACTTAGCGCCGCAGCTTCAGCTCCCAACTGACTAGATGAGCATTCAAGTAGCCCTCAGTTTGTGAGAAACTGTTCAATGTCGTCTCATTACAGTTGAAATTCTTGTTTCAAGGTCTCACCAAGCCTTTGAACACCGTTTTTTAGTGTGTCTGAATCAACAGCCGCAAAGGTTCCTCTAAAAAAGATTTCATTGGAATTCGACCCCTTTTTGTGTTCAGAAGGTTGTGGAGGTTCAGTGTTACCGCTTACTTTAAACCAACTACCTGGAATGACAAGAACGCCATTTTCGATGGTTTTTTCATAGATAGCTAGCTCGACAAGTTCGGGTTTCGAAGAGTACTTGGTCAAGAAGTCTGGATGAGCAGATGCATCAATGGTGATGGTAAAAAACATACCAGCTGTTGGGGGATTTATGCGAAATATGGGCGTTTTTGGTAGGTGTTTGAACAAGCCGTCGATGGCAATGTCCCGCTTCTCACTGTATTCACGGCGTAGACCAAGTAACCAATCTAGGAACCCTTCCTGGCCCCACCGGTTTAAGGTCCCAGCCACGATGGCTTGACTAAATCCAGACGGATTCTGTATGGTCATTTCGTGAAGCTGATTGTATACTCTCAGTATTTTCTTGGACGCGACTAACCAGCCCAGCCTAGTACCAGGGGCTAATACTTTAGAAAATGAGTCCATTCTAATAACACGGCCATCTGTGTCCAGAGAAATAAAGGACTTAGCCAACGAGTCCAAAAATTCTGATTGCGACTTGAAATGAGTGACTTTCCGTGAGGTGGCCTCTCTTTGATAGTGATCCATTTGTAGAAAGTAATAAGGCTCATCTTCCAATATAAGCAAATCGTGCTTTTGAGCAATGCGATAAATCTCAATTTTACGGTTATCGCTCAGCGAGGAACCGGTGGGATTTTGGCCCGTGGGAACAGTGTACAAAAGTTTAGGTTTCTTGGTTTTCGGGTTCCAGTTGTCCAGAATGGCTTCTAGTCTTTCCGGAATCAAGCCATGTTCATCGAGAGGCACAGGAAAAACATTAATTCCTTGAGCTTCGGCAGCATATATGGAGGATGAGAACGAGTACTGCTCAGCCAAGATAGTGTCACCCTTGTTGCAAAAAATTCTGAGAGTTGATTCCCAAGAACCAGTATTACCAGTTGTGGCCAAGACGTCCCAGTCTGAGTATCGCACTTTATGAACAAGTTGAGTGTGCTCCCTGACAAATGATAAAAACTCTGGCTGGCCCATTCCAAATCCGTACTGTAGCGCACGCGACAGTGGAATGTCCTTCAAATCACCGCCTTTAGTAATTTCATTCCTTTCGAGGCGGACGTGGCAGGTTTCTTCGCGAGCGCCAGTATTTGGCAGGTCAGTCTCAATCCCATACGTCAGTGAAGGTAATGACGAATCTGCTACAATGCTGTCCCACGGAAAGTATTTGCTTAGTGGTAGGCCACCGCCAAGAAATGCAATTTTTGGATCCTGGAAGTAATGAATACATGATTTTAGTGGTGATGACTTCCGAGCTCTGGTCTCATCAGAGTAAAGGTGAGAAAAATCCAAGGATTGTGGCAGAGTCATAGCCACAATGATTATTTGTGAGGGCGGTTAGATGATCTGCAAACGTGAAGATATACAAAATGCCACGACTGCAGAGTTGTTTCGTAGTTTTGAAATAGGAGTTTGACAGAATTCCGTCTTGCAAGTCTGAACGCCGATAAAATGAATGAAACCTCTCAATGAAGTATTTATGACTTGGTGAAGGTTGTTTATTAGAAGTTACACCTTCCCCAATACTAATCATGGCTGGCATTGTTGATATCGCGGAACACCTCGTCTTCTTATAGTGTTTCAATTATTATTCAGATTTCTCACTCGGGAAAGAATTCGGCTTTGGTTTACTTGATGCATTTTAGTACAAAATCGATCTTGAGTCTCTAAACCCCGGGAAAGAGATTTTTGGAAATGCAGTCGGGAAAGCCGCTGATAATTGGGGACCCGAGTGCCCAACGTAAAAGTGGAGAAACATGAAACAAAAATTATTCCGAAAAACAATGAAGGACGCAAGTAGGTATCATAGAAGGCAAATCGGCCCCAGCTCTGCTTATAAGTAGGTACTTAAATTGTAACGTGTACCTAGCTTCGCTTTGTATCCCAAGCTGCCGAGGCGAGCCATTACCATGAACGTATTCGGCCTGTGCTAAGTAAGCACCATTATATGGTCCATTATCTAAGCTTTCAATATCCTTCTGGGCATATTTGATTCCTTTCTCTTGTTTCAAGAATTGCTCGGGAATCGTTTGTCAACATGTCGAAACCAAGTATTCCGAATTTTTTCGATCAAGGAGATTTTCCGAAGCTCGGGCAAGATTTCGGGAATTTTCGGAATCGGGAACCATCTCTACCTCCCTGGTTCACACGAACTCTAGAAGTTGAGAAAACCTGTTATTCAGTACATAAGCAGAGAATAAATGTAGTCAGCAATTGATATCCGAGTCGTATTATATGAAGAACGATCATATGTTGGTAAAACCCGCCATTCTATTCATTTCAAATCTGAATGAAAACTCCGAGATCTTGAACTCTGTAATCAAAGAAAACTTCCAGGTGTACTTCCACAAGTTCAAATCAAGTGAGCCAGAAGACTTTTTAGAATACTTGCACGAAACATTTACAGAAAATGCACCTCTAGCGGCAATATACGCAGGGTTTACTGCATTCGGTCCTATTGGTGGACTTACTAAAGATATGATAGAGCACGCATATTTTCCAAGACATTCACTTCAATGCATTACCTTGTGCTCTCGTGGTGTCGATTTTGTGGATATAAAGGCCCTTAGCGCCCATGGTATTAAGCTACTAAACTATGAAGATGACATGTCAAATATCGGCAGCGCACAAGGTATAATAAAACCGGCTTTGGCGGGAAACGATGTCGCTGACTGTGTTCTGTGGCATGTTATTGAGGGGTTTAGGAAGTTTTCTTTGCAGCAAAGTAACCTGCGCTATTATAGAACCACTAATTTAGCTCGTTTCTGTGCCAACGGTAGGAGTCCAGAAGCAGTTGAGAGTGTCTTTGGACATGAACTACGTACATGTCTGGCCAAGTCTCCTCGAGGACAAAAAGTACTGATATTGGGTCTCGGCGCTATTGGCAAAAAAATTGCCTACAAGCTACAGCACGGATTAGGAATGGAAGTTCATTACGCTAAACGGAACTCTGACATTGATGCACCATGGAGTTTTCATGCATTAGATGGAAGTCTGTTACCTAAGCTGTCCCAGTTTTCGACAATTGTAGTAGCTTTGCCAGGCACACCAGAAACAAAGCATCTCATCGATAGACAGTTTTTGACTTTCTGTTCTGATGAGCTTATTTTAGTGAATGTTGGCCGTGGGACTATCTTAGAGCAGACTGCCATCAATGATGCTGTGAGAGAGAACAAGTTGAGGCATCTTGGAATGGACGTTTATTATTCCGAGCCTTACGTTGATGAATATCTTCTGGACTGTGTTTCGAATGTCAGCTCAACGCCGCATGTTGGGAGTGGCACGGCAGACGTTTTCAATCAAAGCTGCGATTTTGCACTCAATAATATCATAGAAGTTGTATTGAAAGGCAAAAGTGGCCACTCCTTAGTCGTATGAGCTCAAATTTTGAAGATGGGCTTCCGTTTTGTCAAGTGAGTTTTTCGATGCCTCTAACATCAGTTAAGTAGTTAGCTTTTTACAGCACATGAGGTGACGTACGGTCATTTCTGCGAATCTAAAAAAGAATGGTTCAGAAGCTTTGGGACGGAAGACAGATTTGGTTATTCCCACTACCATTGACCATTCAAAAATGCCCAAAATTGGTGATATTGGGAGAAAAGAGCTTAATCAAAAGTATGCACGACGAAGAGGGTATTTGTTTTATTTAAATTGACTGAAAAGATGAAATTATGGTGGTTTCGCTGTTTACATGGGCCCAGTGCTTTTACTTACTTTCTCAAATAAAACAGTGTTTAAATTCCACCCTTCGAAAGTATTCTATCTAGTTTCTCTTTTATCTAAACTTTCAATTATGCGGTGTATCCAAAACTTCAACTATTGGGCACATGAGAACAAAAGTTTACATCATTTACCATGATTGTAATATTGACAATGCTTCTATCGCTGAAAGCCAAAGCACTTAATACTTTCATTACATTCGTCCTCCTCATAAAGTTATATTGAGTCATTGTAAACAGCCCTAACATAGACTCTATGCACACAGGCGGATCAGCTATTACATAAAACTAACGATGTCACAGGCAATGTAATACTATAATCGCGCCTGGGCTGTTTAATTGATCTCGAACAATCGATAGAGTTTACGGAGTGATTTGCGAAGGCCGTCAGAAGACGGGATGCCACAATCATTATAATATGTACGATATAGTACTTCAGTTAGCTTGTCATTTAGTATTACGAACTTTAGGAACTAGTGCCATGATTTTCTTATAGAAATTTGGCACCGTAGTGGGTATAGAGAGTTCTCAGGTAACATCGTGTGGCGATTTTAAGACTCCACTGTCATCTAATAACTATTTGCGGTGTCCGATGTTTGCTGTCTGTCTTTATTATGAATATACATTGCGCCTGATGTTCTATCGAAGATCGAAGATGAGAGAAATTTATGTAGCGAAGCCCTAAAATCTAGATATTGACGAATCCTCGAAGTTGGGCATGAACAAATGACGAATTTTGTATGTCACATTTACCTCAGTAGAATGTTAAATGTGCTGTGGTAGGATAGGTGCGATATTCCCAATCATGTTTATCCGATGCATTTAAGGCTTGGGGGCCGGGATAGTGAAACCCCGCAGTAATTATTTTAAGTGCAGCAGGAGAAAAGAAAGTGGCCTTATCCTGCAGATATTTTTAAGCAATCCCAATTGAAAGCGAAGAGGACCACTTTTTGATTGTAAAAGCTATCTACTGCAAATATACTCAATAGTCCTAATCATATTTGACATAACACTTAAGAATCAAAGGTAGACCTCAAACTTCATCCTTGGTATTCGTCGAGCAAATTCAGCAGATACCCTCACGCTTGTCCCTTCAGGCATTCCAATTAACCAGTTGGTGAGTTGATAAATATCTGATTCCGAATTTTTCTCGGGAATGCGGGAAAAATATCGAATTCAAGGTGCTCCTTTTATAGAAATACAGTTGGTTTATTGATTGAAAGAATAATGAGGAAAGTGCTGGCATGCGAGAAGTGCCGTACAAGCAAAATCAAATGTCGGCACCAAGGATCAGCGCCATGTGATGCGTGCAGAGGTAAGTCATATGGAAACTTATGCATCTTGAGTCTCCCCGTGATAAAAAAAATCCCAAAATCAATTATTCCTGTACTGCCTGAATCTTCAGGCTTTAAGGATTCCGAAGTGTGCAGCCCCCTAAGCACTCTTTCAAATTTACCCTTAAGCTTGAATGCCGACTTTTTGCATCGCAGTCCCCGAAGTTCTTCAGAACCTAATTATACAAGAGCACGCCGCACTTCTTCAGAAGTCAATAACACAAGAAAACGCCGCAGTCATAGAGTCAGAAAGCCTGAAACGCATGTGGGCTCCGACAGCGAAAAGGAGCGCTCTGTCTACGAATCATTTTCGCGTACATCGCCCGTGAATCATGTTGGTCCCACTCCTATAAACTTGTTATTGTCCAGAAATCTTCCGAGCGATCCAGAAATGTTATCTCACCCTGAAAGATCAGAAACAATGAGCGAGGTTATATCCCAAATTCCAGAAGCTATCTTGCGATTAGTTATCACGCAAACCTCGGGCAGTTTTCCGGAGCTTGCATTCTTACACATGCCATCGCTTCTACATGACGTTAAAAAATCGGACCCGCTGATTACTGGCGCACTCCTAGACCTTTTTACTTCTTTCAATCGAAAATATGATCATGGCCCTTACCGCGAATGGCTAGGGCCCGGATCTCGTTATGTTAAAGAAAAGCTTTACGGGAAAATCGTCATCCGTGAAGCAATTTCTCCAAAGTTTCTTCTCTACAGACCTTCGATAGAAGTTGTTCAAGCTTTGATAATATTAGCGCTTTCTTATTGGGGTAAAGGCGACTATTTTATGTGTTGGATGCTTCATGGAAATGCCTCGAGAATGTTGCAAGCCTTTGGATTCTGCTTTCCTCCCTCCGGTACTTATAATGAGGACGCATCATATGTTCCAGATTGGACTATCTCCAATTTGGGAGAACTTGACTCTGAAAGGCTAAATAGAACATACTGGTCTTGCTTTATGATTGATAGAATCACGGCATTTGGAAATAATAGGTCTTTTGCATTTTCGAAGTCGAGATACGAGAAGGTGCCTCTGCCTCATGATATGCGGACATTCACTCTCATGACCAATTCAACCTGTGCGCAGCCAGTCGCGGACCTTATAACTACCAAACTTTACAATAACCAGCTTGGAAATCATATCCCCCGCCGAAATATTGGTGAGCACGCCATTTACATCAAAATATTCTCCATCTGGGGGGAAATCAACGAATATCTAATGCAAGGGGGTAGGTATACTCAAACGCTACCTCCTTGGGATGATAATTCTCTTGTTTACAAGATACGTGGTGAACTAAAGAAGTGGTGGGAATTATTGCCTATCCATTGGCGCTGGACGACTGAAAGATTAACCTTACATCGAACTATGGGGACAGACACAATCTTTTCCATGAGTAATTGCTTATACCATTTATGCATAACCTACATAAATAGGGAGCATTTGCCATTTCTGCCGCATTCTATTCAGTGTCCCTCGGGCCCCACAGAAGAGCCTTTGTTATCTGACCCATTAGACAAAGACTACTGGAAAACGAGTGCTACCGAATGCTTTCAAAGCACGAGATCGATGTGCATAATACTTAATACACTGATTGAAACTGAAAACAAGGAAGGACTGGAAGGTTGCTTCAATTCTAGAACAACTAACGTTTTCTATTGCTTCTGTGCATTTGTTGCCAGTATAGAATCCATGTATGGTACGAAATTTCACTGGATGAATCCAACTAGAAACTCAAATACACTCAGTCTAGAGACTTGTTATTTACAAATGTTCAACTTCTTAAAGGCGAAGCAAGATACAGTGAAGATAGCTCAAAACTGGCTAGAAATTGCTAATAGGGTGATGGAATTGTATGAGTTCGTTGCAAAAAATAGAGAACAGGCAGCAGAATTAAACTTGGGCAGAAACAACCTCAGACAGCTAGTGGATTTGATCCAATTGGTGAATACTGGAATAACACGTGAGAGTATTGATCACGGTATACAACTTGAGAACACTTCTGCGAGAAGAGAACTTGACAATCATATTGGGGACTTCTCGGGATTTAACATTGAGGACCTCAATTTCTTTTTAAATGAGGATGTAAACATTTTGCAGCAATTCACTTTGTAGAGCGAATTATGGTATAAGACAGATTGGTCTTTACCAGCCTGTAATGCGATCCAAGGAAGGAAATCTACACAACAGATTTCCTGACAGCATTTTGGTGTGGCACTTCCATTATCGTATTTGCTTTAATATAGTCAGTCTTTCCAGACTTCTTGCACAATCGATCAAGATAGGAGCAAAAGCATGATGGCATTTGTCATATATAAAAGAAGCCAGTCTAACAATAGGCACTATGGCACCATAATCACTGTATTCTAGAATGATATCCGCGGTCACAGCACGAATGTTGCTTGGTCGATTAGAGCAGTTTTAGGAACCCCCTTTTGCTAATTTTTCAGTTACTTCAACAGGCCAGCAATTCATAGAGGTAAGTTGTCTGCTGGTAGCTTGATTGGCTCTAACATGGCCAGAGCAGCGGCACGGTCAATATTACGATAATTTGCCTACCGACTAAAGCCAGTCGCAAATCCTGGATGAGTTACATCAAGTCGAGACCCTATACCACCTTCAAATCTTTGAGTCTACGAAGCGTACCGATTCTTGATCCTAGCCTTTATCTCATTTTCCTGATTTTCAGTTCTAAAGAGACCGACTATTCCTTATCGCATACTCAATAGTTCCTGCATGAGAGCGCTGTCAAAAAGCCAGAAAGACCAGTAGCGAAATACCTTCCTTCTTTGGATTTTGAGATGCTCTTGTAATTGAGTTGATTGTCAACTATCGCTGAAGGCAACAATAGGATTCAAGTTCTCGATACTAATCTTCTACTCTGCACACTAGCTTCCATTCTGCTCACTTGCTTCTCAGAAAACAGACTTCAATCAATGTAACACCTAACTTTGGTAAACCCAAAAGTAATGCGCGGTCACCCTAACCTTGAAAGTTAAAGCTGAAGACACATTGCGATTTGAAACTCTAGTCGGGCGTAAAAAGTAAAGAGACTGCTTAGTTCCTGAGTTACCTTGTCCAGTGTCGAACTATTTCTCCGTGAAGAGCCGAGACGCTTACGTTCGCGAGCGTATATCATCTAATTGAGATGGAATGCTTTAGAATCTGAATTTTTCAGAAGCGGCGTCAGATGCCGCTAGCATTTAGGCAGCGCTGAGACCTCACATTAGCCAGTCTCAAAACGTGATAACGTTTCACATAGATTCAGGGTGCAAAAAGTATCCTGTTAATATTGCCCTCGATCTTGTAATTTGAAGTCTTTTTGCCGCACTGGCCCGTTATCTTAAAGAGTGCAGCACTGTCGATTATCACAATCTAAAGTCCGGCTCAGTAGGTACTGGTGAAAATATTTGAGTATTGGAACTACAGCCTGGAGTCCTTATGCAATTTTATGCAGCTTTCATGTACAACTGCAGGGCCGATCTGCTTTATATGTCTATTTTTTTCTATCTTCCCTACTCTCTTTTCATGACAAGAAAATAAGAAGAGAGCAACAGGAAACCGGGTGCGTATAAAAGTGTTTTGGTGTTATAGTAGCTTGCTCCGAAATGGCTTGCTGGTCGAAATCTCGGGATTATTATTCGACGTTTGAAAAGTATAGTACAACTTTATCTCATGTTGCTAAAGTCTACTCGTTTATTAATCAAGAACTGAATGGCATCATTTTAGAAGAAAGAACAATGAGGCTCTTTTATTTCAGAACACAGTCTTAAATATTATTGGCACATGCTCGTGAATTTCACCAAAGACTTATTTGAACGATTTTCAGGCAGCCAGTAGATCACCATCTGCTCTGAGGTCACCACCTGGGCCCTGTTTCCTCAATTAATGGGAATTTTTTTGTGGACCCTTTTGCACCCTTTTCCCAGATGACAAGCTCTCGCTGTACTTCTAGGTTCAGCTTTACGATTAGGAACATAGAGATAGTATACTATCACTTATTGCACCTTGAAAATAATGAGCCACGTTAAACAGATACTTCTACTTTTCAAGGGCGGCACGAAATCAATTACACCTTTGCATATAAAAGATCCAGTAACCTTTCACATTGTAGTAACTTTTCGCATATAGCTTGCCCAGGAGGAAAAGAGCTTCAGGATCCGTGCCATCAAAATGACAGATAGTACTGAGACCAGCACACATGTGCAGCGCGGCTACGTGGCCGAAGATGTCGACGACAAAACTATCGCAGTGGAGGAGAAGTTGGTAAAGGAACCGTTGAATGAATATGGCATGCCAGATAAATTGAGAGTGACGAAATCACTAGTAATTCGTAAGGCTGAGCTAATGGCAAAACAATATGACACCTCATTGCTGAAGGCACAGTTTTTACTGGCCACTTTCATTTGCGCGTTTGGTTATGGATTAGATACCAATATAAGAAGCGTCTACATGGTATATGCCATGGATTCTTACCAGTTTCATTCACTGACATCCACAATAGGTGTAGTGGGCCTAGTCATAGCTGCGGTTGCTCAAATATTCTATGCAGGATTGTCAGATGTTTTCGGTAGATTGAGCTTATTCCTTTTGTCTATTGTGCTTTATGTCGTGGGAACGATTATTCAATCTCAGGCGTATGATGTCCAAAGGTATGCAGCTGGGTCTGTTTTCTATAATGTAGGAATTGTTGGCGTTATGTTACAAGTAGTACTGATTCTCTCTGACAATTCCTCGCTGAAGTGGAGATTGTTTTACACATTAGTGCCAGCTTGGCCTCCCATTATCACCATGTGGGCTTCGGGTAGCGTCGTTGCAGCAGCTGACCCACAAAACAATTGGTCCTGGGGTATTGCAATGTGGGCATTTATTTTTCCATTGACTTGCGTTCCATTGATTTGTTGCATGCTTCATATGAGATGGAAGGTTAGAAACGACCCAGAATGGAAAGAATTGCAGACTGAGAAAACGTTTTATCAAACCCACGGGTTAGTGCAAACTCTGGTACAGCTATTCTGGAAGCTAGACATTGTGGGTCTTCTACTGTTCACTGCGAGCATAGGATGTATTCTTGTCCCCTTGACTCTAGCTGGAGGATATTCCTCTCAATGGAGGAATGCTAAAATTATCGCTCCATTCGTGGTTGGATTCGTGCTCGCTCTTGCTTTCATTTATTGGGAGAGCAAATTGGCTTTGTTACCGTTTGCTCCCTTCAAATTGCTGAAAGACCGTGGTATCTGGGCGCCTTTATGGATCATGTTCTTAATATGTTTCATCTATCAAATGGCTGCTGGTTTTCTCTACACCATCTTACTGGTTGCCGTTGACGAAACTGTACTTTCTGCAACAAGAATTTTGAGTCTGTACTCTTTTGTTTCCGCTGTCGCTGCTCCTTTCTTGGGGATTTTGGTCGCCAGATCTGCGCGATTGAAACCATACATTATTGCAGGTTGCTCTCTTTATTATGTCACCATGGGACTCTTTTACCATTACAGAGGAGGTCAAGATTCTGATAGAGGTATTATTGGGGCTATGGTTGTCTGGGGTATCGCTAGCTGCATGTTCAACTACCCCATGACCGTTTCAATTCAATCTGTCACGTCTCATGAAAACATGGCAACTGTCACAGCCTTAACTTACACAATGTTCAGAATTGGTGGAGCGGTAGCGAGCGCTATTTCAGGTGCCATCTGGACTCAATCGTTATACCCTAAACTGCTACAGTACATGGGCGATTCAGAGTTGGCTCAAGCAGCTTATAGCTCGCCATTGACTTTTTACCTTAAATATCCATGGGGAACTCCTGTAAGAGATGCTATGGTTATGGCTTATAGACACGTGCAGAAGTATGAAGTACTGGTCGCACTAATACTAACGGGACCTATGTTATTATTGACGTTTTGTTTAAGAGATCCTGAATTGACTGATGATGTTGCTCAAGAGCTGAATGAAGGAGAATACGTCAAAAAGAACCAAGATGATCCAATCGGTGACTGGGCTGCTTCTCGCTTCTCCAAGCTGACACGCAGACGATGAATTTATCGACCCTTGACTATGACGGATTGGTATAAAGTGGCACACTTTACTACTGGCAAAACAATTCCAACGTTCGGCACTACGACTTAAGTAACAGATCAGACAACATATGTGGAGACAGAAAAGAAGATACACTCGCGATTCATTAAGCGTCCTTATCACCTCACCTAGATCAAGGCTGGTGCAATCAAAAACAAGTCTAAAACATGTTTCGTGGTGAAGATCGGCCTAATTTATTAGATCAAACATTAAGCTAAAAATCAGATAGGATAGATTCGAACGTTAGGCCGAAAGAGATCCAGATCTGGCAGCAAACTAAAATTCAACTGCTCACATCTCACAGGATTTACCGAGCGCATTTCGGGGGATCGCGGGTGTTGAAACGTGAATTTGAGTTTTTGAAGGCTTACTGATCTTCTCAGGAAACACGTAGCGCTCAGATTGAGCCATACCTCGTTATCCAAATTCATTCTTGTAAACTTGCACATCATCTGGCAAAACTCACCTTCGATAATCTGATATCAGTACGATATACTAACTACGAAACATATCTTATCTGTTTCCTTTGTCGTGTCTCTCCGAAGGGGTCTGCCGGTGGCCCCGGGCTCTGGTACCGATTTCTCACCCAATATCAATCGCGATCTCCAGAAACAACAGAATGATGTCTTCTGAGCGATATGGGAAACAGAAACTATGGGCAACTTGGTAGTCGTTAGAGGCTATACGGAGAAGTCGAGTGCATAAGAGATAACGGGAAAAGGTTTATAAATCAGCTCCCACTGTGTGTAAAGTGTGCTCAAGACAATGCAGAAAGGAGCTGAAACAACATGATCTTCGCCAGGAACTTTGTTCTGGGCTTGCTGTGTCGAGCGACAATGGTGATGTCTAAGGCCATTGCACGTGACGTGAACTCTCCTCTGTCGATAGTTACAACAACAAGGACCGTTACTGCATCTGCAAGCACGAGTTCTTCATCTCTAACTCTCGCTACCCCAGGTGCTCCCGTATCACCAAAGGTGCTGCTTATTGCCAATACGTTCGAATTTGGTTATCTGGACGCTTACAATTTTACCATCCAATACACCGGTGTGTTATTCGATCAGATTTTAGCATGTACCGATGATGGCACTATTTGCAAACTTGAGTGTGGTCAAGAGCTCGTTTCCGCCTCTCAGATCACAGCACTTCTGATGATTCCCGGAGTCAATCTCAAAAAAGCCTACATTATTATCACGGGTACTGGCGGCGTCAATCCAAAATATGGGACAGCTGGTGGCACAGCGATTAGTACGTTTGGAATTCAATGGGAGTGGGGCGGCATGTTTCTCGGAGACGATCTACCTGCTAACTTTTCAGGGCAGTACTTCTTCTCTTACGCACAGCTCACTCCTGATCAATACCCCGTCACGGTGGGCTCCGAAGTATACAAACTTAACGAGGCACTTGTAGACCGCTTTTATGCTACGGGAAGCAATGTCACATATGAGAATGTCTCGGAAACCGCTCAAGATTTAAGGGCAACCTATGAGTACGACGCTGCAAAGCGGGAACCTTTCTTGGCAAGGTGCGATACCGTATCCTCACAGGTTTACTGGCACGGAAATGTGGCTGGGGAAAATGTTGAGTATTACTCCAATGTAATCACAAATGGACAAGCGCGCCCATGTAACACCAATGAAGATGATCAGGGGAGACTGTTAGCTCTTTTCTACGGCGCCGTTCATGATCTAGTTGACTTTGGGCGAGTCTCAATGATCAAGGCGTTCAGTAATTTTGACCGCCCCCCACCACAGCTTACCGCTTACCAATCCCGCTTTTATGTCGGGGAAGGGGCTACCGAGCCTGGTTTAAGAAATGCTTGGAAGACAATCATAGCGATTGTGGATGACGTTCTTGAAAACTGGAATACTGTGTTCGATGCTGGTATTGAACCCAATACGTATATGGGTGACATAAAGGGGACTTTGGGCGGGGTGTGTGACTTCAATTCTACTTCAAGTGCAGCAAAAGGATCGGTACAGGGTAGTTGATCATTATTGAGACAAGTCTGTCTCAGCGATAGGAAGATTACTAATTTTCTCGTTTAATTGACTCATAGTAGATGAGTAAGTTTAATCGTAGCAAAAGGTTTTGATGATTTCTCTGCCATTTTCGTATAGGTAATTATATAGTACCCCTTTACGTGAATAAACTATCGGTATCCATACCTATTTTGACACAGGTGATATAAGCGGGATGGACAATCAGGACACTAAAGAATGATCAGTTCCATTCTTGGTGCTCATGACGATAAACCTGTCATCTACGAATCAATGTTAACTTCTATTCATCAGCGTAAAGATTTTTAAACCGTCTTGCCCTGGCGCTGTCAATTTGTTGTCACTTTGTTCTATTCATGTCATGGTGTCACAGAATGCACCTGTGCAATTTTAGTTCGGTAATTTCTGAGCTGGTTTTCTTGGGATTAAAACTAGAGTCGGATAGTACATAGTGATATAGAAAACGTTAAAGAATAACTCAAACGGCCTCAAGTCCTTTTGCAACGCAATGATACGGCATTATAAGGCTCTCCACTATCCGAATAGCAGCAATCAGATAAAATGGTTGCACCCGGCTCATAATCAGAATCCCTGTGCTATCGCTGGATAGCGTCAAATTCATAATGAAGTTTACCAGAATGGAATCACAACAGGCACCAGGAGCCATGGCAGTATAGTACAAAGTGATAGCAGCAAATAATAATCGGTCGTTCGACTATTTGATGCATCATCTCAAACTGAAGACTAGTATCAGAATGATGATGGTACTTCAAAGTGGTCTGCTAATTGACTGCAGACTCATTGGGTACTATCTGATGTATCGTACTGTGCGCCGTACTGTATACAAAACTGCGCAGCAGTTTTTAAGCTCAGTCACTTTTTACATTAATGTCGAAAAGTTATCCTATCACAAGAATCAGCAACATAGCTGAAAAAATTACGGAGACATACATAGATTTCTACATCCTTAAACGAATTGTTCGAACACTTTATGAGCGACACAAAAAAATAAACAATTCAGCAAGCTAACTACTACTTACGCAGATATGCTTCCGTATGTGTAAGCACATATACCAAACAGATACGAACTGACTTTTAATTCTGGTGTGAGGTACCGCAATACTTGTAATATGCTGCTTCGCATTAAAAAATTCACAAAGGTTCAAATAATCGAAGTTATAAACTCAAAAACTTCATATCTTTATAAAATACGGGTTACACGGTTTATATTCAGAACGCATATTAAAGAGAAATTCTAAAACAAAAATCTTTACACTCTCCATCGATATTTGACATTGTACTAGTTGAAGAGATTGAACCAGCACTAGAGGAACGATACAAAATAGTTGTCTCTGGCTATTGGATCCCGTTGTGTCAGTTTCCCATTTATTGATTAAACTGGTTAAACGCTAGAATATTCAAGTGGTTCAGAAGTGTATTTTGGAGAGTTGTATGATTTGTCGGTACACACTGATTTATCCACACGCAAAATGTGAATTGAAAATGCCTTGACAGGAACATAATAGAGCATGATGGTACCTATTATGCAGGTGATAGTGATACAGATGCACAAAACAGAATAAATGGCACTCACAACTTTGAAGGCCGTGAGCGGCACATACTGGTTGTATTGTTGATATAGCTCCTTTGTTCCTAACGCCATAGTTCCTAAAGGAAACGTCATTGTCCACCAGCCCTTATGAAAAGTGTAGATTTTGGCTCCCTTATGGGTAGACCTCGACGTATTTAAGCAAGATGCAACAGCGGCAAACGACAGTATAGTAAAAAAAATTCCGTTTGCAATCAGCAACAAGCTTAGCATAACACCACAAACTTTAAATGAGCACTGGATTGCTAACTTAATAATGTACTCATCACCATCGGTTGCGGTTGATTGGTAGTATTGCTCGATATACTCCTTCATGTTATCTGTTAACAATAGAATCCCATATGAACCCTGCCCCATTGGACCCACAACTAAGAACATCGTGAAAATCATATTTACAGAGGGTATCTTGTTCACATACAAATTCCAAATGTACGTGCTAATGACAAGTAGAGAAAAGATCAACGCGTTAAACCAAAGCAAAGATGTTACGCCCAGTGTGATGAGCTGAATATTGCGGTTCATTACTTGGCCAAAACAAGCGGACATTGTGAAGACGCCACTGCTTGATGTCACCACGAACAACGGAACGACGGGCAGCAGTAATACGCTCTGCAGATTTTGCTGCATGGTCTTCAAATGGGGGGATGTGCTGTCGGCCTTCCAATATTGGCTGTATTTGAGCCAGATGCAAAATGAGACACCCCACGCTGAAGCAAGTGATAACAAAACGTTGATCCACCATAATATATAAACCAATATGATTATATGATTCGCGACTGGCTTGCCAAGGAACTCGTTTTCCGCAAGCTGAAAAATATAATTAATGATGGTGATCATTCCCATCGACAAAGTCCCCCAAAATACATTATGACTAAGGTCAAATAAGTAACGTATGCAAAAACTGCGCAGTGATTTTTCCTTGACTGTGAACGCCAAATTCAGCACGCAGAATGTCAATAAGGTTATGAATAAAATACATGCAACGGTAAACATGATGTATGAACATATGCGGAGCCATTGTTTGTCGTATGGGAATGCGTGTAAAATGTCCGCTGAGATGCCCGTACCCATAACAGTTACGAACCAGAAAGGGCCGAAGTCGTCGATTAAAGTCCGTTTCAACTTAAATTCACGGCTCCCCATTTGTTCTAAAGTTTGAATTTATAAGGCGCTTCGCCAAATATGATTCTTTAAAATGTACCGTTTGTTTTCTTTTCTCGTGCCTCAAAGAAGGTCCTTGATCCAGTCTTGCAACTACTCACTATGATAGAGCTGAAAAGAACAAAGTAGCTGTTTGCAATGCATTTTTCAATGGATATATATATGGATATATATATATATATATATATTTTAGTTACATGTCTAAATGCTCGGCGTCCCTCCTCCTCGCAGCTCTTTCAATTTTCATCGTGAATGTTTGATAGAATTCCATAACTTTGATAGGATCCCAAAATTTCAAGGAAATTGATTTCCCATTTTTTTGTCTGTCAAAACTTCAATAATAAGAAGTATTACGTATGATTTGATATTAAACGACTTATATCTGCTGCACACTACTTCTTTAGATGATAAGTTAAGGTGATTGGCAAATGTAGCCAAATCCTAGGAACTTTTTGAAAGATGGAAAGCTATGGGAAAACCGCTTTTATATAGAGCAGAACGACAACTGAAAAGGTCATGTTAGCCCTTCAGCACGCCAAGAATTTTCCGTAGACCGGGCATTGAGCAAAGATGTATAGATTGTTCGACAAAAAGTCAGTAGATTTGAAGACATCGACTTAAATAATTTTCCAGGAAGCCTTCAAGTCAAACTGCATCAATCGATTTAGGTATGATGTATTCTCCGTTCGTCGAATAGATCCCGTATTTATTCAAATTTCCTCAGCGTGGTCCATTCAAATGATTGAAAGAAGCCACGATATTCAGTAATAATCGTTATATGAAAGCTGATTGTTTATGGGTTCGGTTGACTTCAAATCCTAGTGCTGTCTTTCGGTTATTCGGAACTTCGGCGAATGCTCCAGTGCGCTATGACGCCAGACAACCTGGAGGTCTTTAGTCATATCTTGAAACGAACCAGAAGAATAAAGGTGTCTTTAGCTCTAAAAAGCAATGCTAGATATTAAGCACCCGTTGAAATGATCTCCAATCCAGTTTGTCAAGTGAAGGTGAACCCTAGGTTGTTAAAAAAAAACAGAGATGGGGGCGAGCCATTTCAGATTTTAACTGACCTGCACAGCATCCTCTTTTTAATGATCTTCTTCTGCTGTAAAAGTTTGAAATCAAACCTGGGCAGGAGATGTTGAGCCCACCAGAGTCTTAACGATAAAAATGTAAAAAATTACAGATTGTCCTTAATCTATGATGCTCCGACCCAATATTTTAGACTTCAACAGTTGCAACTCACTTTATAAAAAAAGTGAAAAGAATCTCAGAATTTCAGAATCCCGAAAACTGTCAGCTCATATAAGACTGATGGCTAGTCCATATTTGCTGATTCATCACTTTCTAGCACTGGACACTAGTAGTACACCCGGCATTTTGGCCGGTCTCTGGGGATACTTTTCATCAAGATGATCTATAATCAAGTGAACAGCAAGATCCTTCTCTTGTTCCGTGAAATTTTCGAATACTGACGACATAACTGGATTGTCAGACCGGACACAGAATTCTGCAAATGGACGGGTTTCGTTAAGTTCAACATGCACGTTCAGTTCCTTGACTTCTATGTCCCTGAATCTTGCTTTTTCAAAACTTGTTCTAATCCATCCTTCTGAAGCCCATGTAGCGGGTAGCCCTGGCGCTTCCTTTGCATCAGTGCGCACTTTCTTGGCAACATTCAGCAGTTTCATCCATTCATTTTCCTTAAAAGAAGTCATCCCAATAACCCCATTAGGCGCCAGTACGCGATACGCCTCTTTGAAAGCTGCTTCGGGTTTGGATGAGAAGAACATTACAAGGGAGGCTATAATGTGACTGAATGAGTTGTCGCTGACTGCAGACATATCGTCCACACTCCAAACTCCAAATTCAACTTTTTTCCACAGTTTACTACTCTCGTTCGATGTTTTTGTTTGCTTTACCGCCTCTACCATACCAGGACTCAAATCGGCAGCGACTATTCTAGGCAAATTCAAAAAACGATCTGAATATTCTTCAATGAGTACTTCGATGCCGATTCCGGTACCGCACCCATTGTCTAAAATCGAAGTGGCCTCTTCAAAAGGTAAAAGAGAGTCTATTTTTGCAAGTATGGCTCTCACAGAATCCCTTGGAGGTCCTGACTTAGTGTTTGAGCGGTATGCGCCTGCATGCTTGCCCCAACCATCTGAATTAGACATTTCTTCACGGCAAAACCAGTGCTAGTAATACCAATAGGGATAACCTTCACGTTCTGTGGTTTTCGAACCAATTCAATTTCTTATATAGGATAATGAGTTTAACATTGTACGCCACGTCTTAATAACCTTGCTAGTCGGTCCTACCACGAAGTATATAATTTGCCGTCTTTTAACGGCTTTTAGCGGCCTTTAGAGGCCTTTAGCGGCCTTTAGCGGCCTTTAGCGGCTCTCGTATGGAGCTTTTACTATGAGTACCTAGCTGATAAATATAGCAATCGGGCGGCGAGAGCGGCTCGAGAGCGGCTGTCCCAAGCGTTAATAACCTATACCTCGGCTAATGTGCTGTGTCGTTCAAAGAAACGTCTGAATACATTTGAAGAAAAACAACTATTTTTCTTTGATCATGGACGTAATAGTAGCCATCCATATCCTGCATAGAAAACAATATTCAAGTTTAATTATATTTTTTTTAATTTTGAACTTTGGATCTTCTTATCTGCTTACTTAAACCTTCTTATCAAAATCCAGGTCTGAAAATAACTTTTTTGTTGTGTCCTGAGATTTCTCGAAAGGTGGGCAAAGGTCTCAAAACTACCCCTTGCCCTGGCTCCCCAAAGTAAGGACGAAAGTAAATGAGCAATTTCACCACCAAGTGTATCCATGCTGATGATATTCTAAATAGAGTGACAGATGTTGTTTCGCCCATTAATGTATCCACAACATTTCGATACGACAATGATAATTTAACCGCCTCCATGGAGGTAAGCGGATTGACCGAAAGTGAGCAACTACCAGTTTACTCAAGGGAAAGTCACCCTAATGCCGATCGTCTTGAAACCGTGCTCACATCGATTTTAGGAGGTTTTGCTGTGGCCTATGCTTCGGGTTTATCAGCTTACTACGCGGTTCTAACTCATATTTGCCCTAAAAGGCTGTTTATTAGCGATTGCTATCACGGATGTCAATTAGCCGCGAAGCTCTTTGCTAAAACAAGTGGAATGCAGATTTTGTCATTCGATGAGATCGAAACAAAATGTAGCATGGGAGATTTGGTGCATGTTGAGGATCCCTCAAACCCGTATGGAGAAAGCAGTAACGTGGTTGAATTGGTCAAAAGAGTTCATAAAAAACGTGGTCTTATTTTAATCGATTCTACCTTGGCTCCACCTCCACTTCGAAACCCATGGGATCTTGGTGTAGATATCATCTTGCACTCAGGAACAAAATATCTCGGTGGCCACTCAGATCTGCTCAGCGGAGTAGTATGTGTTGATAATGCGGAGCAAGCAGTGGAAATGCGAAAAGAGCGTATGATTATGGGCACTATACCTGCAAGTCTAGAAAGTTTTTTGCTGCTTCGTTCTTTGCGCACTCTGGAGGTTAGAGTTAGACAACAATCCGCGAACTGCTTAAAGTTGGTAAAGTTTTTGAAGGAGCATGCCGTAGAAGTCCCAGGTGTTTTGGCTAGTATTCGGCACGCGAGCTTGCAAACTGATGATTATGTCAAGTCTCAGAATAAGGAAGGCTATAGCCCTGTCTTTTCCATCATTCTGAAAGAACCGGCCCAATGCCCCAAAGTCATAAAAGAGCTCCATATATTCCAGCACGCTACTTCATTAGGTGGTGTGGAATCCTTGATTGAGTGGAGATCTTTAAGTGACTCGAGTATTGATAAAGCTCTACTGAGGATATCGGTGGGACTCGAAAATGCTCAAGATCTATTAGCAGATCTCTTTGGGGCTTTGAAACATGTTCAAGGATTCGATTTATGAAATATGTGGTCATTTAAATGTCGAACTCGTACTTGCATAAACGAGCGCCAAGGTGTACGATATTGAGATACTTCGGTGTTAACTGGCTGAGCACTTTACTTCTTGCTTTAGAGACTCAGATCGGTGAGAAGTCCATCTGTACTTGAAAATAGCCATTTCTGAATGAGACTGTATATTGACGCCGGTACTGCTTACATGCGTCAACTTTTCAAAACATTTTTGGCGTCAAGAGAGTTATGCAGTTTCATTTTGTCGTAGTAGGCACGCATAGTATCATTTGTAAAAATATTCAGTTAAAAAAAGGAGCTATAATTCCTGGCAACCAGCTGATGTTATCCTCCAAGCATATAATTCTCATGCCTATTGAAAACGCGGTCGATATTATGCACGAAACTTCGGTCAAGACTGTGTAAGATAAAATGAAATAAAGTACTTTTTCACTTCTTTGGTAAGGCTACAACACCCCATTCTGAGCGTACTACTAAGCGCTATAGGTCTCCCATCAGCTATATGGGTTTGTCTTTCACACTGAGACAGGTCTAATCTCGCCCTTCCATCCGAAACCTATACTGTCACTAGTAAGAATCGAACCCTGAAGAGCTTCAGATCGGCTTTTACTCAATTTCATTACCATCTCTGACAGCCGCTGACCTCGACGTTTTTGGAGCTTATCGGAAGCTCCGAAAGGACTGAAGGATTATTCACGTAAACCCCGTGGCACGTGATTTGTTTTTCTGTGAGCTCAAGACCTCAAAAAGTTGAACATCATTCATTCATGGTAAATTATATACAAAAACAATTATTGCTTATGGTATTAATCCCGTTAAGACGCCTTAAACTCGATTTATCTGATTTTTTTAGAGAATCTGAAATCCCGTGACTGCTGAAGTGTCGTACAAACCGTAGATGGATGTCCATCCGGTTCAATGCACAAAGTGTCTTGGGAATAATCTCGGAGAAATAGATTTAGGATCGGTAACATAGAGTATCAAACTCTGGCTACATGGGCACGTACACGCTCTATAGGATTTCAGCAAATGTTGAAATTCATGTAGATCTCTGTCTGGGTGTGGATGTTTACAGCGTCTAGTTGCACAATGACACAATAGTATAAAGTGATATTAATATAATGATAGCGCTAAATGATACCAGATGGTACTAAAGAGATCTATAAGTGGTCTGGATAGTGACGATAGCTTTTCAAAGCTCAACGGGACCTACGCGTTTGATACCGCTGTGCCTCAATCACTTCATATTTACAACCTTCATCCAGAAATAACTTAATCATTAGATTACGGAAGAGCTAAACAAATATGCTAGCAAGCGTTACCGAATGTGCCGCTCCTTAAGCTTTCTCGAAGCCCGCTGTTTGAATATTTTTCTGCACTTCCAGCAATGCCGAAGGAGCCAATGTCTCTATTATTGCGGGCATCACAATAAGAGACAACCCGCTTCGTACCGCAGTAACGTGCTGCGAAAAGAGTCTGCACGAGCGCCACGTCGCCTTATCGCACTCTATGCTCTACTATAATGGCACAAATCTCCACAAATAGTGGCGCTGAGCCGTTTCTCGAATCGAGCTTCCAATCAAGCTTCTTGGGTGTTTGGTTCGTACAATTTCATAGTGCATTCCGGCTGCCTAGCGCAAAAACCATATACAGCACACTAAGATATATCTACTAGCGGGGTCGCCACTGACTGTATCTCTGTGATTACTTGAGACCTCCGGTAAAATGTTCAAGGCCTCTAATGGGCTTTTCATACTGTCTATCAGCACTCATATTAATTTAGTACCACTACAATATCTGTCATGGGTAAACAGCCTCCAACGCTTGTAGCAAACAAGCTATATATTGGTACCCACATAAAGTCCGCTAGAGCTTGTCAGCTGCCTCGCTATTCGCAAACGCCCATCAGGTTCCGTAGACATTATTTACCGCCCGCAGTTTGCTCGCACTCGACGAAAGTCTCAAAACACAAAAACCAAAACCAAAAAAAAAAAGTGTTTTCCTACGCTTGCTACCCTGCACTGCGTTCCTTCGCTTCCGGAATCTCTACCGCCACCCGCCAATATCCGTTCTGCACCTGTGTTGATATTTTAGCTTCCGCATGCCGGTTACCATTACTTAAGCAAGGAAATCAGAAAAAATAAAAAATAAAAACCCAAAAAAAATAAATAATATAGTTTCGGCCGTTCGCTGGGAAAAAAAGACGGGTTCGGAACGTCAACTGAACACGGCACAGCTGATCTACCAATTATGTTCATCGTTGCGACGAAACGAGGCGGAAGCGCTCCGCTGGATTGCGCACCATTTTACCCTTCCTCTGAACCGTGTTCTTGTCAATAATCTACTCTGCCAAGGCTTCACAAGACGCCGTGCCAAGTTTTCTCAAAACGCAGCTGTAATTACAAATTCTGCGTTCGTTACGACCTCCAGGGTGACTATTAGTTATCCCATCACTTATCTGGTCCCCTGAAGCGTTCTCCGCGCTCTCTCGTTATGGCTGCGGATCCGCTGCGGTTTCAATCCGCTCTTGTAGTTCGGCCGTTCTTAATTTGTCATATCCGTCCCGCATGATGAGATGCTTTCAAATAGGTGGGAAACGAAAAAAAGTTTGATAATCTCCGGTCCGCGGGTGCCGGAAGCACAGCGGAGCGCGATGAGCAATGCAATAACTAAGCGTTAATGACAAATTAGCCGAAGCGTTACAAAGTCTGTCTCTGGATATAAGAACGATGGGTGGTGAGTGGTAAGGAATTGTTTGTGTTGATGGAAGACAACAACTAAGCAACTCACTCACAATGCTAAGTCCACAATACAACACAACTACCCAACGATACGCACTGGCAAGCCAGGCGCGCACAAAGCTGCTAAGCTGCGCAGCTCAATCCAAGAACACAGAACTAAACCTGCGTGTGCTGGTAGGCCACGCCAACTTGCTGGACCGCGTAATGGGAACACTCCAGGAACCCAATGCGGCGGGCGACGACAATGAAAGCGACGAAGATGTGGAAGAATCGCAGATCGCCGAGTACGAAAGCGACGACGAAGAAGGACAGTTCGACGACGATAGCGACAGCGACAACGATTACGTGATCGAACCGCAGCACGTGACTTTCTCGCTACCCGCGCCTCCCAGGGCAACGGTCTACGAATACAACAGTGACAGCGAAGAGGACGACGGCGAGAATGACAGCGACAGCGACAGTGACTTTTACAACGACAGTGCTAGCGAGCCTGAGGAGAACTACGCTACCGTCAAGCTGCATAGACCAAGCCATTACACGCTAACACGTGACGGCGACATGGCCAAACCATCTAACGGAAACCTGCTGTTGGTATCAATTCCAGAAGAGAATGACGACGAGCTTGACGTGGACCACCACGGTACGCCGCGCCAGCTATCGGGCGAAACCGCAGCGTGACATTGCAAAGACGCGTTGCCATCGCACATGGCAATCTAATGAATTGACGACTGTAAATAATCAAAGTAATTTTGTAATAAGGATAGATATAACTGGGAATTGGTGATTTTTTTAGATACACAGGATTTTCCTGCGCGCAGTGCGTCAGGGTCGCTCCATGAGCGGAAGTAGGCAAATAAATAAGCCCGCGGCGAAAATTAATCTTGGCATCGCATTTTTATTTAGTTCGCATTAGTTTTCGCGTGCATAGGTGACTCGAAGTGTCACTTTCATGGCTTAACGCTCGCCCACAGGGTGTCGGCTAAGGAGCCGCTTTTGAATTGCGTTATGAAAATTTGTCGCCTGTCAAGAGGTGCAGAAGGTTTGTAGCTGTCAAGAGGTGCTGCAACTTTGTAGCTGTCCTTCAGATTGTATCTTGCGCAACGTTGGCACATCCCCGAAAAACGAGAGCGGCTGCTATCTGGCGCAACGATTACTTCATCCTTTACGCTCGCTAATTGATAAAAACTTCCACACTTTTATTTGAAATCACTTTAATTCCTCGCTTATCATTTCTATTGGTGATGTGAAAGCTTCAGTGCTCGAGGGTATTTATCGTCTCCCAGAGTATTAGTTTTCATTTGGAGAACGCGAATCAGTGCATCATTTACATCACATCATTTACATCACTCAGTTATTTTCAATCAGATATATTTCGCTATTCGATAAGCAGTGCTGTGGAAAGATTTCAGGAAAACATTACGTGGCGTTAATGCACATTTGTTAGCCTCAGCGAGCGGTTTTGGTAAACAGGATTGTAGCACTACCTGGTCAACGAATTTTCTGAGATCATGCAGTTGGCGTGTCTAAAGAAACCAGGTAGTAGCATAACCTTCTAAACATGATTCTATCACCACTGGACAAACAGCATTGCGGTATTTCTTAGTAAACTACTAATTTGCACCACTGCAAAGTTGTGAGCGTCAGCGAGTAGCTGTAATAAACAAGACTGTGGCACTACTCAGCAGTTGGTATACTGGAAAAACGAGACAGAACCGCTACTCAAAAAACAGTTAGTGAGTACAAAAACAAATGTAGCGAAAATTCGGAAGCAAGCAGTTGGCGTTACTGAACAACGTTGTAGCATCGCAAAACCCTCGCGCGAGATCGTATTACTGCTTACTCACCAAGTAACAACGACTTCTGATCAATTACTTGTTGATGCTCGCAAACATTCCATAACACTACTTATGCATATATAAATATACACACCTATTTGTACAGTTTCTCCCATCAAGCGCCTGTCTAAGCTTCTCATGCTGACTACTATCGCTCGCTACAGCGCGACACAATCGTGCATAGCGACCCACACACCCGCAACTACTATCCACGAGCGTAATTTGCAATGTTTCTTCTTGCGTGTCGGCATCTTTTGCGCCAAGTTTTACCTCCACAACCGTAACCACTTCCCTCTCGGAGACACCCTCAGCCTACCTCATACATACGCATCAGCCTGTCGTCGCTGTGGGCCCTCTGCTTTCTTCCTTTCTTTCCATAAAAATTTTCATGCATCTCGCCGGTACCGGTATTTTGACTTGCTTACTGCACTAAACGGCGAGAGCCGGGTGTTCTTTCCGCCATTTTGCCAGCTTATCGAAGCTCGTTCAGCTATCTGATTGGCTATTTCTCCGGCACCCGAAAATTTGCGTAATTTGGTGGCTAATCTTTGCCTTGCTAATTACGCTGGAATGCGCCAAAATGTCGATATTCACACAGCTGAGACTACGTATCATTGGGTGAAAAAGAAGGAAATAGATTAAGGTGAATCAAGATTGAACAACGAAAGGCGGGGGACACACACGCTATGTGTCTGAGTGTGTCCTGTTTGAAAAATTTTCGATGGAGGAGCTCGTGAGCCAGTTGCGAGACGATTGTATAAAAGCGAGCATGAGCACGATGTAGTCGCCATGTATCATTAGAAGTCTTGATTTTGTTTAAATTGTACGTACATACATACAGTTCAGCGCAAAAATGTCCCCAATCCCTCACGAACCAGAATTTCAACAGGCTTACGAGGAAGTCGTCACTTCCTTGCAAGACTCGACTTTGTTCGACAAGCAGCCTAAGTACAAGAAGGTTTTGCCTATCGTTTCCGTCCCAGAAAGAATCATCCAATTCAGAGTTACTTGGGAGAACGACAAGGGTGACCAAGAAGTCGCTACCGGTTACAGAGTGCAATACAACTCTGCTAAGGGTCCATACAAGGGAGGTCTACGTTTCCACCCAACCGTGAACTTGTCGATCCTCAAGTTCTTGGGTTTCGAACAAATTTTCAAGAATGCGTTGACCGGCCAGGCGCTAGGTGGTGGTAAAGGTGGTCTATGTGTCGACTTGAAGGGCAGATCCAACAACGAAATCAGAAGAATCTGTTACTCTTTCATGAGAGAGCTAAGCAGACACATCGGTCAGGACACCGACGTGCCAGCTGGTGACATCGGTGTGGGTGGCCGTGAAGTTGGTTTCTTGTTCGGTGCCTACAAGTTGTTCAAAAACTCCTGGGAAGGTGTTTTGACCGGTAAGGGCATGAACTGGGGTGGTTCTTTGATCAGACCAGAAGCCACTGGTTACGGTTTGGTCTACTACACTCAGGCCATGATCGACTATGCCACCAAGGGTAAGGAATCTTTTGCTGGCAAGCGTGTCGCCATCTCCGGTTCTGGTAACGTTGCTCAATACGCCGCTTTGAAGGTCATCGAGCTAGGTGGTACCGTTGTGTCTCTCTCCGACTCCAAGGGTGCTATTATTACCGAATCTGGTATCACCGCTGAACAGGTTGAGGCCATCATCGGCGCCAAGGTTGAATTCAAGACTTTGCAACAAATCATCGGCGAGTTCTCTGCCTTCTCCAGCAACCAAGTCAAATACGTTGCCGGTGCCCGTCCATGGACTCTAGTTGGTAAGGTCGATGTTGCTTTGCCATGTGCCACTCAAAACGAAGTTTCCGGCGACGAAGCTAAGGCTTTGGTCGCCGCTGGTGTCAAGTTCGTTGCTGAAGGTTCCAACATGGGTTGCACCGCTGAAGCCGCTCATATTTTCGAAGGCGACCGTGTGTCCGCCAAATCAGCCTCTGAACCTGCCGTCTGGTACGCTCCTGGTAAGGCCTCCAACATGGGTGGTGTCGCCGTGTCTGGTCTCGAAATGGCTCAAAACTCTCAAAGAATGACTTGGTCCAGAGAACAAGTCGACCAAGAACTTAAGAAGATCATGGTCAACTGTTTCAACGACTGTTTGGAAACTGCTCGCGAGTACTCCAACGAAAGTAATGCCGAAGCTTTGCCATCTTTGATCAAGGGTGCCAACTTGGTTGGTTTCATCAGAGTTGCCGACGCCATGTTCGACCAAGGTGACGTCTTCTAAGTAATAAAAAGTTGATGATACTATGTTTTATACAGGTTAAATAAAGATAAATTAGTTCACGTTTTGACAGGGTTCGATGACATTGTGTGTGAATGAAATAGCATCATCCGTGGGTGTACGAGGTGAGCTGCTGGAATCAACATTGGGTAGTCGATAGCTTGCGACATCAAGGCTCATACAAAACCTGCATGGCACAAATGCTCAGGGTGAAGTAATTCAGATACATTCAAGGCTACTATGCTGAACTAAATTTATTTATTGTTATTACGTCCAATTCCCATTTTCAGTCAACTTTTGTCATAAAAACACATATGAGCTAAGCTCTTGAAAACGAACCGCTGCGTCCTCACTTGAAAGCCCAGATAGCCAAGTTCATTGTTTCTGCGTAGTTTACTATTTGAAATTTACTTCAGACTGAACCCTTTATACTAAAGGGTCCTGATAACAGCCTGCAGTTACCTTAAGTATGAGCGTTTGTTTTATGTACAGTATGGGATACACACGTCCCATCTAATAGAACTAAAATTGGCTTGCTGAGTGCGACTCAAGTGTCTTTAGACCTATTTATCGTGGTTCAGTGTGTCCTATCAGCGCTCGGCTCATGCAAGCTAGTAAAGCCCCCAATCTTTTCAGCGTTCCAGTATTCTACAGTTTACCTTACAATTGGTTCTTAGTGGCACCAGCCTCCTAGTCAATGTTTGTGTCAGCGATCTTGACATTGTATCCTTCCCAAATCTGTTCAGCGATTTTCCGCTCCGTAAACTATTTTTGTTATTATTACTCATTCAGAAGCTCTTCTTCAAGCTCATCTCAAAGTTTTTGTCACTTATCATGAGTCAATGCGGAGAATAAAGGTGGTGAAGCCACCGCCGCAGCATTTGTAATACTCAATTCGAATTGCTTGCAAGGAACGCACGCGATAGGATTAGATAATACTACGAAGACCTATTGCCTTATAAAGCTTGGTTTAATTGATAGCCGCGCTCCTCCTGCCCCTCCAGAAAAGCTTTAGAAGAAAGAACGGGCCGATAATAGAGATGAAGAAGAGATCTACCACAGGATGTTTGACGTGCCGTCGACGCAGGAAAAAATGCGACGAGCAGAAACCGGTGTGCAAAGGCTGCGAGCGGAACTTCCTGCCTTGCGAATGGCCTCAGTGCCCTGGTATAAGAAGACGTCGCCGGAGAAGAGAAGCACCGCAAGGCCCGCTGTTGCTGGAGGAGACTGAAACTTCCGAGCCGGAGGATGAGTTTTGCAGAAAAGAGAAAGGTAAGGAAACAAAGTTCCATATTATACAGTGCACTGACATCCGGTCCAACAACCATCCCGATAAAAATGTTCACTGGCAATTTGAAAACTACTCTAAAGCCGAAAATAGTGTTCTGACAAAGTATGATGAGCAAAAGTGTCGATTCGTGGAGGCCTCCGCAGACGAAGGCTTAGCGTTCACAATGGGTGACGACTTTTCAAAGTATCAAGAAGCTGGCCTGGGTGAGTCTGATGGAATCCCAGAATCTCTCGATCCATTACATGACATTAGTATTGACTTTCTGAATAGCGTTTATGTGGACAGAACAATTGATATGCACTTGAATAGAAGCACAGTTCCTCTAGTTCAAGTTCCAACCGATGCGTTGATAATTCATCCGGAAGTTCATAGCGCGCAAAACTTTGGGTACGATGAAAAGCATACGTTTTTTGAAGATCTCTTGAGACGTTACCGGCGACGTGACGAAGTGACTGATGCGGACTTGGATAGCATCAATCTCCAGGAGTTTTTATTTTACTGCTGTGCGAAAGGCTTTATTCCAAAGCTTGATACACAGTATACGCATCCCTCCTTAACCACGGATGCCACCTTCGTGCCTCAAGCGAGCAAAAACGCACTAATTAAAAATGTTTTTATATGCTGCGGTGCAACATATTTGGCTTGGTGTGATTTAGAGCGTTACCAGCAGCTAAGCGATGAGCTTTACATTAACTGTAAAGCCCAGATTCTCGATTACATCGAGCAGGCCGAGAATTATGCAGATGACGACTGGCTTTTTGCTGCTTTGCAATTATTATGCATTCGAGACAAGAACTCTTTCACGGGAACTGTCGACAACTCCATATGGCACTTGTCTAAAGCTTTCTTCATTATTCGTGAAAGATACTACGATGCTACTTCGACAGATTTGTTTGATGATCCGCTACTTGACCTGCTCTTGCGCGAGAGTATTGTTCTTCAACCTCAAGAAAGGATGTTTATCGAAAGCTTCATATACCAATACTCGATCTCAATATTGTTTGCTCGAGACATCTCATGTTTACCTAATCCCTGTGCTGTTTTTAGAGCATTGAGTTTAGTTCTAAAGTGTCCCGTCTACAATCTAGAGGGTCATGACCAATGGATGAACAATCCACTGCTAGGGCCATCATTGGACACTTTTGAAATTTTGGCCAAATTGTCCTACATAGCACGAATTCAAATGCCCTTGGAACCAAAATGGCACAAAAAGGTACTGCAACTGCGTAACATGTGCATATATTATACACAGCCAAGTCCCGCTCAGAAAATAGATGACCTACAATGGTTTAATTATAGAGTCACTTCAATGGTCGGCCTGCTAGTCACGAAGACTTGTGACCTGTTTGCCTCAAAGATATTGAACTACACTACATTTGACGTCACTAGTCCTAAAGTTCAAATGCAAACCAAGGAAATTATTAATTTGTTCAAAAAGGTTCCTGCTGATCATCAAATTTGGGGCATTTTATCCTGGACAATCGTAATTACTGGCGCTTTTACGCGAGACCCCAAAGATCAACTGTACATCATAGAAAGAGTTCAGCATATAGCAGAACGCGCTCACAGTTATTGTGGTATAAAGATGTCATCTTTTTTACATGATATATGGAACACAGCGGACGGATTAAAGTTCTTGTTTGACCGCAATAAACTAGCACAGGTGGATTTATAAAGAATGGGACCATGTGGGCGAAGGGCTTCCCGAGTGCTTTCATACCACAAATCTGAAGCCGCCTAGGTAAAGCAATTCTCCGGCAGCCCCGACCATGAGGCAAAACGGACGCTCTCTTCGTTTCGGAAAGAAAACAATCGGTTTTATGAACCCTCGAGACCACCCCGTTTTAGTGACTTAAAACGACGTGGAAAAGTTTTAGGGAGGATAACTTAATAGAACTACAATATCCACGGCTCCCGATTCCTCTTTTAAGTCTTGGAGAATTTTCCATTCTTAAGCCAAAATGAGCTTGTCGCCAATAATGTCATTGCTCTACAATATTATTCTATCCCGTCGGAATATCTGAGCTGAATATGATAGCATAGTCAGAAGCCTGCGATTGACTCGGAGAGTTACAGAAGTATCAAAATAGGCGAGGATAATTAGTAATAACTCAACACTCACAAATTGAAAGGTACCTCCTTCAGCGTACTAGTATTTGAACGATGGGTTACAATTATCGGTTTCGCGTGATATAATAAGTAATTGACACTAGTGCTTCGAAAGTTTGACGCTAGCGAGCAGGTAGCTGTTCTTTTACTTTGTTAGCGGAAACTCTCACAAAATATTTCCCATACGCTAAAGGTACGCTTGAATTTCCGTTGGATAATCGTTGATAGACTTGATAAGTGTCCGAATTTTCTCACGCCACAACCTTGGTACTCAGAAATGAGCCCAGTGCTTTCATCCAGCTTCAAACGTAACACGACCACAAACTCTAAATCTCATAGTGCTGATCAGATAATAAGTCCGAAATACCGGAGAGTTGTGATTACTCTTCTCTCAATGTTTAGATGGCTAGACTAACCCTGCAATCGAACATTTTATAGAGGCGCACAAGATTTTGGTTTCACATGGCTATAGGCATAGTTATTTCTGTTAACGACCGAAAGAATTGCAGTATCCGTCGGCTACAGTCTTCAAGTTGTGAAAAAGTAGTCGATGTTGTGGCCAAAGGAATGAATGACGTGAAGAATACCGAGAATAAGGTAACATGCTACAGTTCATGGAGGAGAGATTTGCGAAGGGTTTCTAGTAGTTGATCAACACTTAAGAGAAAGTTACTTTAAATTATTTGATTATGCGGTTTGGCCTGGTGGTTACTTGAAGTAGATTTTCGATGCTGGATTGAATTGCTTTATATTCGCAAATGGTGGTTTTGACTTGCTCTTCCAATTACGTGTATGAGTCTAAAGAACTGATCATCAAGTGTACTTGACGTATAATTTTAAGGTATGACTTGAAACGTCATGCTTGCGAAAGTGGCACAGATTAGTGTGCTAGGTCACAATGAATTGAGAAATCAATAACTCTAATTGTTCATGCTTTTATGACGGCTGCTGCGGCTAGTAAATACCGTTTTCAAATTGTACCACATCTTGAAACCCTCAAACCATATCCGTAATGGAACGTAGATCCGCAGATTGGGAGTGAAACAAATCGGAGCAAACTCACTTTTCTAACAGACCACCACTAGCAGGGTTAAGTGGAGGAATGTACATCCTTCGCAACCTGTTTAGTTGACCATCTAGTCGAGCTTTTCTCTCGCGTAACTTACCACGGCTCACAGGTCACATGACAATACAACTGCGTTGAAAATTTATTGATGGAACAATAAGCATGCGATGAGCTTGAAGAAACTATCCATTGCTGTAAAGTAATCGCTATTGATACCAGTTTCAAGCGCTTTGAGGATGGTTAAAAAAGTTTCGAAGCATTCGAGAGCGTCTCGTAGACGTGAAGCCGAGGATATGGAGGCACAGACGCTAGCACAACTTCCGCGCGCGCAGAATTTGGATTTGACCAACAAACTCATTAGAACTGCTTCAAAGAATGAACAGCTTCTTGAAGCTAAGATGAAAAAGAAGGACAAAACTGGTAGCAAAATCGCCAAAAAAACCACCAAAAAAAGCGTCCTGGATACCTTGGACAGCCAAGGAATCGAGAGAGCTTTGAATATTTCCAGTAGACTAGACGGGAAAGTTGATAAAGCGAAAACGAGAGCCAAGTACGTCCAAGCAGCCCGGAAAGCAGGCTGGGATAGTACTAATGAAAGTATCAGAAGAGATCTGGCGAAGTTGGTCGGCAGGGACATCTCCGCTTCAGCAAACAAAGAGAAGGATGATGCGGAGAAAGAGCCCACAGAAGAAGAATCCGACATTATGGCGGATGAGGTGCATGAAGAAGAGCCCGAGGTGCCTTCTAAACCTGCCCAGACTAACATGTTCGGCCTATTAACGGATGATGTAGAGGCATGATCGGATTCACTTTGTTGTTCTTAAGGCGCATCGTTGAAATCTTAAATGTGGTGTCCTTGCTGCCTGCCATTTGATAGACAACTACAATAAATCCTTGGGCTAAGGTAAATCTCACAATTATGTATAATACGCAAATCAAGGAATATTGAATTTTACGCTAGTGCCGGCACCCATGATTCTTATGCTCAGTCTCAATATCAATACCCTTTTATGAGGAAAACACCTACAAAATTGACACAATTTTCGTACACTGGTGCAGCCTGATGCTGGGTTTCGTATTCGCGATATAGAGAATGCTAGCAAGTGAGCGTTTGCTGAGACTGATACTTCAAGCAGTTTTCGAGGTTCTCCTTATCATCAGCGTTACTTAAACGCAAGTTATCAACATCACTTTCTGCCGCGGAATTTATTATTAGGCTTTTTAGTTTGTCTGACAAAATTGTTCGATTGCGATTAAGAAACTTTACTCTCACAACACCCAAATTTCAAAGGGATAAATAGCCACCAGAAAAACTACAGCTAGCAATGAACTCAGACAAAGCATCAAAAGTATCTGAATCCTTGATGAACATTTTGTTCTCGAAATTCATAATGCTAGACGATCTAGTGAAGGGATTGATCTTTGGTGTTGGGGCCGTTTTCGTAGTGATACTCACTTCGATATTTTTGATCAAGATTATGCTGATGAGCCAGGAGCAACCAAAGAAGAAGGGTGAAACGGAGGAGAAGAATGACAAGCAGCTGTCAAATGGCAGGTCCACAGCTGCTTCCACAGCCGTGGGCAAAGCATCTGACGAAGCTGAGCATGCTGAGCATCTTTTGTCACGAAAAGTAATTCCGCTCAGGTCCAACGCAGACTTCGAAGAGGAGATGGAAATCTCGGTTATGGAGGAAGACTAAAACAGCAGCGACAATCTGTATTAAATACACAAAGTTACGATTTTTTAGCATAGTTGATCAAGATCATTTTGAAATCAATTGAATAAGTTTTATGGCGGAACAAACCGGTATGACCCCAAGAAGAGGTTACTATACCAAAAAAACAAGAGGAGGGTGTATGTGGCTAGTCTCGTTGTACTGGCGGCTTAGAGTGTTTTTTCACCCCGCGTTTATTTCACCTTCATCGTCGTGGATGACTGGTTTGATGGATGGAATAGTCCGAGCAGAACCCGAGTTCTTTTTCTCTATAGCATCGAAGGCGCGAGAAAAAAAAGTATACACGGAACCAAAGAAAAAGTTCCTCAGTACCGAACCGTCATTTTATCATGTCATATCAATAATTGTTCATTCTTGTCTCGTTTGAATATTTAAATGTCATCATTACACACTGTTTCATTTCGAAAGTAAGTGAGGTGAAAGGTGACCCGCTATACTCTTCTTCCACAGCTTCTTTCTCAAAATTTAAGATTTCCCTTCCAAAGTTAACTTCACACGGACAGCCTTAACTTGAGTGTAGTTTTCCAACGCTTCCGAACCCATTTCTCTACCGATACCAGACGCGTTAAATCCTCCGAAGGGGACCGCGTGGTGGAAATCGTTGAAAGTGTTGATCCAAACAGTACCAGCGTTGACTTTGTTAGAAACTTCAATAGCTTTGTTGATATTTGTGGTGTGAATACCTGCAGCCAAGCCGTACTCCGAGTCGTTGGCCAATTCAATCAGTTCAGCAATTGACCTGAATTTGCTGACGGTAACCACGGGTCCGAAAATTTCCTCCTTTACAATACGCATATCTTCCTTAACGTCTCCGAAAACCGTTGGTTTGACGAAAAAACCTTTGTTGCCAAGTCTTTCACCACCAGTGACTAGAGTCGCACCCTCTTCTTTGCCGATCTCCACGTACTTCAAAATTTTGCTGAGTTGCATTTGCGAAGTTTGAGCACCTTGGAATGTTGATTCGTCAAATGGATCGCCTACCTTCAAACCTTCCGCAGCCGTTTTCAACTCTTCCAAGAATAGGTCGTGAGCAGATTCTTCCACATAAACTCTAGAACCGGCGCAACACACCTCACCACTGTTGTAGTAGATTCCTAGAATGATGTTTTGAACAGTTTGCTTCATGTCGGCATCGGCAAAGACGATATTTGGGGATTTACCGCCCAATTCCAAAGTGACTTTCTTCAAGTTTTGGCCAGCATTTTGGTAAATATGACGGCCCGTAGCGGTAGATCCAGTAAACGCAATCTTCTTGATTTTAGGATGAGTAGTCAATGCTTCGCCAATAATCTTACCAAACCCGGAGATAATGTTCACCACCCCTGGAGGGATGCCGGATTTAGCGACAAACTGGCAAACGTACAAAGCAGACAAGGGAGTGGACTCGGCGGTCTTGAGAACCACCGTGTTACCGGTTGCCAGCGCAGGGCCGACTTTCCAGGCCCACATTAGCAAGGGAAAGTTCCAAGGGATGATCTGGCCACACACTCCAAGCGGTTGTCTCAAAGTGTAGGACAGATGCGTGGATCCAGTGTTAATCATGCGGCCGTCGACCTTGTCGCACCAGCCGGCGCACGACCGCAGGTAGTTGATCACCAGCTGTACGTCACCGCGCGCGCTGGAGATAGCCTTACCGTTGTCCAGCGTCTCGATGGACGCCACAGTGTCAATGTTCTCCTCGATGTATCCAGCAAGCTTGTTGAGCGCGTTGGCACGCACCAGTGGGTCTGCTTGCGACCACACGCCGCTCTTGAACGCCGCGTCTGCCGCCTGGATCGCCTCTTCGACATCGTCCTCACGTGCCTCGTACACGTGCGTGATTTCCTCCTCTGTTGCCGGGCTGATCACCTCGAACGTCTTGCCTTGCTTTGAGCGTACAAATTTGTTATTGATGAACAGACCCGTAGGCTGTTCATACTCGATACCGTTGGGCATTTTGACGGGCACGCGCAGCGGAAGCTGCGCGTAGCACCGAATTCCGAACCGCGACACGGCTTGCGTGGTCGCAGATCTGAGCAATGTCTTCGTGAGCATTACGGTGTTTTTATTGTAGTTGTTGTTGGTGTATGTCGAACGAAGAGGATCCTCAGAAGCCTGATATCGTTGCTCCTTTTATACCCAGCCGTTTTTCAGTTGCTGTGCTGACACAAAAACAAGGGGTATCCCTAAAAACTTTATTTTCCCCGAAAAAGAAAAAAAACAAAAGCTCAAAAAAAGATACACTTGCAAGCGTCAATACTGGTAAATCAATCAATTAACTGGCTTGTAACGGAGTTGTTGATGTTGGCTGAAAGATGTGCCGTGTCTGCTGGTCTCTCTGTACTCGAACTGTTGACTTCCGCTGTTTGCTGTGCTTTATATACGCTCTTTATTGCCTGGTAAGGACGGGCCCCTCCCGGAATCTGTAAATTCTTTAGAACAAAGGTCGCTTGCAAAACAGGTCATTCGTTGCCTAGTTGAGCCAAATAGCGAGGTAATGGTTCGGGCTCTTTCGACCGCAAATCGGATGACGGCAGCTGCTCGTGTGAGACGGCGGGAGCGGGTGGTTAGCGGGTGGTTTTCCGTCTCCCGCTTTTGTTTTTTGCGGTGAATGGGAAAGTGGAAATGCGTTGAGGACGTATCAGAGACCACAAGCGGGATACAACAGACGGGTAGGGTAGGATGAACGCAGTGCGATTGTTCTTGAAAGTGTTGAGAAAACCGGCTTGAAAAGATAATAGGACATTTGATGACCAGGGTGGCCCATGACGCCCTGTGTGTAGTTAATAATCCGGGGTAGGCTGTCTTAATTGTATCGGCTTTGCAGCACCTGATGTGAGCCCCGTGAGGTTATTTGTAACAGCGTCGCTGGACCTATTACATCACTTAACTGATTTATCGCTGATTAGAAATCCTGCTGGGATGAGAGTGATATTAGTGTGTCGTCCCGAAATGACAGAATAGTACAAGGTGATATAGATAAGACATGCGCGCTAAATGACGTCTGGGAGGCTTGTAGTCTAGACTGTAGCGGTGGCAAGCTTTCCATCACCGAACCTGACTTAGCTCGTCCCTGCAGTGCTTAATCTACTACGGTAGTGAAAAATTATAGCACAACGACAAGTCAAAGGTCTATAAATTTCCGCGCTGTGCATTTGTATAACTACAAAATAAGCTGGCCCCACAAGACTTCAATATCGCGGAGCATCACATCCGCTTTCTGAGCCCGCCTCGGTCTTGTCGTCAACTCAAAATTCCTCAGTTGGGGAAAGCGGTGCCTTGAGCAGGCAGTATCGTGTAGCTTTGAGTAATCTATCTCTCTGCGATATTTTTCTCTACAACTCGCTAGAGCTGCGTGGAAAGACTAGAATTTCGCAAGTTTACTTCACAAGCTCATAAGTTTCATCCTTCTTAGCCTTCATTAGTTCATGCATTCGCTTGTTGTTATCTATAGAATTATGTTCTCCCGCAGTCTAAACATTCGTGTTTATAAAAAGACCTTTTTGAGAGTGGGTAAGGCCAAAGCTATTGCTTCGGTCATTGCTTCGCGATCTATTTCTTGCTGAAGCTGCGATAATGGATTCTTGCGGATGTCCAGCACCTGCAAGTTCCCCGGCAACCTTTCCATCAGTCTTGTAAAGCCTTTGAAGTCATTTTCAGAAATCAGCAAAGACTGTAATCCAGGACACTGTGCAGCAAAATGCTTCGGAAGTTCATTAATGTTTGTTCGATTTAATCGGAGTCTGCGGAGGGCTGGTGGCAAACTACCCCAGGGAATAGCTTCCGAAGGCGCGCCCACGAGTTCGAAATGCTCCAGTGTTTCTGGCAGTTTCAATATTTGTAAGCTCTCTCCGCTTGCCCGTAGAATACGCAACCGCGGAAAGTCTCCTAAGGACCTCAATGCAGAACAGCCAAGAGCGCCTAGTGTTCTTAGACTTCGACTGCTATTACCGTCTAGCGATTCCAGTGGGTTACCATCCAGTCGCAGTACACTGAGATTCTTCAAGAGATGTAAATTCTTTATTCTCGTGATTTTATTACCACTTAGATCAAGTTCGCGCACATATGTCAAAAAATTAGGTTTATGCGCATCCAAAGAAGCCAATTCTGCAAAATCGAGTGGACCGATGAGCCTGTTACGTGACATATTCAGGGTTTCAATTCTTGCTCTTGACTCTGATAATCCTTGCAACGAAGTGATGCCGTTCTGAGAGAGATTGACATTTCTAAGATGAATGCATCCCGCCAAAAGAGATAAATTAGTGGACAAAAGGTTATGCGAAAGGTCCAGGTCCTCTAAATGTTCTAGCGAGTCCAATCGACAGTAAGAGCCAATTCGATTGTGAGCGCAGCATAATTTGACGAGGTGGACAGGAGCCCCCTGCAAAGAGTTTATTTTGTTGTGCGAAACGTCAAGTTCTGAGACTGCCGGTGTCATATCGTTAAGCCCCACTAGACTATCAAGATGTTTTTGCTTGAGAGACAGCTCAGATATACGCTCCCAGATTTCTTTTCTGGGAATCGTATCCACCAATGCAGACACCACAGCGCCTCGTGCGATGCGAAAAGATGTATCTAACTCAGAAATGCTGGTCACATTATCAACCAAGTTATGGGTCGTGTCAGCAGGCATGACTGAGGCAGTCCGCATTGTGGTGGTGCTTTTACCAGAAGTGGACCTACTTTGAGAATTATCAGTTTCATCATATGCCATGAATTTTTGATCCATCCTTGGGGTTGACAATGGTGTGTCGTCAATGATGGATTGGTCGGGTCTGGTGCGCGGCAACTTGAAGGATACAATTTTGGCTTCCGAAGACTCGTCTTGAGCACCGCTAGTGGAAGCATCTACCGCAGCAGATGGCTGATCCCATACACCCTCTTTGTAATTGAAAACCATTCCTGCGTCTTCAGGTGTAATTAATTTCAACGGTCGTCTCGGAGAGGTCTTCTGTGGCTTTGAGAAGCCATTTGAATTTAATTTAGGCTGCTCAGAATCACGCTGACGCAAGCTGGGAGATACCGATGGGTCAAATGAATCATAAGATGAGCTTGATCCAGTAGAGCCTGTCGAGTCGTATTCTTCTGATACCGATCTGGCCGACTGATCTTGCGGCTCTTCCGTAAAGAAATTTGATCTCTGATGACGCAGAACATTGTTGAAAACTCCAAGTGCTTCTCGAGCCGGATCCACATCAGTGTCAATTGCTGAATCTCGGTCCTGGACAACACTGCGCTCAGAATCCACGTTTGGCGGCCTGCTACCACGGTTCTTAAAAGTATTGGTAGGAATTAGCGATATATCGCTCAACGAGGACGTGACTACAAGGTCGTCGCGAGGCTTGAGTCCCTTGAAAGCCTTTCTGCGCAAATCCTGGCGTTCTTCCTGTTCTTGCATGTACTGTTTCCACTGCGGCGGCTCAACATTTTCTGAGTCGGCATCATGTTGCTGTACAGTCCCGTAGTTCACTGACCAATTTCCGAGCTTGCTAACGTAGCTTTTGCCACTTGGGATGCCTTGTACCTGAGAATTGAACTCTGAATCTTGAAAGTCGTCATTTTCTACATATGGCTTGAACTTGGGCGAACTTATGTGGAATTTGCCCAAGCTCTCGCTCAACTGTCGCGACGGAGAAGACCCAGCTGACATGAAGCTGGCACTAACGTCAGTTGCAATGTTGTGGAAATTACAAAAAGACACTATAATATCCTTGTCGAACGCGCTTGTAGAATTTGGAATTATTGCATTTATTTGTGTATATCTCGGTTTTATTTACTCGAACCAATTTTGTGTGCCGCGGTAGCGCATCGCGAATCAATCCTAGATCATGATATACGTATACTCAGAAGAGCTCTTTTCTTCAGCGACACTGGCAGTTTAAATCCTTTGCGCATCCAGCAGTTCCGAAAAGATGTCCTACCGCTTACGCGATCTGCTGAGTCCTGGAGATGGAGGGAAGCAGCGAACCTTGCGGTGACCCCGTAGTTACAAACTCCTCGTCAAGAAAATGATTATTTTCCGTAACAGCGAACATTTCAAATTGCTGCATTTCGTTTGCGCCTGCACTTTTTATTACAGCGAGTGTGTATTGTTCTTTGATGCACTAGGCATTGCTGTACTTCGTACATGCGCCAGAGACATCTCTTTAACTACGAAGCGTTTCTCCCAGTGCCAGGATAGAGGTCAAAGTTTTCAAAAAACACAAACCAATGCTAGCGCAAACGTAGAGTTTCTGCACTACAAGTACGATTCTCATGCTGGGATCCAACCAGAACAACTTATTATGATCGTATCAATTTCACGCTTTCCGGCTTCACGTCCCATCCTGTCATTTTTTCCTAGTGTGTCACCAGGAATTTCATACGTCAAGGCTGAGACAATTACAGTCTTTTACACCGTAAATTGCGGCTAAGAACAAAAGCAGATTTGTGACGGTTAGCAATTGAAGACGGCCCGAAGTAAGTGAAGAACCGCTTGATAGACGCACTCTTCAGATTAACGGCAGTTGTACATTATCGTTGCTCATATATTTGGTGATTTCTAATTTTACTTTTGTGTCTAGCGACAGCTGTCCATTCCGGAAAGAATAGCAGTGCATTCCTCCCGTCAGTCAGTTCATGCCAGTTGTTATACAGAGGCTTATTCTCTATTCACTTTTATCTTCTTTTTCGTTGTTCACATTTCGCTCCTCCTACAATTACCCGCCATTCGCGAACTTTGAAATTGTGCACAAATAAACAACACAACTCAAAACTCAAACACGCTACAACTTAAGCGTAAAGACCTCTAGAAGCACCCTTTCTCAGCTTGACAACATCGAAGTACGGCAATGGAGTCAACAAGCGAGGAAGAAGCATTCTTCCGGGTGATTTCCGAAAACATGAAGTTTGCGTTCACCAGCCCCATGCCTACGACCACACAATTCCCAACCCCGTACTCACAGCAGCAAGAACAACAACAGCAGCAGCAGCATCAGCAAGCCCATCAGCACCATCATCACCAGCAACAACAGCAGCAACAGCAACAACAACCTACACATGGTAATGGTAATGGTCCCGATGGCTCGGATGACAAAGAAGTAACAGCGCAAGACGACAACCATTCTATGATGGAGAACAGCATGCTGGCCGCTGGGCAAGGTGCTGCAAAGCTCAGCGACGTCAATGTCCAACCATCGTCGGCTCTGCAATTGGGCAACGAATTCATGCTCACGTCTCCGGAAAACTTCAAAGAATTCCTCTTCGAATCGCCGGCGGGGTTCAATTTGTGGCACCGTACGCCAGCAAAGACCCCATTAAGGTTTTTCAACGGTTCTGGCGGAACTTCTACTGTCGACAAGCCTGAGCAGACCAGTAGCGCACACAATATACAAAATACAGCTACGCCGCTGAGAAGCATAGATGTAAATCTCATGTTCAACTCCAAAGATAAGCTGGCGCCAACGTCATCGTCTTCTCCATCCAAAAGATACCTATCATTGACGCCTTATGGCAAACGAATACTCTCAGACATGGGGACACCTTATGCTAAGCTGCTTGCCTCCTCCAATAGTGCACTTGTGGATTTTCAGAAGGCACGTAAAGACGTAGCAAAGACGACATCCAAGATTCGTAATAACAAATCTCTATCGCAAAAAAAGCTCGGCAAATCCGTTCAACTCCTTCCTAGAAGCGACACATCATCATACGGCGATCGTTCGAACTGCACAGAGAGACACGAATCAGTCCATCGTCTCAGCCGGCGTAACTTGGCTGTCTCCGAGGCCGAAAACGGTGACGAGGCTGCAGATGATCACGATCACGACCTTCAAGGCGCACGTGATTGCGGGTCTTCTCCCACTACAATCCAGCTGAATTCTTCTGTTACAAAATCAACCCGAAATAAGCTTGGTTTCGTTGGGGATCAACCGGCTATGCCATTCCATGATAATGGATCGAGCGAAGACGAACAGAACAATATTGATGACCGATTATTTGACATGGAAAAGCTACCCCTGTCACCAACGCCAAAGCCCATGAGCTGCAATGAAATGGACGTTACACAAATAAGGATCCCAGAACTGCCGAAAATGGGCTCTTTCAAGAGCGAGACCCGTTCGAATTCAATGCCTAATACCGCCAAGAAAGTAACGCGGAAGCAGCCCAAATTTCAGATTATTGTAACGAACGCAAACTCTTTCAACTCAACTAGGGGAACTGTAATGGGGGGCGAGCCTGGTAGCAAAAGACGTAAACCAGGGCTGAAACGCTCACAGTCCGAAATTGTGCCTGTGAGTAGTTCGTCTAAAGATGGCAGTAATCCTAATAAAGGCAAGAACAAAAAACAGCGAACGTCGCAGATCACCAACTTTGCGATCAGTTATAAAGATGGATACCCAAGCTCACAGTGAGATCATCAAAAACAGGGAAAGGGACTTAGTCAGGAACAATTATAATAATGCAATAGATACTAGAAGGCACATAATGTAATATAAATAGGGAACGTTTGAAACAAGGCCCTCTTGGTAACTTAAATTATTGTTCGGCGCGGCACTGCGAAAAGATCAAAGTTATCATGATATATGTAATGTACTGGTGGATTTACGTAACATGAGTTGCTTCTTCTTGGGGCTCAACGCTCAGCATGGTCTTGCAATAGAGACAGGGAAACAAAATACGGCCAGATGCTATGGTCTAGGGCCTGGCTTGGAAACCTGAGTATTCTTACTTATATCTCTTCGAAATGCCTCCCAAAGAAGCACCCGTAGACAGGATCAGCAGCTATATGGCAATAAAATATGCTAACACAAGCCCGATTCGTTAAGAACATTTTAAGTAACTTGTCTCAAGGGTCTTAGGAATTAACATTCCGCAAATATACTGTTTCTTGTTCATTACTGTGAAAGTCAGACTATACATGTATATATACAGATATGCATTGATATATGTAATCTGATCATTTTGCTAATCTTCATAAGACTGGCGGCTAAATGATAAAGCGACAGAATCGTTAAACTCGAACTCCGTTTTTAGCAGGTGCATAGATACTAAGCTGTGAGAGCGAGCCGACTTCGTTGATCCTTGATTGAAGACAGGTACTTTATCTCTGGACGTGATGGACTGGGCCAGGCGTCGTTCATAACGTTCCTCTCACATGACTTTATTATTTCTTGGTACCAAGCAATCTCGAATCGAATTAACAGAGCTAAAAGGACCCTGCCCCTTACCATAAACAGGAGCAAGGATTCGGTCAATACCTGCCGTTGCAGACCCGCATACCATCAATCAAATACTCAGTTCTAATGAGTTCTGGAGTTTCAAGCGGTCTAGACTCTTCAGATAACAGCGAAGTGTCCTTGAACGGAGCTCGCAATGGACCTTCAGGTGGCCTTTCTGGAATTCCAGGCTGGACCAAGGACGTATATAGCCAACAATATATGGGTCTGCCATTCCTCAGTAACTACGTTTCTGTGATGCGAAACGAGCTGATGGACATTCCTGCGGAGCGGCGCAAAGCAGAAAACGAGCGAACACTGATGGCGTACTACTCATCAAAGGTTCATACTTCACGCCACGGCAGCGTCGTCAGCGGCTTCTCTAACCCATCTATTTCAAGCGACAGTTCTAGAAAAAGTGCGCGCATGAAACACGCCATGAAGTCTTCGGATCGAGTCTTCAGCGAGCACAGAACACCACTTCGCGGCGCCAGTGACGAGTCGAAATACACACCCGAGGTATTTTCTAAAGGCTATGTGAACTACTGTTCAAAACTGCCTATTCCTACTCTCGAAAATACGGAGCAAATACGAAGTCATAATATGTGGATTCCGATCATGAAACGGGGCATTGCAGCGAAAAACCCAAAACACGAAGGTCTTTCTTTACTACAAAACCCCAGTGAGACAACTTCTAAATTGTCGCGTTTCAATACAGATTTTTCAATTAGTCGTGAAGAAGATGCTATTGATAAAAACATATTTGTGGGGTCAACAAACATACCTCCTCTCTTTGGAGAAATAAAACTACCGCCATTTGCTTACCAGTGTACTGTAGACCTCGGAGATAGTATTTACACGCTAGGTGGACTCACGCCGTCATATTATTACTCCGACGAGATACCTGATCTGAACAGCTATTATGTCGACGGTGTTCCCAATCTACCTCCGCCTTTACTGGAAAGTATTGTCAATAACCCTAGCATGGTAAACAATCATGACCTTTACGTCCTATCTTCCAGCTCCTTCAGGGTTCAAAAGCCCACAATGACAGGCCAAATTCCGCCTCCTCTTTTATGTATGACAGGATCTGCTCTTACCAAGCGGCACATTTTTTTCTACGGGGGCTTCGAGATTAAAACTGAGACTATGATTGATGAGAGTACAGGTAACTTTTACCTGAAGAAAAGTGCATGTCTCAGTAATCGGGCATACATCTTAGACGTGATTACCTTTAAGTTTACGAAAGTTGAGCTGGTTGCGCAACCGACAAAATTTAATACATGTCCGAACATTGAGTCAAGATTCGGACATTCGCAGGTCTCTCTGAAGGCTAATAATTCCCTCAAATGTGCTGTTTGCTCTGCCGCTTCCAATTCAGAAATTAAATCCGACATTCATAAGCGGGAAACTGAACTACTGTCATCTCCTCTTTCGCAACCACTGGATATGAGGTCGCAGTCTGAAAGCTCTTTTTTTACGGAGAGGAACGTACAAAATAAATTCTCTAGCTCAGTCAACTCGAGGGTTCACACAATATTGGTTATTGGTGGTTATCGACAGGTACGATGCGATGATTACGAAACGCTTAATGATTTATGGAAGATTGAAGTAACCGTACTGGCGCGAGGAAAGAGAAACTACTTTAAATTTGCAGACACAGCGTTAGCGACCCCGTTTTCCAAGCTACCAGTTGATACTGAGGGCGAAACATGGCCTGCTCGGAGAGCTTTTCATGCGTGTGAAATCTATGATACCGAACTGCTGAGAAGACAGTCTTCCGAAACGAAATTGCTTGAGAACCTGAAAGCAAATTTTCATATTGAGCCAGAGCATATGCCGCCAGTGAACCCAAAGGAAAAACCGCAGTCTGTAAAAAATCGGTCCGAGGCTTGTGAGCAATACCAGCACCTGCACCATGTGTTAAATGATCAGCATTCTGTTCCTACTTGGCAAAATCAAAAATATAATTCTGGAGGTCGAGGCGTGGGACAAACCTTAGTTGTACATGGGGGTTCTGATAAAACTTTTGTTTATGGCGATTTGTGGTGGTTTGATCTCGAAACTGAGGTGTGGACTCGAGTAGAAACTTACCAAAGCGGACAGCGCCGAAGAAAAGAAAACCAAGGTATTGATTTGACGCTAGTAGGTCATAAAATGGTGCAGGCTTCTTCAAATGCTATTTTTTTGGGCGGCTTTACGCAAAAAGACGTGGAAGAACACTGGCAAATAAAAAATACTGGCCACTTCAAGAGATTCGGCACTCTAACGTCATTCCCTGCGAGTTTACATCTCTTAGATTTAAACTCTTTGGAATTTGAAATACTTTGCGTTGGTGAAGAGCACCAACAAGAGAGAGAAGATGGTGTAACTTTGAAATTATCTGACGCCTTGCGATTAATTTCCACATGTCCGGTTCAAAAGAACGGCTTTTTGCATCTTGTAGGTGGGTTTTTGTGCAATTCTAGAGATGTGAGGGAAATTCAACTGCGGGGGACCTTCACTACCTGCATACTACCGGTCATTACCACACCCAAAATCAGTTTAACGTGATTTTGCCAGTAGAAATCAACATGACAAGTGCGTCACTGTGCTTTATGTCCTACACAAGAACGTTTGGCATGATGGCTTAATATCATGCTTCCGCTGCACGAAACATTATAATTTGTTTGACACAAATGTTCCAGCGCTACAGATCGAAACTTATGTGCCAAAAGTGACCGTTGAATCATGTGGGTAGTCTCCCTTTAGACTTTACGTTCTCAACTTTTTTCCCGTGACTTAGAAAACATGACATAAGTCAACAATCACAACACACTTAAAAAAATTTTAAAAACGAGGGAACAAAAGATTAATCCAAACAAGATAACTTGCGAACTGCTTGTGCTTGACTAAGGTAACGTCTGTTAGTTAAGACTACTCATTTCTACAGCTTCTAAATCCCGTTTTTAACCGTCCAATTGTGACGGACAGATAGCGATTGTACGCTAAAATCGGACACACCTATTTTTTGAATTACAAATTTGAGACATGATTAATGCCGAAAGGCGTAGGTCGATGGCGGAACGTCGTCCATCAACGTTGAATCGCTCTTCCTTCAGCGCTGAGCGTAAGAGCTCGATCGCTGTAGTGCCGCACTTAGCGGGTATTGAAGATCCTTTACCCGAAACCACCCCGGATACTGTTGATGTCGTGCTGGTAGGTACGGGTCTAGTTGAGAGCATCCTAGCAGCTGCGCTCTCTTGGCAAGGCTCTAGCGTCTTGCAAATCGATTCAAACTCGTATTACGGCGATACATCTGCTACTTTGACTATTGACCAACTGAAACAGTGGGTGCAGGATGTTAATAAGAGCAATCTGAAATGCTATGAAAATGCCAAGTTACACATCTCGAGCAATATTGGCAGAGGCTTGTACAAATCGCGGGAGTTTGGTATCGATTTGTCTCCCAAAATCCTTTTTGCAAAGTCAGACCTTCTCTCTATTTTGCTCAAGTCTAGAGTGCATCAATACCTAGAGTTTCAATCTTTGTCTAATTTTCACACCTATGAAAATGACTCATTTGAGAGGCTCACCAATACGAAACAAGAGATCTTTACAAATCCCTCACTTCCGTTGATGACGAAGCGGAACCTCATGAAATTCATTAAATTCGTGTTAAACTGGGAAACTCAAGCGGAAGTATGGGAGATGTACAGAGACAAACCTGTGGCTGCATTTTTAGTCGATAAATTCAAGTTGGAGAAGGCACAAGTATATGAACTGATATTTTCCATCGGATTGTGCTATAACATCGATGTCAAAACCCCTGAAGCTTTGCAAAGAATCCGTAGATATCTGACAAGCTTTGATGTTTACGGACCTTTCCCAGTTCTATATTCCAAGTATGGAGGTCCCGGTGAGTTATCACAAGGATTCTGTCGATCAGCCGCTGTGGCTGGGGCTACTTACAAGCTAAACGAAAGTTTAGTCTCCTACGACCCGGATACAAAGATCGCCATTTTCGGTGATGGCTCAAAGGTTGGTGTTACTGAAAAGGTAGTAATAGCACCTACACAGTGCCCCGAGAACAGTCGAAATGTTCCGAAACAAAAGTACGAGGTCCAAAGATTAACCTGCGTTGTTGACAAACCTTGCTCTGAGTGGTTTGGGGAGGGAGAATATTCCTCAGTGGTTGTTTTTCCACCAAACTCCTTGAAGTCCGGTAATCGCCAAGCAGTTCAAGCACTAATTATGGGCGCTGGTAGTGACGTATGTCCGACGGGTACATCTGTTTGGTACCTAACCTCGACGGAGAGCGGGCCTCGCGGTGAAATGGACTTGGATGCGGCGCTAGGGGCTTTGGAAGAAAGCATAATGCGTGAGTCATCTGCAGACATAGAAAACGACGAAGGTATAATGGAGGTAGACAATAGTGGGCACATGACGCTAAATTCTGTGAAATTAGGTCAATCATTCAAGGAATACATTCCAAGAGAGAAGTTACAGATTCTTGTTAAACTATACTTCAAGCAGCTGACATCAACACCTCCCTTTGAAGTGGTCGATTCCTCTATTTTTGACATTAACGAACCCGTTGGCTCGGAACTGAAGAAGTTAATACCGGGAGCTAGTGACAATGGTGTTTTGTACACACCGCTTCCGTCGGCAGAGATCTCATATGATGAAGCTATCACTGCTGCGCGTATGTTGTTCCAAAAGATCGTGGGTAGTGATGATGATTTTTTCGACCTCGATTTTGATGACGAGGACGAGCAGATTGATGAGTCTGCCGTTGTTGACGACGATGAGGATGACAAGATGAACATGACGCTTGATGTTGAAATGAGCGTAGAACCCGTAGATTTCGCAGGCGAAATGGAAATATGACAGGAAGATTTAGCAAGAACCAAATAGCGACGTGTAATAATTAAGAAAAGGAAAAGATATTCGAGCTGTGCTTTACAATGTATTAAGCACGTAAACCCATCCCAATTTATAGAGAAAGCTAACGAGTGCGTCGTATCGGAAAAAGGCCTCTGAGCATAGCGTGCTATGATCTTGCAACAAACATACTAGTTACCAATAAGAGGTTAGTTGGTTTCATTTACATCTTTACTTCCCACACAATTGAACATAAGTGCCCTGGTGCTCTTCACGTTCTTCCACGCAAACGGGAAACGTTAGCGTGCTTCCCGCGTTATTGTTTCACGCTGACCGCAACAATTTGCTGCTTTTTGTCTGCGGTTGATACGACTTGTACATGAAGCGCCAACGGTTGCTACATCGCCATTTCTTTTCGAGTAAAGTGGTTTCCGATATCTTCTGTCCTCCCAGTGTTCCTCTTCTCCCCTTCCCGCCTCGACACCTTGCACTTCTTCTCACAGACAGCTAGGCGTTAATCCGTCCAAACTTTGAGTCAGCGTGTCGAGGACTAAGGTGGAAATCATTCCTCCCGTTCGTGGTGAGCGCGCACTATGGGTCCGCTGTCTTTGCGAAGGGACTGGGGTTGAGCTTTGATTTGGAAACTATCCTAGCTGGAAACAGATGGGAAACTAACGAGAAACACAATAATACATATTGTACTCAACAGTGATATGTTCAGTTTGTTCGATGGCGCAGTTTCCAGCACAGCTGAAGTTTGCGAGCATTCAATTCAAAAACCATTTGCACCGCTAAAACGCCGTTTTTCTGTGTTCGTCCATACCTTAATTATTCGCTTGCTTCTTCCTTTGCTGATCTTCACTATGCTTTGCTGCTACCCGCCAATGCTTCTCCTTAATGCGTCAAGAACACACGTATCGCCGTGTCGCACCCTTTCACCTTTGACTGCTTATCACACCCAGTGAAATCGAATTACCAACATTTTCTTTTCTTGTATTTCGGTAAAAATATCTAATCTACGGAAAAAAACTCCAAAAAAGTTGAAACATGCAAAGCTGATACTATTTTGGATCCGTGCTAATCTCCTCCCAATCTCCGCCAAACTCCGACAAAGTTGTCGTTTATAGCGATGTAATTATGATCACCTTATACGCGGTTTGTGTCATCCCAAACGGTAATAGACACCCAAGCTTTTTTCGCTCAAGCTTTTTTTCATTGAAATTTTTCATTGAAATGTAGCTCATCTCTCTCTGCCTTTGGAATGTTTTCTTTCGTCTCTTCTCTTCTTTTCTCTCCCCACTGAGCAGTTTCCCTGTCGAAGAAGTCATAACAGCACTTTTATCCAAAACTCTCCAATCACAGAAATGTCCGACGTTGAAGAAGTCCAAGAAGTTCAAGAAGTTCCAGTTGTTGAACAACCAACTGAGTCCATCACCATCGAAGACGCTTTGAAGGTTGTCTTGAGAACCGCTTTGATTCACGATGGTTTGGCCAGAGGTCTAAGAGAGTCCGCTAAGGCTCTAACCAGAGGTGAAGCTCAATTGGCTGTCTTGGTTGACTCTGTCACCGAAGACAACATCATCAAGCTCGTTGAAGGTCTAGCCAACGACCCTGAGAACAAGGTTCCTTTGATCAAGGTCGCCGACGCCAAGCAACTTGGTGAATGGGCCGGTTTGGGTAAGATCGACCGTGAGGGTAACGCCAGAAAGGTTGTTGGTGCCTCCGTCGTTGTTGTCAAGAACTGGGGTGCTGACACTGAAGAGCGCCAAATGATCTTGGAGCACTTCTCCCAGTAAACGCATATACCGTGAGTTTACTTGTCTCGTGAGAGTCGTGGTCGTTAAGTGCACGTTAGCTATGTAAATGCAAGTTTGTAGTAAAAACACACTTTGTTCACATTCTCGAAACTGAGCGAGCTCGGTCAGCTGCTGTTGAGCGGCTATGTCCAGCAATTACATTTCTAAAAGAACAGGGGGATGTCATTGGTGGCTGGCAAATACTCTTCGTCGGCTCCCTTTGCGGGTCCCTCAGACGCGCTCCTTTTGTCAAACAAAAGAGACTCATCCTGCTGCAGCGCAACCGCTCCTGTCGCCATTTTACGTTGCTCAGGCACGTCAACGGGGTTATACGCGGGAGCTAGACTCTTGTCACCACTTTCCATCAAAAATCGTATTTCTGAAATGTCCACCTCATCCATGCGAATCTTCTCCAAAACTGATATGTCAATCACAATTCCCGGGTAGTCCTTTGATAGTGGCAGACTAGTATTTTTAACAGCCCGAGGCTTCTTCGCATCACTTACAATGATATCATCCGTTTGGCTCAATATATTTACGCTCATCAGACCATGTATGTCTTTTCGCAGCAGAACCTTACTAGCAATCTTGGCGCTCGACCTCATCTTATCGAATGTTGCAAAATCAAAAAATCCTATCACAGGACTATCGTACAGCCTCTCGTGTGATAGCGGATGATACACTTCTAGTTTCTCTAAAATTGACCGCTCACTCGGCAGCAGAATCTTGGACAATCCCAGCTGGCCCTTGGATATGAGCGCGAATACGTGTTTCCCATCAGCCGCAGCCCTCGCATACAGATAGCATTCTTTGCATCCTACTTCTTTCATGTCCTGCAAAGCACTATATAACACATCGCCTTTCATGATGCATTCTAGAGTGATAGCATCCATCTCCAGCTCCAGACCTGTTGGATCCCAATCCCTTACTAAATAAGTCGAGTACTCCACTTTTTCGGTTATCACTGAATCCTCGAATATCAAAACAAATGGAGTGCCTTCTCCATTGTAAGAGAGTGTGCATTCTACCACATCGTCTTTATCGCGGCTCACAATGCTTATGCCGTCCAAAATATGATTAATTTTAACGCAGAGTTTTGTATGGAAGTCAGCATCTTCATTCGGTGGGTTGTAATTGTAAGAAATGAACAGTTCCTTGGAAAGGTATAGCTGGATGCTAATCACTCGGTTGTTCTCCCTTGCAAATGACAATCCATCCTTGTCTATAATGATAAGGACATCATCTTTCATCCCAAATGGTGTTAAACAGTTCAGAGCAGTAGTTATGTGTTCCAAGTGGACTGTTGATGCTGAAAATAGTGTTGTTTGGTCAAACATTGACGCGCAGTCTTTTTGTATACTCTGTTCCTTTTGGCGATGAGATGGGGGCCTTAATTTAAAATAATTATAAAGACTTGATAAACACATTCGAAACTTGGAACAACCGCTAAAAAGGGCAGCTCATGAGCACTAGGCGACATAGAAGCAGAATAGGAGTATTGATTTCTGCGGGAGTCATCACGGCCTTAGCCATCGGTTCATCTTACGTGTGGCTGAAAAAGAGAACGTCTTCGGCAGACGCGAACTATAGGAAACCTAAGTCTATATGTGTAGTGCTTACAGAAAGTTTGTTCAGCGGCATAGATTGGGCAAAACTTGCAAGTATAGACTCTGTGATTATCCAGCCTCCAAATTTTAAAGTGACAATAGATCAAGGAGTGTTTCCGGAACACAGAATAATCACCTGCGAGACGAATGAGGGGGTCTGGTCTGTGGTGAGACACCTGAGGAAAGATGAATTAGTGGTAAGGACAGAGGAGTTTCAGCAAATACCAAACGACATCCACAGATTTTCAAAACCCACTGAAGACCTGCCGTGAAGAGAACAATATCTAGCGCGTAATGTCTCGTCTCTGGCCGAAAACTACACCTTCGCTTGTTTGAGACGCGCCTTTCATAGATCCGTACTCCATAGCACTCCAGCCCATGCCCTGTAAGTGTTTAGGCTTTGAGCCTTTGGGCGGGCGCGGCTTTTTGGTTGCTAGCTGAGGGCCCAAAACTGGAAACTCCGTTGGATGTTTTTTATTGGCATAGCGAGATATAGACTTGAGAGTTTGAAAAACAGATGCGCAATCCTTCTCTTCGTACAGATCCACCGTTTGGAACAGTTCATCCTCGGGGACCCCATAATTTCTGGCAAATGCTAAGAACTGTGATATTTGTTCCATTTGCACAAAAGGCATTTTAGACTCTTTGAACTTAATCAGTTGAGTAATATCGGGGTTATCTGCGGAGTGAAGTCTGTTTGCCAAGCGGCATAGGACAGTCCCACTCTTGAGGGCATTCAGCAGCTCCGATGCATTGGGGTTTTCGGAGTTGTCCCTTAGAATGACTTTGAATATCCAATCACTGATTTCTTGAATTGAATTCTGAGAAAATTTGTTACGCCTAAGCTCTTGCAGGTCTTGGTCAAGCGACGTGACATCCGCTGCACCGGTACTTGTTTCAAAACTCATGCCGCTAAGGTTCTTGATGTGCAAGGCTATCGAAGCTCACATTAAAATTACGTGAAGCAGTTCATAATAATTTACGTGTCTAGTGATGATCGACGCTCGTCGCACGGTGTGGAAGTAATCGAGGCCGCTGATATGTTAAGAGCTGTTTTTCATAGCTCAGTCCATTGAATGGGAACATAGTCAGAAATGAAATCCTGGGGATGCAAGGTTCATTATGTGCCGGCGAAATGATATAAATAGCTATGTGTTCACTACCTCACTTTTGTACTTCATTTTAGTATCTTCTATTCTGATGTGGCACAAAACGCGACCCGGACCAAAAGGAGACCCATTTTACGTCCCTCGAGCTAGAAAATATTGATGGTCAACGTTGGAAAATGTTACAGCGTTTTTTATCGACAAGCTCGCCAATTTTGGCTTACTTCTGGTATTTTTTATAGAAGGGCATTCCAGTTTGAATTGACAAAGCCTTTTTAATGAGGTCGATCTTTAAGTCAGACGTGTTCAATTGCAAGGTCAACAAAGCGAATTCTCTACATTTATTTTGAGTCCTAAGTGGATTCTTTAAATTAGCCTAATTAGGTACCGAACGCTTATTTTGGATAGAAGCCGGAAGGCCATTACGTTCAATTTTATCAAATTATTATCCCCCTTTGTAGTATGACCTTAGTAAAATAAGTCATCTCAAATATATATATGTCATTGAGCACAGATAGCATTATATGTCTAGACTGTATGTTTTATCGCTGCGGTCTCTCTCCTGGGTGCAGTAACATTGGCACACTAAGAAGCATTACTATTTCACTAAGATATGTCTCCGTTTTAGAGCTTTTAGCTGGCTTTTCGACGTAATTTGCCCCCTTTGAATTGTTGAATCAATGACATTGCATATGTCACTTTATACTAACGCGTCGTTGTTTGTCAAAGGTCAAATTCCCCTACCCATTAGGTCTGGCAGTATTCGAGGAGCTTTGACGCTTCCTTCACCGATGGGAAGTTGATTACCTATTATGTTCTCGCGTGTCGCGCCACCTGTCTATAACACTAGATTTATCACTTTATACCAGGTTGACATCACTTGCTCAAACTCATGTATCCCAATATGAAGGTGCAAGTGTTATTACAGGCGACGAAGCCATTATTGACAATATAGGTAATTTTCCGATTACAGAGTTAACTTTAATTTCACCCTGAAAGGTGCGAGATGGCTTCAAAACTATTAATTGGAGGGGGGGGCTCGGTAGTTTCTGGCCATTTCGGACTTCTAAGTTCGTAGGGTTGTCGAAGCCAGACAGACAAAAGAATGACGTAAAATTACAAAGACTTACTTTCTTACAAACAACGATCTGTAAATGGAAATCTCTTCAGAAATGGACATATTCGCAAACTAGCGAGTTTCGATCTCAGGAAACCACACCAGGGGTGCGGCAACACTTATTTCATGATCTCTAAACCAACAGTGGCCTCCAAGTAAACCAGCGTACATTCCTACCCGCAGTGGGATTACAGAACTCTATTACTTTCAGTGCTTTGTGGAGCCTTGTGCATCTCAAAGTAGCCTCGCTTCATACTTTTTTAGTCTTAATCGATTGACAAAACGACCCGGACTCAACAGAATTAGTGCTATTGTCTATATTATTTGCTCGTGTTCCAAGTCACAGCTCCAGGCGAAGTGTATCGAGTTGTTGTGTCAAGACTCATCTTAGGATATTCCCCACTGTGTCATTATTAACGTCGTTTTTAGCTAAAACAACTATTTAAAGAAGCGGGCAGCGAAGCCTTCTTTAATGTATCTTTTAGAATTAGCATTAAAAACCAGCTTTCAAAGAAGAAAGACGCGCCTTATCAGAGGTTGATATTTGCTGAAATTTGATTGACACTCTTAGCGCTGAATCAAAGAAAGTTAAATCAACTTGAATCGGCAAAATGCAGTTAGTTGTTCTCCTCTGGACGCTGATACAGGCGTCCTGGCTAGTTGCAGCAAGCTCAGCCAGTAGCGGGCTGAACAGCTCAACGATGAACACTAAACACATCGGAACCGCCTCATTGCTGACCTGCATGGAAAACTCGCAGTTCACAGCGTCTTTTTTTGAAGTTCTGTTTTTCCCCGACACGAAGATGGTACAGCTCAATATTGATGCGACTACTACAATCCAAGCAAACATCACTGCTGATATCCAAGTTATTGTATATGGGTTGAACATCATGGAAACTACAATCGATCTATGTAAGTTGGGAGACGAAAAGTCATTATGCCCGCTGCAGGCCGGTCGTATCGAAATCGATTACACCTATGGTCCACTGTCATCCAGTTTGATTGACCAACTCCCAGGGGTCACCTATACAATTCCTGATCTGGACGCACAAGTTCGGGTTATGGTCTACTCCACGGCAGACACTGATTCTAAGAACCCTCTAGCGTGTGTCGTGGCTCCTTTGACTAACGGGAAAACCGTTCAAACTAAGTATGCGTCTTGGCCTATAGCTGCCGTCTCGGGGTTGGGTGTGTTGACGTCTGGTTTTGTATCGGTGCTCGGTCACTCGACCACTGCTGCTCACATTGCATCAAATTCTATCTCGCTCTTCATTTATTTCCAAAATTTGGCGATCACTTCTATGATGGGTGTTTCACGAGTGCCTCCAATTGCCGCTGCGTGGTCCCAAAACTTTCAGTGGTCAATGGGAATCATAAACGCTAAGTTCATGCAGGATATCTTCAATTGGTACGTTCAAGCTACTGGCGGGGACCCTGTTGTTGTCGTTGCAAACAAAGACGTTCTTTCCATCTCCGTTCAAAAAAAGAGGTTCAAAAGAGCTGTTGTTGATGGTGCAAAGCACCTTTATAAGAGAATATCTGTTTCGACCTCTGATAGTTTTGACGTCAGTTCTTTTTTGAACCAAACCAGTTTGTACACTACAAACGAGAGAAATTCAACCAACTATGCTTCCAAAACACTCGTGCTACATGGAATTCAGCGTGTAGCGTTTAAAGCAGGGATTGAACTGTCTAACTTGTTTCTCACAGGTGTCGTCTTCACGTTTTTCTTCATTTTCGTTGTGGTGGTTGCACTTATGTTCTTCAAAGCTCTCGTTGAACTGTTGACAAGAGCTCGTGTCATGGCCGAATCCTCCAAATTCTTTGAATATAGAAAAGGATGGGTGAGCATCATCAAAGGTACTCTTTTTAGACTTTGCATCATCGCTTTTCCGCAATTATCCATATTGAGCATTTGGGAATTTACGCAACGGGACTCTCCCGCTGTTGTTGTTGATGCCGTTGCTGTACTTCTAGTTGTTACCGGCATTCTATTCTACGGTGTCACAAGAGTTATTCTGAGAGGTCGAGAATCCGCCAGGCTGTACAAGACGCCAGCGTATATGCTTTTTGGTGATTCAGTCTTTTTGAATAAATACGGCTTCTTGTACGTGCAATTCAAAGCCGACATGTATTGGTGGCTAATTCCGTTTTTGACTTATGCGTTATTGAGATCAATTTTTGTGGCTGTCCTTCAAGATTATGGTCGCGCACAGGCGCTAGTTGTTTTTATCATAGAGCTCATTTATTTTGTGGCTCTATGTTGGAAAAGGCCGTATTTGGATAAGAGGACGAACGCTTTCAATATCGTCATTCACTTGGTGAATTTCTTCAACGCTATATTCTTTTTGTTCTTCTCAGGGTTATTCAAGCAACCCCAGGTGGTGTCGTCAGTTATGGCTATTGTCCTCTTCGTCTTGAATGCTGTTTTTGCGTTGTTCTTGTTGATATTCACCATTGTAACCTGCACGCTTGCTTTAATCCACAGAAATCCGGACACTCGTTACCAGCCTATGAAAGACGATCGTGTGTCCTTCATCCCCAAGATTCAAACCAACGGGTCAGCATCGAAGTCTGAAACTGAGCTATTTGAGCTAGGAAAAGCCGCGATGATTACAAACGAGGCTACACAGTACCCATCGAGCGGTGAAAGCTCGAAGAACAAGAGTTCCAAGAAATTGCTATTTGACGATGAAGTCGACGACAGCTCACATTTTGATATGCTATCAGAATCAAGAGAGAAACGGGCCTATAGTGGCGAGCCACAGGCACTACAGCCGGGCTCTGCAGTGCTGGGAACTAGCACCTTTGGAAACCCTTACCAGAAGGTGCCCACTGCCCCTTCAAGTCGCAGTGCTCAGAACCTGCGCGCTCCTGAGAACACCTTCAACAGCAACACCTCGTACCAGGGTTATGTGGGATCTTCTAATCCATACACAAAGGGCCAATCATATCTATGAGTGACGTATACTCCTTCATGTGTCATCGTATACATTGTATAATAATTTTCACATTCAGAACAAATGTAACTTTGCTGGAGGTCTGATGCCAGCGGTGAACTTCAGGTTCAGTAAAATTGTAACTTTAATTAACCAAGAAATTATATGAAGTAGCTTTTTCAGGAATTGAGGACCCAACATAACTGTGTTCAAGTCCTGCATGCAAAGCGCAAATCTTTTAACAAAATCGCTCTCTTGATAAATGATTTGCGAAAGTGCGGCGCTATCGGTGGAAATCATATATATATCATTTTGGACGCACGACGAGATTTCGAGTCGAAAATCCTATTAATTAACTCAGATGTGAAGTAGAAAACTATAGGTAAAAACCCACTATAGTTCAGGTAGAGAAATTAAAGGATCTATGCTTCAGCAAAACAGGCAAGCGTACTGATTGAATATTTGGTTAAGTCAAACGATCTAGGCTGCCGCGAAATTAGCGAGTGTATTGTATGCGGCTAGTGCCAGTCACTTATTTTCACTGAAAACAGGATAGCAATGGATGGCTCCAACACAGTGATAAGAAAACAGAACAAACAGGATTCACCGCTGAATGCACAGATTGGTCGTAGAAACAGGATATCATTTGTGTGCCAGGCTTGTAGGAGAGGTAAAACAAAGTGTGATCGAGAAAAACCACATTGTTCCCGATGTCTAAAACATGGAATAGATTGCGTATACGACGTGGAGAGGCAAACACCTCCTAAACACCCCAACAAGGATGCTGCAATTGCAAGATTGAAACGCGATATTGAATATTGGCAGACTAGAGCTTTAAGTCATACCTTAACGGGTGAAATGCAGACTAGAGAACATACAACAGAAAATCCAAACGTTGCCAGTTTTCCAATGACTTCTAATTCTAGCTCGATGTCACCAGATGATTCCATTAGACCACTTTATGCCAAGAACCTGCATGACGTACAAATAGATCTTCGCAAATTTCTTCCGAACTTGATCATAACTCAAAATACCAGCCGCGACGTTAAACCGTCTTCTGATATGGCTCAAGTACGACAAGACAGTTTCTTGGCACTATTCTTTGCATCATTCTTTGCCGCCGCTTCCGAAAATACATTAATTAATTCAATTTCCTCCAACAACGGGGTGCCCTACGCCAAGCGGTTAAATTTAAGATCAGACCTTATGAACCTACAAGAACGCATGCTCAAGAAATGTACTAACGCTGTTCAGCAAGCCCGCGTCACTAGTTTCTCGGAGAGAATCATGCAGGAACTCGGTGGGTCTCGAGACGTCAGAACAGGGATATTTCTAAATCTTTTGAACTCCAAAATGAGCAGGAACTTAATTGAGGATGTTAGTGCGGATGAAAATGTCTATTCAGCTGCGTTGAGTGAGCTAATCAGCAGATTGGAAGAGTTATTACCGCCTTTGCCAGCTTTGACGGCATACAAGGCGCATTTCTTTCATTGCATTTTCCCTCATGTTCCTTTCCTGGATCGTGGTATGTTTGAAGAGGCCCTGCATAACGTCATAATCAGCGATCCCGGAAACTCCCAAAAAGTGAAACTAAGATTAGGGAAGCAAAACTTAAGACAAAAAATTGAGAACATAGCCATTCTTATGGTGACAATTGGCATTTCTTATAATTCTATGAAGTTCGAGCTTGGGTTGTCGTCAACTCTCAAGCCTACCGACTTCGAAACGTTGGCGGACCAAGCTTTGATCGATCAACACCCTATCACCGATGAGACAATCTTGGTATCTCAGCAATGCATTGCTGCTCTGGATTTCTTAAACTCCACTACAGAAAACACAATATGCTGTTTGCTGTACCTTTGGACATTTTATGCTTTCTCCCCAGAAGAGGGAGATTTCTACTATGGTCAGCCAACTGAGTTTGTGTTGGGTATGACATCGATTTTAGCAACGAATATTGGTCTTCACAGGGACCCTCTCCAATTTCGTCAGTTTCAAGAAAATTCGAAAGTTGACAAGAGAATCATCAATTACAGAAGAATGCTTTGGCTCGGACTTGGTACAATCTTGAATTCCGAGTCGGCCTTGAAGGGTAGGTGCCCACAGTCAATGAGAGACTCCATTTGCGTTTATTCTCCTTCAACTAATGAATCAGCTCAAGCATATATGAGACGAATGATGGAGGATGCGGTCGGCGAAGATGAAATTCAGAAAAAACTATATGCGGGCACTTTTCAAAAGCGTGAAACTTACGCCCTGTTATCATGCTTTGAAAAGCTATGGTCGTCTCCAGAGGCAGTGGTATCACTGTATTCTTTGAAGGAGCTAATGTTGAAAGTTGAAGACCATGTTGATAAACATTTCCCGATTGCTGCAATTGAAAGTAACAGCAACTCTGGTTTTGAATGCCAGCGGCCTAACAACGAGATCGAAAAACAAGCGCTATTCGCTAAAGCTACGGGAAGGGCATCAAACTTCCAAGCATATATCATTGCACAGCTTATCTTACTCAGAACCTCTTTTTCGGTGTTTCTGTACTTTGAAATGAAGTGTAAAGATACCTATAACGAATTTTACCCATACTACGAGTCTTTTTTTATTGACGTTGTGCAAAGGTTTTTGAAGCTGACAAAGGTATATTGCCAATATTATAACGGAGAATTCGCAAGCAATTTTAGTCCCTCAACCGCTTTTATTATAGACAAAGCAATGCAGATGAGTATGGGCACAATATTTTACACAGCGGTTGCTATTGTCTTACGGCTAACGCATGCCATAGATACTCTCCAGAATAATATCGGTAACGAAAGGTACTTTCATAGCAGAGGAGCAGATGATCAACTGAGCGAACTGAGCAGAAAGTTGGAGCTTCTGAACTCACTCAATAATGACTTTGAAAGAATTTTGGATAGACTTTGTCATCTATCTACAAACCACCTGCGACTAACATTCTTTTCTGCTTTTAAAATGCTGTTATTTTTTGACCACATCTTGCAGCTCGTGAAGAAAAAAGAGTTATTAAAGACGATGCGTCAGCTATCTCATCTGGACTTGACTGAGAAGACAAAAAATAACTTGTTTCTCGGGTTTGGGTTTGACGTCAACAGAACTAATGAGATGTTTCATGATTTAAAGAACACAGTCTCTTTATCAATGTTTAATTCAGAAAGGCTGCAAGAAATTCAGCAGGTCATCGATCACATGGGAATACTAGAAGCGCGCGTTAAAGGTCCCAACCATAAGAAGTCGAATACCTCTGTACCAAACGGTTTGCTCGATCCCAACAATAGAGCACAGGGACCCAATCACGTTCATATTTCATCAGGCTCAGAATTACGCGAGCAAGGAGGTTATACCGATGGCATGAATTTGCCTTTCAATTCAGAGCTTGATTTCAATCACATCGAATTATTTGATTTTGATTTCGATTTCCTCCTTGGAGGCATGTAAATGTAAATGACTAATAGACTGTAACATTACGAAATTGTTTTGAAGTGCTTTATATTTTGCTCTATCAAAACACGCCAGAGGACTTGAAGTGTTCAGAATCAAGTTTTAACAACTCTTCCAGATGTCAGTAAAGTGGCCCTCAAGAAGTGTCGCTTCGTAAACTTCGAAAAAATTTGAAGAAAGTGAAGGTGAAAAGAGATGTAAAACCGACGGCGGAAGTAGCGACCAGTGCGTACTGCCAATAATCAATATCCTCTTTGGTGACATCTGGGGCCAGCCCAGGGGTATTCTTGGCAGGCTCTAGCCCAGCTTCCGTTAGTTTGATGAAAAGTTCGTTCAGCGAACTAGACCACGCCGATGATACGTGTAAGGGGTGATCAATAAAAAGCTTATCGGTGAAATCGTCAGGCTGAATATAACACCTCTGCTGCTGTTTGTCAAGATCAGCTTTAAGAGCCACAAATACCATAGGAAGCTCTTGGAGGTATTTGTGTTGATTTATCAAGTCGAAAAGGCAAGAGAATGACTCTGGATCACTGGAATCATATGTGAGACATAGTACGTCACACTCCTTCATCTTTTCAACATTTTCCAAAATAGCAGGCTCTTGCTCTCCAAATTCCTGCAAGATTAAATAGTACTGTTTGCTTCCTTTCAACTCCAAGCTATTGACCCCTATGCGAGGTTTTATGGTCGGTGAATATGACTCTGAGAAGGACATTCCCACAAATGACTCCAAAAGTGAGCTTTTGCCACTGTATGGCTTTCCAACAACAAAGCAATTAAAAACCTTTCGATCGGTGACTGGTGCTCTATAAAGCTTCCCGTTACGCCTTCGCTTCTTTCGAGATTTAGTGACTTGAAGAGCCAATCTTGCGTCTCTTTCTATACCCAGATAGACGAGATATTCGGTAGTAGTTCTGTAATCTAAGAAAGTAGTCATTGTCCACTGCGCCAACCAGCCTTGTAGTGTGACGCAAGCCTGACTGTTGACGACTGTGGAAAATGGAAAATTAGTCTCTGACCACAGTTTCGGTATTCCGGGAGTTGTTTTGAACAAAAACTCAAGTTCTCGGTCATTTAGCCCACCATCATTATCTTTATCGAAGGTCAAAAATAACTCTACGAGAAAACGGTATCCAAGTGGACTCAGCTCGACGCTGGCAGTATCTGGGATATCCATTTTAGGATAGAGTACTTTATCGCTTATAGATAGTGAGTCAGTATAATGGAATGCTCGCAAAATGCCCCATGTTGTTTCATGTCTGCCCTTCTCGGAATAGAGTTTGTTCAGCACCAAAAACCCATCTTTTGTGATTCCTTTTCCAGGAACAAAGAGTGTGTAGCTAGCGTATTCTTGCGGTGAAGTTGAGAGATTAACCAAAGTCTTTTTGATGAATTCAAGCTCATGAATATCAATGGTCTTGCTGAAGGAGCGCTTCTGTAAGACGGATAGCTCTTCATCATTGAGAAAACCGTCTTGATCTTTGTCCGATAGAAGAAATATTCTTTTGAGCGCCATGACCGTGAGCGGCTTCAACTCTCCTACACGAGCATCAAAAAGCGGCGCGATAGGGTGTGTTATGGCTCTTTGACAAAGATAAAATGCCTGGTTGACGTTAAATTTATCTCTGGCACTCGTTTTAATGCAGGTCTCAATTTCTTTAAATTCGCGTAAAATCGGAATGAATTCTTCGTCTTCAATTTTTGTGTCTTCTGATGATTTATCCTCTGCTCTGATTTCGTTAGCGCTTATGGACTGATCTTCCTCCAGGTAGCTGTCGCATTTGTTTTTGCACAGAATAACAGGCAGGTTTACGCCAAGAGATCGAAACATCATCATCCAGTACAGCGCCACACGATCGTAGCTCTCATGATCTGAATACACTAACCAGATTACATCGGCACTCTTAAGTTCTCGGTGCAACAATGGTAGATCAAAGCTGGTCGTGTCGACCAAAACACTATTTTTGGGACAATAGGGACTCGAAGAAAAGTCACGCGGTATAGTGACGGGCGGCAAGAAGTCTTGAAGGTTTGGTATGTACTGGTCCTTCACCAAGCATGCTATGAGACTTGTTTTCCCCACACTGTCATCACCACAGACCACAACTTTAATCTGCTCTTTTGCCATTGATCAAAACCGCACAAGAAACCTCAGTACAAACCGAAGAGCCAGTTAAGCGCAAAACTGACAAAGGTATTCAATATATCAAACTCGGAAGCTTCAATGACTGTGATACGAGAGAAGATTGTTGTAACTAAATTCAGTGTCAATAACTAATTAAAGTAAATCACGTGTGTAGATATTTTGTCACTTGAAATCTTCAAAACATCAATCTCGGGTGGCAAACCTTTGAAGAAACTAAAGGTATTAAGAGGGCAAATTGGGGTCTTTGTCGCGCGGACATTTCAAAATAAGATTAAAGAATGGTATGCTGCAATCGGGTTGCGATTGATGGTCTCTAGGCGGTCATTCGATCACTTTCGACCTCAAATTTAAGACATGATACTAACCTAGGACCGATTACGGTGCCTTTTTAGACTTCAATTGGTACAGGATACGATCTTTCGAACAGTGTTTTCTCGCCAGATGGCCGGAATTTTCAAGTAGAGTATGCAGTTAAAGCTGCTGAGAACGGAGCCACATGTGTGGGCATCAAATACAAAGACGGTATAGTATTTGCCGTGGAGAAACTGATTACCTCCAAGCTGCTAGTTCCAGGGAAAAACCGGAAGATTCAAACTATAGATCGCCACATTGGGTGTGCTTACTCGGGTCTGATGCCTGACGGCAGACACTTGGTCAATAGAGGTCGCGAAGAAGCTCAAAGTTTCAAAAAAACGTACGCAACTCCAATCCCATTGCCTGCTCTAGCAGACAGATTGGGACAGTATGTGCAGGCCCACACTCTTTATAATAGTGTTAGACCTTTCGGCATCACTGCCATCATTGGAGGAGTCGATGATGAAGGTGCTCATCTTTATATGCTGGAGCCAAGCGGCACGTACTGGGGATACAAAGGTGCAGCCACAGGCAAGGGCAGACAATCAGCCAAAGCAGAGCTAGAAAAGATACTGAGCTCCAAACCAGATCTCGAGGCCAGAGAAGCTGTGAAAGAAGCTGCTAGAATAGTCTACATGGCACACGACGACAACAAAGAAAAAGATTTTGAACTAGAGATGAGCTGGTGTTCAATATCAGAAACCAACGGTCTACATAAACCAGTACCAAAAGAACTTCTAGATGAGGCGATTGCTTTTGCCAAAGCAGAGAATGGTGACAATTCCGATAGCGATGATTCGAGTGACGACAGTGACAACGAAAACGATAACAAAAAGAAAGATGCTGAAGGGGACGTAAAACTAGAATAAATCGATTTTGGGCGACAAGATTCTATACGTATTACCTCTATCTAAGTCCATGAATTACTTTTACCCATATATATTGTCTAGTAGGTTCAACAAAAGTGGGTGAAAATCAGACCTCTGTCTCGCGAAAGAGGGCATTAGCATCGCCCACATTTTCAGTAATATCAGATAGTTTTCCTCTTGAGATTCAAACGAAGCTCGCATGCAAATTTGTTATTGTGTGGAAAGTTTTTAGTTGGGTGAGAGGGAGAACTAGCCATTATTCTGAAAGCTGTTTCGAAGACGTTGTCTCAGAAGTTTGTTTTCATCCTCCAATTGTGATATCCTATATTCTGCAGCGTCAGCATCTAATTTCCTCCTTTCACGTTCTGCAACCCATTTTCGCTCCAGTAGCTCTATGCGTAAGTTAGCACCGTGTCCATCATTTTCCTGCGTAAAAACCCGCGAAGATCTTTTTTCTTTCTCCCTCAGCAGCATCTTAGCATGTTCTTCCACGACGGAATTAATAGCAGATTCTACAAAGACGTAAAGAGACTCCAGCTTTATATGTGTAGCTCTGTAATGGTCGCTTGTATTCAGTTCTTCCAGATGTTTGAGCTTACTTTTAGCTTGATTGATGGAATGCCTTTGCAGTATTTTGTCGAAAATGTCAAAAACTTTGTTTAAATGCAGTAGTAAGTGGTTGCGAAGTTTCTGAAACTCGGTTTGAAGCTCCACATATTCTTTCCTGGAATGGTTTGCGTTTTTCTGTAGTTGTTTGTTTTGCTCCAAGAGTTTTGCCAGTTCTTGCTCGATAGAGTGAATATGATCTTGCATATCACGGTTTTCACTGATGTATAGACCGGATTTTCGCACGGCTCTCTTGAGCGTCTTTTCTAGTTCTGCAAGAGCGCTCTCAGAATCGCTTTGCAAAGCTGATATCTCGCTCTGCAGCTCTCGCACTTTAGCTTTTAGTTGCTCTACATCTGAGCTTGCAAGAGAAAGTTGGTGGGTAAGATCTTGTTTTTCTGCCATCCAGTCATTTTTGTCCCGTCGCCGAAGTTCATCAAGTTCACCTACAGCAATGGTATCAATTCCGTTAACATCACCGAATTCTTTTTTATCAGCCAAGAAAGTTTGATCTTTGATACCTGTCACCTTCAATCCTATGTCATCGAACTCTTGTTTATGAGCGCTGGTGGAACAATTTGGCGTTCCATGCGACGGCGAGTCCAAATTGCCGTTAATATCATCCATCTTTAGTGCCGAAAAATCATCTCTAGCATCGTTGATCTCTTGAGCTTGATATAACTGTGCAAAAGCATCTAGTAACTGCGTCTGCTTCAGCAATTTCTCACCAAGTACGCTTTCCGTTTGTGCACATTGCTTCATTTTGTCTTTTAGCCCTCCTAGGAAAGCGCGATACTCCTCATGCATACTTTCTATGGCACCTTCAAGTCTGGGATCCAGATGTTGTGTCATGTCGAGCGAGGTTTCTGTTGCGTTAACACTTGGATCGTCATGCACTTCTTTGGCTTTTGAAACAATAAAATGGTCCAAGTATTTAACGATTGTTGAGCTCAGAGCATTCATCTTAACATCGACAAAGTTATTTGATATACTGCGAGCTTTTTCCAAAGCGTCCTTTTCTTCGGGCGACAATGTTAATTTCTCTGAAAACATGACTAAAAGCTGATCAATGTTGCCAGCAATTACATCTGAGTGTTCAAGGTATGAGTTGACGTCGTCCAAAACCGTATTATACTCGTTTTTTGTTGATATAAGCTCCTGCTTGAGCTCAATGATTTCCTTATTCTTTTCCTCTAGGTTTTGGCGCAGTCCATTAAGCTCTACCGAGATCTCACCACTATTGTCTTGTACCGGTAGAGTTTTTATTAGCTTTTCATAAATTTGGTTACGAGAGCTGTCCTCTGTGGCATACGCATCTCTAGAGTAGTTCAACTCCTTGAGAAGTTCGGTAAGAACACGGAGGCGCAATTTGCATGTCATTAATTGCCGCTGAAGCTGCTCAACCTCATTACTGGAAGAAGCTGAAACTGTTGCGGTAGGGGCACTAGAAATACAGCCATCAGAGAATTGTGAACTTCGAGTGTGTGGCCTAGAGTTCAGTGGTGACGCAAGATCAATTGGCAGGGAAGGAGGTTCCGTTCCGCCCTTAGACTGTAAAAATGTGTTTTCTAAATCAAGTGCGTCGTGTGTTGTTGTAGGTTTCTTGCGCCAAGGTGTCATTGATACGCTTAAGCGTGGTATTTCAGCGTCAAAACGTGGTATTTCAGCGTCAAAACGTGGCGATTGTCTTTCGTTTTCCTCTTCATCATTATCGCTGAATGAATCTTTCATTTCTGGCTGTCGAGTAACTTGTGAACTAATCGAGTGAGAAGAAGCTAATGAGTGCCGGAGGAAATCTAATTCGTCTGAAGACTCATGACCGCCTCTGCTAAATTCGCTTTCCATCATCTTGGGATCTAATGGAAACAATTTTTGAAAAACGATTCGATTTAATTGAGGATTTTGAACGTCTATGTCTTAATGGCTATAAAACCTTTCCTTTCACTTTCCTAGCATCTCAGTCGCTTCGTATCGAGATGTGACCCTTCAATTTGTTTTAGGTTTGCATCTCATAGATGCTTGAACATCGAGCTCATTGCACACTATTTACGAATTTGACAAGCTTCCATTTTGGAAAATTTTCATAATTACTACAAGCATAATTCTATTTCCACGATTCTTCAATTGTTCTCCAGAAAGAGTTAGTGTAACGGTCCAGTAACTACAAGATAACTACAATGGCCGCCGCTTCAATCGAGGATATAAAGCTGGAAGACATTACCGTCGATGACATCGATTTTTCCGATTTGGAAAAACAGTTCCAAGTGGACTCTGAAGTAAATTTCGATAACTTCGTGGTTGTTGATGGCGCTCCTGTGGCGCCAGAATCTAAGGTTCCTGTGCTATCAAAAGTTTTGGGAAAGCTTTTCTCTCAAGCTGGCAAAGTGGTTGATATCAACTTGCCGCTAGACGAAGCCAAAAAGACCACCAAAGGATACTTGTTTGTCGAGTTCGACTCTGCCCTCTCGGCAAGAAAAGCTATCAAGTTACTCAACGGCAAGAAATTGGATGCCAAGCACAGACTATTTGTGAACGGTCTCAGTGACGTGGAGAAATTTGGTTCTGATGACTTCGAGAGTGAGTTCCGCCAGCCAAAGTTGCCAGAGTTCCAAGCTACGGATTACTTGAAGTCTTGGTTGCAAGACGAACAAGGTAGGGATCAATTCGTGCTGCAGAAGGGCGAGTTGACTGGTGTCTTTTGGAATAGAAATACCCAGCAGCCTGAAAATGCTGTTGAGCCAAGATCAAACTGGTCCAATACTACCGTCAAGTTTTCTCCAAAGGGTACTTACTTGTTTTCTTTCCACAACCAAGGTGTCGCCTCATGGGGTGGTAAGAACTTTGAACGTTTGAGAAGATACTTTCACCCTCAAGCCAAGGCCATGGCAATTTCTCCAACTGAAAAGTACTTAGTCACACTTTCCCCAGACCCTATATCTGTTCCTCAGGATGCGGGTGAAGATTTCCCATTCGGACCTGAATCTAACGGTCATCAATTGTGTGTCTGGGATATTGCCACCGGTGTTTCGGTAAAGACTTTTGCGCTGCCCCCAAATCAAAGCTTACACTGGCCAATGATCAAATGGTCTTTCGATGATAAGTACTGCGCTCGTCTAGGGCCTAACGCGCTGGCTGTTTACGACGCCGAAAACAATTTCGAATTGCTCGGCGGGAAGATATTAAAGATTGAAAACATCATGGACTTCTCCTTTGCGCCCGCTGGTGTCAAGTTGGCTGTCAACAGAAATGGCGAACTATCGTCAGTTCTTGCATTTTGGACTCCAGAATCCAATAATCAATCTTGCAAAGCTACTATAATGGAAATTCCAACGAGAAGAGTTTTAAGAACTGTGAACTTAGTTCAAGTTTCTGATGTCACTCTACACTGGCAAAAGCAAGCCGAATACTTGTGTGTGAAAGTCGACCGTCACTCCAAGTCAAAGAAGACATTTTTCACCAACTTGGAAATTTGCAAGCTTACCGAGAAGGATGTTCCAGTCGAGAAGGTCGAAATGAAGGATCTCGCACTCAAATTTTCTTGGGAACCTACAGGACAAAGATTTGTTACCATTTCAAGAACAGAAACATTGGATGACAATCCTTCCATTCCTAAAAACGTTGTCACATTTTATGCCCCTGAGCAAAAAGAAAAGACTAAAGATGATACAAATGACGATGCTAAAAAGTGGAAAGCTTTTGCTACTGTTACCGGTAAATTTTCCAACACCATTTCTTGGTCTCCAGCTGGTAGATTTGTCATTGTGGCCACTTTGGTCACTCCAGACACACGTAAAGCTGATTTTGACTTTTATGACTTGGATTACACTGGTGAAAAGAATGAAAACACCGAAGATGATGTGGCGGCCAACTTGAAAGCTGTTGCTCACCCAGATTTCTACGGTGCTACTGATTTGCAATGGGATCCATCTGGCAGATTTGTAGCCGTCTGGTCCTCTGCTGTGAAACACAAACTCGAAAACGGTTACAAGGTTTTCACTGTCACTGGAGAAGTCATCAGAGAAGAAATGATCGAAAATTTCAAAAACTTCGTTTGGAGACCAAGACCCGAATCTTTGCTAACCAATGGTGAAAGGAAGAAGGTCAGAAAGAATTTGAGAGAATGGTCTGCTCAATTCGAAGAACTGGATGCTATGCAAGCTGACAGCGCAATGAGAGAGCTAATCTTGCTACGTCGTTCTCTACTCGAAGAGTGGATCAACTACAGGGAAGAGAGTACTGAAAACATGCGTGACGCTTACAACTACGAAGTTTTCGATCAAGTCGAATTCTCTACCGCCGCGGAAGATTCCGAGGTTGTTGAGGAAATCAAAGAAGAAATTTTGGAGGAAAAAGAAGAAGTCGTTGATTCTTTCGAGGAGCCAGCAACCTCCGAGTAGGTTAAGCTGTTGAATGTTATTATTATAGACATGTAATATTCATTAGATATTTTCTATTTTTTGGCGTGATTGCTCTTAATCGCTTCGTGTACGCAACTGTAGACCGTGCCACCTCTTGATATCATCTTGCAAAATTCTGTTGACCAGTTTATGTTGCTTGACCATTGAAAGCCCTTTGAAATTGTCGCTGGTGATATCAATGGCGAACATTGACCCGCATCCACCACTAACGTCCTGAACCTTAATCTTGCTTGGATTTAGTTCCTTTGACAGCTTGTTGTAGACCAGCTTTTCCTCAGGGGTGAAGGAAAGTAAACGACGGGTTACACGGGCGAACATGATCTTGTCGAGTGCCTTTACTTTGTCGACTTGTTTACCAAAATTGATTAAATGTCAGCGTGAAATTTTTGGTAATATGATTTCAGTTGACTATCCTCAGTGAAAAATCAACCGATGTTGACACTCAAACTTTTCATACGCCGAATGAGTTTAGCCGCCAATAGAAGTACCGATGGTCCAATTGCACAAGCGATAGACACAAAGATTCGGCAAAAGTTTTCCGGCATGCAACATTTTGCGCTCTTCAATGATTCTTACAAGCATGCTGGTCATCATGGCATGGAAGAAGCCGACAACAAAATCGAATCGCACTTTCGGCTTGAGCTAGTCAGTGAAGCATTTCAAGGGCTAACACTCCCCAAGAGACACCGCCAAATCTATAATTTACTAGACGAAGAATTGAAGAATGGTGTACACGCGTTGCAGCTTCAAACAAGAACTCCAGCGGAACAAGCAAAGAAACAGCAACAATGACGACATAGCACTACACTTATATCGAGAACTTGGGCCTTCGTCGCAGAGCTGAACAATCGCATCCATCGCTCTTCCTTTCTTTTAAGATACATTATTTATAGGGTGCTGAACTAATGATCCTCTTTTAAGGATTCCTCGTATTTTTCCAATGACATTAACTCCTCGTTCTTCAGATCTTCAAGGTTGCTTAGTCTGAGCTTGGCGATCCAAGCTTCACCCATAGGATCTTCGTTAATCAGTTGTGGGGAGTCGTTCAACGACTCGTTGACCTCTACCACTGTGCCAGCTAGTGGAGAGTAGATTTCGGAAGCGGACTTCACTGACTCCAATGAGCCCAGTGAGTCGCCGGCCTCCAGCTCTGTGTCAATATCTGGAAGTTCGACGTAGGTGGCATCGCCCAGGGCATCTGCCGCATATTTGGTGATTCCCACAAAAGCCGTGCCATCTTGGTGAGCCGCGATCCACTCGTGTTGCGACGTGTACTTGACCGCCAAGGGTCCCGCTTTGGAGAATGTGAATGGAATTTGTGAGCTGGTTAAGGCATTAGACGACTGCGCTCTTAGGAAAAGACGAGGTGTAGAACGAGCCGAGAATTTCAGAACGGATTGAGAACAAGTGCGGATCATGGTAGTGCGACTAAAAAAAGAGAATAGGCTATGCTAACTAAACGGTAACTCGATGTGTCAGAGCGTATCGATCGCTTTTTCGACAACAGATTGTCCAATTTCCATTTATTATATATATGCTGATGTTGAAGGCAGATGTACCGACCCGTACGAAGCGACTGATACCGCAACTTTTTTTTCTTCCATTTTTGACTCGTCGTGGTGAGCCCGAGTCTTGAGGGGTGGGACACCTGTGAAGAAGTCACGCCAGGCGAGAGTTGAGAAAAAGTGATGTTCGTCGAAAACATCTGGGCAGTTGAAACAGATTTACAGCACCCAGTGGGAAAGCTACATGGATTCCAGCGACAGTGGCGTGGATGCGTAGCTGTCGCGCCTGTAAATTTTATGCCGAGTTTCCGTCTGATGTCAGATAGGTACATAGTGATTGAGGACCGTCAGGAAAATACATAATGACAGGGATTCGGAAAGCCTGACAACAGGCAGTGGTGCTTGGCTCAGTGGTGATATAGCCCGGTCGAGATGCTACGTTGCTTGCCAGCTGTTCCGCCTTCTTTCGGGGTTAAGCAAACGCAGCCCGAGGGAGGGCCTCAACACTTCTCCGCGTCGTTTACCAAAGTATCACTAACCACGACAAATCCCGCAGCTCGGAAAAAAACAGAAATAGCCGCCTATTTTCTAGGTCTCCCCCGGGCTGCATGAAGTTGGGCTTGGCAGACGAAGAACATTCATTGGTAGCGCCCCAACTACATAAAATCACTGCCATAACCCAGGAATCGCATTCTAGCCTTTCAAACCTCGGCGTCCGCCACCAAGAATTCGTGTCAACCCACACGCTTCTCCGATAGTCTTCCACTGCTTGCTATCCCATATAACCATCAGACTGCCCTTGATTCCTCTGTCTAGATGGACGATCTGAGATTACCCAGGATGCGAGCCGTACGAAAGCGGAAAAAAAAAAAACCCAAGAAAAACAATTGGGGAGCCCTGTTGAGTTTTGAAGAACTGGTGTGTATATAAGGAACGAAAAATAAGGGCAGCCCACTTACTCATCGCTTCGAGCCAACCAGACTCTCAAAAACACCCCATTGGAATCTGCCGCAAGGCAAGCACGCACAATGGCAGTAAGTAGCGCCATGTGGCAGTTTATAAGAGGGCAAGGAACCACGTTGCTTCACCGAAGCTGCAAAAAAGACCACGCCATAGCAGAGAGCTAGAACTGTCTACAAAACGGCGCTCTCTGGGATATAGATATAGTCTACTAACGTTGTGAAGAAGCGGAAACAAGGCGAATACAGCAGCTGTGGAGCTTAGCGCCAGCTCTGGTTCTGGTACGTCGAGCGTGTCTCCTTTTGCCACTAGGGGTTTCCGCGGCTATGGGGTTTTTTGTTTTTTTTTTGTGGATTTTTCTTCTTCAGGCGCGGGCCACAAAAACGCATAGCCGCACTCTGGAGCGGGAAAACAATACCCGGCCAGAACTTAGGGTCCGTTTCGACGAAGGAAAAAAAAACGAAGAGCAGCAAGAAGACACGTGACAAGCACGCGGAAGACAATGCGGGTTCGCGGCAAAGGCTTATCGCTTCCTCCTCCTCCTTTTTTTTCTCCTTTCTTTCTTTCTTTTTGTTTTTGCTCTTGAGGTTCCGTTCCGGATTCTGGACTCCAAATGATGTTCGCCCTCCACATAGCGTCGGCGTGCCCTCGGCCGTGGCTGGGTAACGAAGGCCGCAGGACAGCATGCACTTACACACTTTCCCAGCTTTGCTTTTTCTGAGCTTATGCTGGGCAATTAGGAAGACGTGAGAAGCGCGCTTGATGCAGTTCCGGATATCATGACCCTCTTCTTTCTCCAAGGCCGCATTTGAACCCATCCCATAAATTTATTTTGGCTTAGCAATTTTGTGAGCTTGTATAAGATACACAAGCAATCTCAAAGAGAATAATTGGAAGTATAGTATAGACGGCACCTACAAATTTCGGGCTAGAGCTGAAAGACACGCTTGCCTATAGATTTTCTTTCCGATTCGCATAGAGCCAATTTTCCCACCCGGTCATTATAGTTCCCCGTTAAGGCGAGCTTTATAGAGAACAAGTGTGCACGCACATTTGTATTGCATACACACACACACACACACACTCATACACGCACAGACAAAGAGCGTGTTGCGAACCATTTGCAAGTGCCTTCTTCGCATATCGTTGCAACAGCCCTTCCCAGTTTCATAATAGTATCCGTTATCTGCCATGTCCATGCTCTTTGCTGTGAACAGTCCGGAGCTCAGCACAAAACTCGTGTCTCAGTTCCCGGACTCTAACGTCGTCCATGTTCCTTGTGTAGCCGATCTACTGCTGCGCCTTTACGCCAACAGACTTTCTGGGTCAAACACATACGAGCGTAACCTCTCTCTAGTGGTATACCAGGAACCCGCTTCCACCTCCTCTGCTACTCCAGAAAGTGCATTGAATTCGATTTCGGCAGAGGAGCTGTCATGTTTGATACAAAAGCAATTTCCATGCTTCAGTCTTAGCGTCACGACCCCAGCTAACGCTCTTGAAGCAGTTGGAGGCCTCAACACGCGCCGAACGATGTATTCAACCCGTTTGAACAGAGTCTCCACATGGATGTACAACGACTATGCAGGCCCCGATCAGCCAGGCGTCAATGATTCGGAAACTTGCGCTCACTCAAAATCGGATCACAAATCTCATCCTGCATCTTCCTGTTCTTCAAACGTTTATACCATGCTTTCTCATTTGACAAAGGTTCGTCGAAGCAGCGCTTGCAACCAGCGCAAGCCATACTCGAAAATGATTTCTTCTGCATTGGACCTTCGAAGCCTCATCCACGTACCGCGAGGAAATACTGACAAGTATTACTGGGATTTCCTATCTACTTGGGATTTTTGTGCCATGCGCTTAAACACCAGCGAGCTAGTGTGGTGCAGTTATTTGATACTAGGCAAACTTGCCAGAGATGCGGGGTTTGAAGTTTCAGATAATGAGCTATTTCTTTTACTTCTAACACTAGAGGCATCGTACCATCAGGGCAACAAATTTCATAACTTTCGGCATGCAGTCGATGTCATGCAGGCAACTTGGCAATTGTGTTGTAGACTCAACTCTCATTTTGACAGCAACGCTTCCGTTTTACTTGTTTGCGTGGCTGCTATAGGTCATGACGTCGGTCATCCAGGAACTAATAATGCGTTGATGTGTGATCCATTATCACCAATAGCCAAACTATACCAAAAAAAATCTGTTCTGGAGAACTTTCATACTGAAATCTTTTCAGACATACTACGGGACCATTGGCCACGGATTCTGGAAAAGCAAAGCGTTATTTCAGATACCATTTTGGCTACTGATATGGCACTTCATTCGCAGTATGTGGATCAAATGGATACTTCTTCATCAAAGCACCCAACTTTGCTCTCACTGATCATCAAAGCAGCTGACATATCCAATGTGACCCGACCCCTGCATATTTCTACCAAATGGGCAGTCTTAATAACTTGTGAGTTTAACGAGTGCGCGGCTTTGCTAAAGTTTTTGCAAAAAGATGATGGCTACGAAAACTATATGCCCGAATGTGATGATCCATTGCCCGACTGTGTTGAAAGTATGCTAATAAAATACCCCTCTATCCCAAAGGGTCAGCTATTGTTTATCAATGCGTTCGCAGAAAGTTTATTCGCAGGTCTCGGAGATTGTTTCCACGAATTGAAGTTTCTGCATAATAATGTTCAAGAAAACAAGAAGTTTTGGGAAGGAAAAATGTAAGTGAGGTTATTCAATGACAAAATGTACAGTAGCAATGATATGTATAATAGCACGCCAAGATAAATAATAATTCTCAAGATTGGGTACCGAATGTATAAAACAAGCTTTTGTTAATTGAATGCAGTCTCTTATATCCTTGTATATATACTATCAACACGCACTGGTGTCAATTAAACCGCGCTCCCTGTGGTCCCTCACTACTGAAAAGGCCTTCAAGAGTTTTCTTCTAGCGCCCAATGCCGAGACACCCATTGCCTCTAAGGAATCATCACCAAGGTAAATCAACTCAACCCATGGCTTGCCATTCAAAGCATCTGAGTATTTGTGCAATCTCAAAGACTTCAGCCAAGCTGGAATATTGTTCAAAAGTTTTGGGTCCGTTAAAGTTTTAGGATTCATGGAAGACGAAGCTGAAGAACCCGTTGAACCGGTAGGGGAGCTCATGCCATTTTGTGGAATCGCTTTAGATTGCGATGGAGACTTTTTCTGAGCTTGTTTTCCGGGGGTGCTAAACTTTTTTCTCAACTGCGGGTCTGCAGAACGCGGTCTGTGTGTTAGATCATTGATGTAATCGTAGATGGGTTGACTATTAGAATGGTTTTGAGAGATTGGTGACCATTGTCGATTCATACCGTGATGATCCATGTTATTGTTCAACAAAGAGTCTAAGGTTAGGGGCTGCGGTGTTGGACCCCTATCAGGCATTGGGGCTATGACTTGCGGAGACCTCACACTTGGTGAGATATAACCGGAACTGATCAAACTATCCAACTTCAGTTTGGTATGCTGCAAAACTTCCTCGTTCAACGAAGACAAAAGATTATCCATCACTGAATTTTGTTGAGCTGAAGATAGCATCGACATCCACGAACATAATTGGTTCAAATCGTGAGTGAAGTTAACCATATTTGTTGGAGCTGGAGCAGGTACATGGCCCATGCTGCTGGTTGGCCTTGTAAATGAGTCCAGGAACATAGAAGAATTAGGTTGCAACAATGGTGATACGACAGCAGGTCCGGCTGCTGAGCGTTGTGAATCGACGAGCATGGTTTGTTGCTGGTCCAACAGGTCGTTGAGAGAGAGATGCTGAGAGGAAAGTTGGGGGCTGAGAGGCATGTGATGAGGATTGCCGCTTTCACCTGGTCCAGCACTATGAGTATTATTCATGGCCGAAGATTGTGGGGAAAGTAAGACTGCTCCAGGATGCGCCCTTCTGGGCATTCCCACAGGAGAGTGCACTCTTGTGGGGAACCCCATACTTTCCTGCTGAAACATGGAGGATGCGAAGAGATTTATAGTGGAAAGGTGAGCGGGAAGTTCTTGAGCCGCCACCAAATGTGTAGATAAAGTCAATGAAAGGAAAGAGGACGGGCCAGAAAGATGGAAATATCAAAGAAGAATGAAATAACACAAGTTTGCTCGATGACTCGAAAAATGGGGATTAAGTTCCAATTGCTTCTACCTGTAGAAGTGCTCAGGAAAATAGTTTCCAACTGAAGGTTGCTGTACAGGACGGAGCCGGTTCTAGACAATCTCAGCCTTTTTCACTAAGATCTTTGAATGGACCGAGTAGATTGTTCGATCGTTGAAGGATATTCCCAAAAAAGAGCGTTACAGCTGCTTGTCTGCGACTGGGCTGTATGCTATCTAACGTTCGACTAAAACGCTAGTTTTTGGTATTAAACTTGGATACTTTATCAGAATCTACTCGTTACTGTTTAATTATCTGTGGGATGGACAATTTTCACTTTTTTTCAATTTTTCAATTTTTCACTGAGTTCCGAACACCTTCGAATTTCTGAAAAAATTTTTCCAACTAAGTACTCGAGTCCTCAAAACTTCAGAATGCGGAGTGTTGGTCAATGTAATAAATTTAGCTATTGAGGCGTCAGGTTGACATTGTAACAAGTTCGCCTGCTTAGTTCGTTTGTGACCTTTAAATTAATGACTTTTCACGATTATGCTGTACACGTGGAATAGTCGCAGTCACCTTGATTAGTCGAGAGGTTGTTTTTATAGCTTAGTGGTGCTGTCACCATATAATATATTTGAGTCGAGATGGTGAACCAGGAATATAATCTTATTCCTCGTATGAATTACTTCTTATACCTGGAGATGCTAAGACTATGAAAACAATCGTTTATATGGTACAAAGTACGATGTCACAAGCGCTTAAGAATATCTGTCAAATAAATAGCCAGTAAAATTCTTGAATTATCATAATAATTACAGCGTAAATACTTACGTGCTTTGCATGGCAGCTGTGGAGACTAAAAATCCAAATATTCGTTACATTAAGTTGTTGTCTGTCCCATACTCGTTCATTCCTGTAAAAGCTACAAAGCTAAACGTCCCCAGTAAACTCGACTTTCAGGTATAATTGTGAACTGTACTTATTCAAAGCCTCGCAATGCACTAACCTTTCTCGGTAGGCTGCAATAATTAACATAATTTTCCACCGTACAATATAATTACCCATAGCAAAGCATAAATACTACCATTTGTAGAGCAATGAAGATCGACCTATTGGGAAATAAGGCTTGTCGGTAAAATTTGCACAGTACCGTCCTTTGTTCCGAGCTTCATACGAGTACATCTAAACTCCAACGTACTGTTTGTCACTTCGTACCTCGATGGCACTCACGAATATTTGATAATGTTATAGCACTAATGATTGGTCACTCTTTACTTCTCAGCTCACTTCTCCTCTATCTACCTCGCCAAGTTAATAAGGCTCACCAGACTTTACGGGAGGACATATGCGCTTATTGAGTACTTCAACATGAGAGGAATCATCAAGCGTTGCTCTTCATCTACGATTTAGCCTAACTGCTAACTCTTACCGTACACCTACCTCGAAAGGTGCCCGATGTTTATAGGAAGTCTGTATATAGAATTTCTTAAAAACATTTGTTATATATGCCAAACTCAGAGTTTATTTTGGTTGAGATGTCAATTTAAAGTATTCAAGAGGCAAAAAATCTGCTACAACTTGTCATGATGTAAAAAGTTCGATCTTTTAGTGTCAAAAAACTCTATACTGGCAATCCTTAATGTTTTATACGTCGTTGATTTTTCGAAGCAACTTTTCGTTGGTCGAGTTTCTATCCACAGAACGGCTTGTTCTTTCATAATCGGCTACTTTTGTAGAAAATTCGAGCTCACAGCAAGTCCATCGCTGGTAGAACAAACTACTTATACTAAATGGTAAATAAGCAGTTGATTTTTTCTTGGTCGAGTGCAAAAGCTCGCGTATTCATCCCCAATTCTCTTTCAGCGATCAAGTTCATCATGCAATTTTGAAGCCAGAAGTAATATAGCTTACGCGTTCGCCACTGAGTTTAGAGAGAACGGTAATTACTTATAGTTGTCGAATCCTTCTTTCGCCACTCCAAGAACATTCAATTGTTGTAAAAACTATTCCGCTTTACTAGACAATGTCCAACCATAAGGCCAAACAAGTGGGTTGCAAGCATTCGTTGTGTAATGTGAAAATCACATTTCATGCTCTCGCAATTCACAATCTTGCACTAACCTCTAACTTGTGTTTGTTCCATATTGTCGCATGGCTTAAACTGTATTGAGGATAAAGTTGTAAAGTGACGTCCCTAATAAAATTTTCTAAGAATAGACTCACATTGCTCTTTTACTGATTCATCTTGCTCTTTCATAACGATGAGGATATTTTCAATGGACTGTTTCACCGGGGGTCTAAACATGATCATGAACTTCAGTGATTGAAAACCCAGCGAACTCCGGAGAGGATCCAAGCACAATGACCTAATCCTATCAATGTGCTGCTGAGTCAAACGTGGTAGCTCACTGACGAGTCTAATGAACAAGCGCCTATGCGAGGGTTCTAAAACTGGTATTAGAGCATCCAATACCTTAAAAGACCATTTATCATAAATGGGTGTTTCTCTGGCACCTGCATTGTTCTGTAGAGTTTCGTAATACCATTCTTCACTTAACCACTCGATCACCACCGCTATACGATTAGCAAAATCCTCTAAGAAATATTCATAAATCGCGAGCCTAGCTGTATTACTCATTTCTTCGTTATGATTTACGCCTCGTGTTGCTAGTCTAGCAAGAAGAGTCAACCATGATGTCTTATTGTTCCAGTTCAGCAGTCTTACTTTGTGTAGCAGGTGCGCTGAGGCCTCGTTGTTGTTTGCAGATTCTTCCTCTGAGTCTTTAACCGCTATTATATGAGCCAATACTCTTGAGAAATGCTCCTTCTTTTCGTCCTCAGACATGGGGGCTGGGGTGCCCAGAGTAAACTCTTGCTTGTCCTCATCCTCTGAAACATCCTCATCTTCAGGAAGCTTTGTAACTTCACGTTTCTTTACTGTTTGAGGACCGTTGATATCATCCTCCAGTGGACGTTTTCGAGAATCAATTGATGTTGAAGCTTTATTCATGAGATCAGTATAGCGAGATGCAACTATAGACAATCCTGATATGATTTTATTGGTGTCGGTCTGGTACAAACATTCCGTGCATATTTTAGCCATAACACTTGGTGATAACTTGGATAGGTCAATTTCAGAATGCTTGCTATTCATGAGCGAATAAACGGATGCGTACGTATTATCAAATGCCACCGGAGATGTGTTGAAAAACCCTGTTGACGAGCTTTTGGACATCGCGTATTTTTGTAATTCATTGAGGAGCTGCATATCTGGAGTAGGTCGTAGCAGCTGACCTTCACTTCTTGAGGGTGGACTTTGACTTGAAACCTTTAGAGAGGCAATATACTTCTCTTTTTCCCGCAGTGGCATTTTACGCTCCATTTGGTTCGCGTCAAAGTTAAGAATACCTTTTGATTTAGTTTCTTCGCCGATTACATGCAAGGTTTGAGATATTTTGGTTAGCTTAGCATGGTACTGTGACGAGCTGCCAGAGTTTCTGATTAGTTGGGACTTAAGACCGAACTGAACAAATACTTTATAACAACGTTCTACAAACCTTTTGGCCAAGCGATACTGTAAGACGGATTCCGAATCTTGCTGATATTTGTTGTCAACATTAAACCTCAAGACGCCGTTCAAAATACGGTTTGCAGCTTGCGGTCTTTGTTTCATAATGAAACTCAAGCAGTTCAAGACACCCATGAATAAAGATGATACCATCATAGGCTCCTCAGATAGATAAGCCAGGAGATAGTCGAGCAATTTTTTGGCACCAGATTCGAGTTGGCTTTTAGACGTAATAACAGGATGAGAGTCAGGAACAGAAGCAATACTTATACCTGAGGTTCCTTGTGTGTGTACAATGACGAGGGTAGCAATAAACCTGACCATAGCTAGCTTTACTCCAAGAGATCTGCCGTGATCTTCTAGTGGATCTGTGGAGGGTGGGAGAGGATATGAAGTTTTCCACTTGGATAGAATGAAACCTTTGAACTGACAGATCGTGTCCCATAGCTCTTTGTTGGAGGTTTTGGCGACAAGGTCAAATAGCCATTCGTAGCACCTGCTAAAACCAAGAATACCGTCCCGCAGGATCGCGTGGTCCTTCTTGGTTCGACACAATTGCGACAATATGGCCAAGTGTTGAGATGCAATAAACGGTTTTTCACTGGAATTAACCTCCTCATGACTCATGACATCTATAAAGAGTCTAGCACATAGTTTTCCCAAATCATTTGACGGATCTGTTGTTGATCGATATAGTGCCATAGCGGTCTCCAGTACTTTTGGAAGCATCTCACCAGGTTTCGTCTGCATCGCCAAGGTTCTGGCCTGTGCCAATTGGGCCACTTCACCAGACATTTTGGGTATAATTCGATGCTTTATCTAATAGAGATTTCAAGTTTGTCGAATAACATTGTAAGTTGCAAGCTAAATTTTTAAGTGAAAATAATGTAATATGTATTCCAGACGTGATAGAATTTAGATGTCAACAGCACCAATGAAGTGCCCTTCTTCCTGTTGTGGAAATAGCAAGTGATAAGTAAGGTCTCGTTTGCCAGTCTTGAGAGTATATTCAGAATCAGCGCTTTGGAGAGAATGCAGAACGGCGCATGATTCATTCGTTAGTTGATTCATAAGGTATCATACAATTGGACTCGAAGAACTAGTAGTGAAAAAAGAGAGGGAGTGGAAATGTTTGTTGCTGTAGTCTTACTATCTACAATCTTTGCCACAGCACTTTTGACAGTCCTTTGACGGTCGTAAATGTCATACAACAGCCATGTAACTTACCTATCTTATAGCTCAACTGACGAAGATACAGTCCCGGAAAGTCTATAGATGAATCCTAGTGACTCAAGCTCCACGTGTGTTATGTACTACCCATCCCAAGTCTTCGCACTGGCAATTCAAGGCCTAATATTCTGCGCAAAAGTTACTCGTATTGCATTTCACAAGAGTGCTCGCTTCCGAGCATGATAACTCCAACTATCAGCCGACGTGACAAATAACGTTAGCTATTCCAAATTCCTTGGTACGATATCGATCAGAAAGTCAAACATGTCGCTCTTCAGTAAAGCTTGCGCAATGTCGCTCTTTTGAAGTGTTCGTCTCTTGTGCTCTTCTGCGATACACCAGGCCCGCATAGTGAGTTCGGTGATGAATATTTCGCATGCTTTAGCAAAGAGTATTGGAGCTTCTGCACTAATCATCCGGACGTCTTCGTCTGTTTTCATGACCTTTTTAATGCGCGCAAGGGGTAGTGAATGCGATTTAAAGTCGTCTTTATACTGACTTCCTGGTTCATTGGTCATCTCTATCTCATTTATCAACTCTTGCCAATATTGAATCGTGATTTCCAGGTAGCTGCCAACTAAGCCCTGGGCTACATTGCGAAAGACGTCGACTTCCTCCTCCTCTAGTAATGGATCCATGTGTAATGATTTTCCTTGTATATCTGTGACTTTAATTTCAATAAAATCAAGTAAGTTACATTGAAATTTGAAATCAATTAATAGTCAAAACCCAACAATCGTGGGGGTCGCGATATCTCTGAAGATGAGGAAATTCCAATCTTTCAGCGCTAGTGTCGAGTCGAGTTTGTTACAGCCACCAAAGACACCAAATGAAAGTGATATGTACGCAGAACCGGAGAACTTCTTGGAGATTGAAGTAGCTAATCCAAAAACGCATTTTCCTCATGCCGAGAACAGAGGTATGTACACTGACTATGAGGTGATATGCCGTACAAACCTGCCATCCTTTACGAAGAGAACTAGTAAAGTAAGAAGGCGGTACTCAGAGTTTGAGTTATTTCGCAAATGTCTGCTCAAGGAGCTTTCCTTGTCGAGCCACCCGAAGGTGGTGGTTCCACACTTGCCTGGCAAAATAATACTAGGTAATAGGTTTAGCGATGAAGCTATTGAAGAACGCAAGCAAGATTTGAACAAATGGATGTTCACTGTGGCAGGCCACCCGCTATTGCAAAGCGGCTCCAAAGTTCTCGTGAGGTTTATCGAGAACAAAGAGTTTTTAGGTTGAGATGGAAGCAATACGTGAAGGACTAGATGAGCAGAAAGCTCATCAAAAAGTGGGAAAGCGACTGTGATATTGTAGAGACCACTTCTGCGGGTTTCTCCTCATATATATAGTATGTATAGAAGGACAAGAGATGATAATGAAATTTAAGAAGGTACAAAAACACTGATTACTTCGAGACCCACCGCTGAAGTTACAACGTGATGGATGTATGGGCAAGACGTTCTTACTTGTGATTTCTACGCTAAGACGAAATGAATCTCCACTAAGGTAACGAAAAAAAATACTTCACAAGTTGAGAATACATTTAGAAACTTTTCTTAGAGGCTTTGGTACTGGCAATGAGGAAATCTGCATTGCTGTCGGTCGACGCCTTTGCTAAGACTGAAGAGGATGTACGAATCCGTACCAGGTCCGGAGGTATTATAACCCTTTCATGTATCATAGTAACATTTTTACTGTTACTTAGCGAATGGACCCAGTTGAAAGAGATTGTTACGCGACCACAACTAGTTGTGGATAGAGACCGTCACCTGAAGTTGGATTTGAACATGGATGTAACCTTTCCACACATTCCGTGCTATTTGTTGAACATGGACATCTTGGACAGTGCTGGGGAAATACAGCTGGATCTGCTTGAAAGTGGGTGGAGCAAGACCCGTTTGGATTCTTCAGGTCAAAATCTGGGTACTGAAAAGTTCCACATTGGCCAGGATTCCAACAACGCTGGACCCGAGGACGAAAATTATTGCGGACCTTGTTACGGGGCCAAGGATCAAACTCAGAACGAGCAAAAACCCAAGGAAGAACAAGTTTGTTGTCAGACCTGTGAAGATGTGCGTTCGGCATACATGGAAGCGCAATGGGCTTTTTTTGACGGCAAGAACATAGAGCAATGTGAGCGTGAAGGTTACGTGGAAAAAGTTAACAAACATATTAATGAAGGTTGCAGGATCAAAGGTATGGCCAAGCTCAACAGAATTGAAGGCAACTTACATTTTGCACCCGGCAAAGCACACCGTAATAAGCAGGGTCATTTCCACGATACTTCCCTCTACGATAGAACGCCAAGCCTGAACTTCAATCATATAATCCACCACTTGAGTTTTGGTAAAGAGGTCGAGGAGACTCAAACCGAGAGCGTCTCCACCTCCCCACTAAATGGCAGAGATGTTAGGCCTGACTACGACACGCATTCTCACCAGTTCTCTTACTTTGCCAAAATTGTTCCAACAAGATTTGAGTATCTAAATGGAGTCAAGGTAGAAACTACACAGTTCAGTGCTACCTACCACGAGCGGCCCATTCGCGGTGGTCCGGACTCAGACCATCCAAACACACTACACAGTCGCGGAGGGTTTCCAAGTGTGTATTTTTACTTCGAGATGTCGCCGCTAAAAGTCATCAACAAGCAGCAATACGCGCAGTCATGGTCTGGTTTTTTGCTGAATTGTATCACAAGTATCGGGGGTGTACTAGCCGTGGGCACTGTGGTGGACAAAGTCACATACAAAGCTCAAAGATCTATATGGGGCAAGAAGAGTTCGTGAAGGTACAAATCAAGCAGTCGTTACAAGCCTCGGCTGTTCGACGAGCGTTCTCGAGCAGTAAAGAGTGAGGAAAGCAAACAAAGAGACGGGGTACCTCATGAATATTAGAAGCCTTTGGTATTTTGAGATTTTAGCCTAGCAGTCGCCAATAGGGTTGTGAATAGAAAACATTGGAACGTCTTTGCAACTCTAAGTGAAAGCGAAAGTCAGATAAAAGTTTATATAAGTCATAAAAGTTGTACCTTCTAGGAACTTGCCTACTGATGTAGATAGTAACTCAATACTTTAATGCCGAGTTGAATCATATCTTCAGAGACAGTACCTCGTATATAACTATCATTCTTTTTAGCCGGTAAATTCTAAGAAACCTGTTTTGAACAGTTGAAGAAAGATTCGGAGGAAAACAAGAATTTGATAGGCCCATCGACGGTTTACAAGAGACTTTAGAATGGCTATTCAGTCGCAGTCGACTGTATCGCTACCTACATTAGTTACACAATCGACCCAAAGCCTGCTGAATAGACGTGTATCCACCGAGGACTCGCTGTATCATATATGCTTGACTGTACGAAAACGCTTGGAACTTTTGCCCCAGATCAAACCCTACTTGAATCTCGCACACTCGAGTAGCGAACTATCCAGTGAACGACAGGCTCTTTTGCTATCTCAGAAGCAGCAATTAAATCAACAACATCATCGAAGTGTTGGGTCTCAAACAAGCAGTGTATCCAATGGGAATGGCACCAAACAGGGATCCGACCGGCGTATCAGCGCGCTGTCAACCAATAGCTACTCTGACGAACAAGATACCTCCAACCTTAGCATAGAAGAAACGGTCGTAACATTTAGCATGGGTATCTTACCTATTTCCATGGACTGTGATCCAGTCACTCAGCTCTCACATCTTTTCCAACAAGGTTCGCCGCTGTGCATTATCTTCAATGCTGTGAAGCCGCAATTTAAGCTTCCAGTAGTGTCGTCGGACGATCTAAAGATCTGCAAAAAGTCAATCTACGACTTCATTTTAGCATGCAAAAAATACTTCACGTTTAGTGACGAGGAACTTTTCACCATTTCCGATGTCTTTTCTAACGCGACAGACCACTTCATTAAAGTACTAGATGTGGTAATCACACTCTTAGACTCCGCTCCTCAAGTTTTTCCACAAGTTCCTGTAGAAGAAGTTAAATGGTCGAACACAGATCAAGGGAAAATTGTACGGGAATTCGTTGAAACTGAAAGAAAATATGTCTATGATCTGGAAATTTTGAATGAATATCGAAACCAGCTTTTACAGCGCGGTATCATCAGCTCTGAAGAACTTTACATGCTCTTTCCAAATCTTAATGACATCATTGATTTTCAAAGACGATTTCTGATATCGTTAGAGATTAATGGCCAAGTCGAACCTTTCAAACAACGAATTGGAGCCTTGTTTATGCATTCTAAACACTTTTTCAAACTTTACGAACCTTGGTCAATTGGGCAAACAGCAGCTATAGACTTCATATCATCAAGTTTCGACAAAATGCAAAGATCTGATTTCGTCATTGCCAATAAGCTTGAGCTGCAATCATTTCTTTTAAAGCCAGTTCAAAGACTTTGCAAATATCCGTTGCTTTTGAGAGAGCTTTTACAACAATCTAACAACACTGCGAATTGTAAAGAGCTCGAACTGGCATGGGACATCTCAAAAAGTATTGCTCGCAACATAAACGAAAATCAAAGAAGAACTGAAAATCACGAAGTAGTCAAAAAGCTATATGATCGTGTTGTAAACTGGAAAGGCTATCGAATCGCCAAGTTCGGGGAGCTTTTATATTTTGACAAGGTTTCGATTTCTACAGGTAATCCAAACGAAACTGAGCATGACTTTGAAGTTTATCTGTTCGAAAAGATCATAATCCTTTTTAGCGAAGTGGTTCAAAAAAAGGGTAATAGTATTTCCCTCAAGAAAAAATCCAGTTCTGCATCAGCATCTACCTTACATCTGTCTGTTAATGGGATCGGTAGCTCTAGTCCGTCCGGAAGTTCCGGCGAACCTAAGTTAGATTTGAGAGGAAGAATTATGATTGTCAATCTAAACAAAATTACTCCTATTGATAGCCGCTGTTTGAATATCATCTGGGAGTCTCCTAAAGAGCAGGGCAATTTCGTTCTAAAATTCAAAAACGAAGAAACGAGAGATAGTTGGAGCAGTAGTCTTCAAGTTCTGTTACGACAAGTTCGCAGTGAATCACTGAAAAGTAACAATAGTAACAGTGATCGGTCATCGCTCTCTTCTAACAACTATTTTCCACATAACAGCATGAACTCTTTGAACAGCAACCAAAACAGAAGAATATCTGACGTGCTGCCGAGATTCCACACTCATCAATCGTTTGAAAATGAATACAGATCTATTTCCGAAAATTACAGAGCGTCAATCCCCGAAACCACCCTTTTGGTGAGAATTTCGTTTCAGAATGATTTCTATACAGTTTTGGTGGAAATTAACTCTGGAATCGAAAACCTTTTACAAATTATAAAAAGAAAACTGACACACGCTGGAACCATCACGAAGATAAAATACCAAGATGAAGATGGCGATTATGTGATGCTGGAAAGTGAAGACGATTGGAGTGTGGTGAAAGATATGTTAAGGGAGAGCAGTGACCGCATTCTAAATGTTTGGGCATATTCGTAATGCGGCTTTGGAATACAAACAATAGCTTACAGTTTTCTGAGTGCAGCGCGAGAAAAAAGCTTTTGCAATTATTGTAATTGAGTTGCCTTGCTAGAAGCAAGATTCAAGTTAGCAGCCCACGCCCTAATTGTTTAATCTACAAGAATGCAGCTGTTGGAACGTGGTACAGGGAGCTTTAATTATATACCACCAGCCCTGCCCAAATGAACCTTTGGTCAAAGATTTAACCATGATAGAAATTAGCGGGTCATAAAATCTGCATCACGACTTCAACTTTATCCATGAAAAACAAGATTTAAGACTAATATCACTTACCATATAAATCTAGTTTGAGATGAGCCTCAATGAAATAAATAAATTAATTTTTTGTTTTCGTTATGTCAGACTGTACTTGGGACCGTCGCCGCCCTCAGGGACCACCCAATTAATATCCTGAGTGGGAACCTTTATATCGCAAGTTTTACAGTGGATACAATTTTGGCCATTGATTTGAAATTTTACCCCCAAAGGCGACGATTCATCAGCCACATATTCATAAACGCCAGCGGGGCAGAATTTCGATTCAATTCCCTTCCACTTTGGATAGGCCAGCTCGGCATGTTTTTCAAGATCTTGATCTGGAACTCTCAAGTGGCACTGTTCATCTTCGTCGTGATAGGTGCCTGTACGTGACACAGACGTTAAAATGTCAAACGAGATTTTACCATCTGGTTTGGGGTATTCAATTGGCTCAAATTTGTCAGCGGTTTCGGTAACAGCCGAATCAGATTCATGGTGATTGAATGTCCATGCTACTTGACCCTTCAATAGTAAAGAATCAAGACCAGAGTATGCCATACCTCCGAGGCGGCCAAACAGAGGATGGTTAAAAGAAGGCCTTATGTTGCGTACCTCATATAGTTCTTCGAAAACCCATGAGTTTCTGAAACTCTTTTCATATGACTCCAAATTTAATGGATTTGTCACTACTTGTTCGATACCTTCATTTTCCATAGATTCTATTGTCGGCATTTTGGAAATGACTTCATACATGGCATCTGCAGCCAGCATACCTGTCTTCATGGCAGTGTGGGTACCCTTGATCTTCGGAACGTTCATGACACCAGCAGATGCACCTACTAATACACCTCCAGGGAAATTTAGTTTAGGAACAGATTGCAAACCACCTTCATTCAAAGCACGAGCACCATATTCAATACACTTGCCACCGGAGAGAGTTTTTTCGTAGTATGGATGGTGCTTCATCTTTTGGAATTCCTGATATGGTGAAACATAAGGATTGCGGTAGTCCAGACCCACCACTAAACCAACAGCAACCAAACCTTCGCCGAAATGATAAATAAAGCCACCACCATAGACATCATTGGACAGAGGATATCCCATCGTGTGTGATGCAAATCCTTTTCTGAAATTTTCAGGCTTTACCTCCCAGACTTCTTTTATACCTAGGCCATAAGTTTGATTACACTTACCTTTTCTCAAGTCGAATTTCTTGACAACCTCTTTTGTCAAAGAGCCATGGCATCCTTCTGCCATAACCGTCTGTCTTGCATGAAACTCCATTCCTCTTTCAAAGGAAGATTTAGGCTTGCCCTGCTTGGAAACTCCCATGTTCTTGGTTGCAACACCGATAATAGCGTCCCCATTGTCATTATATAAGACCTCCGAAACGGAAATACCGGGGTAGATCTCTACACCAACTTCTTCAGCTTTTTCAGCTAGATACCTCACAACTTGGCTTAACGACCCCACGTAATTCCCTTCGTTAGACATCTGCGGAGGTTCTGGAACCGGCAATACCAAGTCACCGAAAAGGTACTTCAACTCTCCAGATGTCACTGGAGTGACTATATCTGGAGGGAGTGGTACACCGCCCCCGTTATCATCATAATATTCACTTTCAGGGAAGAGTTCCCGCAGGGCTCTTGGCTCCATAATGACACCAGAAACCATATGAGATCCCATGTCGGGAGCTTTCTCCAAGACGACAACCCTGAGTTCACCCGATCCATGGAGATTGTCCAGCTGCTTGAACCTAATGGCAGTAGCCAATCCAGCTGGTCCACCACCAACAATGCAGACGTCTACTTTGTCAACTGCTCTTTTTTCGGACATTATAGCTCTTTCATCTTCGGTCAACTTATTGAATGGAACCTCACTCGACTTTTGCGTAACAGTCCCGGTGGAGAAATTGCGACTGTCATTCCATCCTCTAGCCGTCCTGAATGTAGGTGTGATGATCGCATTTTTACCTATTCTTCTCAAACATCTTGCAGAGAAATTAATCGGAGAGTTCGTAATGCCCTGTTTCGGCAGGAATCTCGTAAGCATTTGAAGCTTGTACCGTGAGCTCGGACTACGAAAAATGCCTTCTTTAAATGGTCGCACTTTGAGCAGAGTTGTTTAACAGGAAACCACAATAGTCGCTAACTTATATTTCATTAAAACCGTGATGGACAGAGTCACGCTGAAGTAGTATTCTAATTTTTCAGTAAATATTATTCAATTAATCATTTTATTAATTTCTGTCACCTCATCAGCTCGAAAAATTCCTTGTCGTTACGTTCGTCTAGGGATCTTCTTTTCTAGAACGAAGGATATTCAACTCAGTATTTGTATTCTCCTAATCCAATTTGTTTTTACTACTATTACAACTTGCCTTTTAATTAATTATAAAGTAACCGTTTTTGACTAAACCTTGTCAAACTGAAATAAATTGTTACACACCAAACTTGAGCAAGAGATTGAACCTTATCGCCCGCAGATCTCATTGAAAAAGGCCGTCAAGGTCTTCAACAGAAACCGCCTCTGGAGACTCAATTTCTTCGAGAAGGAAGCCTGAGCGTATTGTTCGGAGCCACGAGTTGCAAGTAAGACCCGGCGAATAAGGTTCTAAAACGTTATCCGTAGATGGCAGAATAGATTCTACTGGCTTTTGGGTGACCATGAGTCTCTGGATAGTAGAAACTGCAGCATTCATTGAATCATGTGGGCCTAGAGACTTTTTCGTGGCAACCTTGTTCAACCGAGGCGCTGCAGCAGCAGCTGTTACATAAGGAGCGGCAGCTCCTGGCAACCCTGGCTGGATTTTAGGCTTCTTGTTTGGTGGTTCGTTGAAGCTTGACTGGGGCATGCGATCTTTCACTGCTTCTAAGGAAGCGGCATCACTACCAGACTCTGAATTATGGGGAATTAATCTCATGGTGACAGGTGATGCTGCATATGGAATATTGAAGTCCGTGGCAAAGGAGCTTACGGTGAAGCTGTTGTTGACTGCGAATGACCGATTTGATTGTCCTCCATTTCTCTCTCCAGTGGTATCTGCGTTGGCGTCATTCGACCCCTGAGATGCAGTTTGTCCCTTTTTGGAACTTCCATTGGATTTCCCAGTCTTTTGCTTGGAATCATGCCTCTGTAGCATCATCGATTGTGTGTGAGATTTATAGTCAGGGGCCAAGGTACCACGATACACATAAACCATTCTCCTAGGTGAACCCTCTGACCACTGCCGCGAAAGAGCGTATTTGAGTGTCTTTTCTCCCTTTTCAACTTTCTTCACATACGCATTAAGTTTAGCAGAGATCAAGTTAGAAAGTTTAGTGGATGCGCCTGCCATGTCCGGATGCTTTTCGGCTACATAGTCGCACAGTTGTTTGACGGTAACGCCTTTTTGATGTGGATCTTTTTCGAAAAGTATGACAAAAATCGCCAGCAAAATGTCATCGTCCATTGACAAATCTTTTTTATTAGGCTTTGGCCGCTGACCAGTGACTGGTACCATGATGGAAAGTTCGGAGGCAGCGCTTGAAGATGGTACGGGAGATGAAGCCGCAGATCTTTTCAGCGCCAACAAATCTTTTCTGCCCAATGGAGTCTCGGAGCCTGCACTGTCACCACCGGCATCGGAAGTAAGGCTCGAGCTGCTTCTCTCTGCCAGGCTCTCAAGAGACCCGCCCTGTGAAGAGCTACTCAGAGAGCTTGGTTGGAAAATGGGTGATGCAGAATTGTGCAAGGCTTCATTCTCCAGAGCAGGAATCTGAAGTGGTCTTGAATTTGTCAAAGCCATCGTTGTGGTTTGTAAGTTGGGCCCTTATAGGCATGCACTAAAGCTGTCAGCCAAGACTATTTGTGTTTTCTTGTTCTCAAACCGCAACTCACTAACGAACGACAAAATGTGTATGCTATGGATCGTTGTTGAAAGAGTAGCCAGCCTGTGTCCTTCAAATGGCCTGCTTTGAAAGTATGCTAAGACAGTATAAACAAAAGGTTGCTTCTACGCGAATGTCTGCTATCTTGTTTCTGTCTTTCTTACAAAAACAAGCTGACAGATATTGTCTTGCGCGGAAATGTAACTCACTATTCGACTCAAATAAAAACTGGAGACGTCGCGACGTGCGATGAGCTGCTTCTCAGCGTCCAAATAGTCTGGAGAAGGAGTGAACTGGTTATACATGTCTCTCAGCAGGGTTTGGAATTTCCATCACGTTAGGCGCGATGAAAAATTATTGGGCCTTAACAAATTGAATTTTTTTTGTTGTACGGTGAGTACTGAGAGCGCCAGAAAGTTCTTACAATAAATCAAAGCTCAGCCAAGTAAGCCGGGTGAAGTTGCCAATCGCGAGAGTATAACGAGAGTGGATAGATGCATGCGGCCTTGAATTTGCAAACTGGATTGAGAGTTGTTTACTAGCTCTTCCCACGATAATTAAAGGCGAAAAAACAGGCTTCGAATTCTTCGATGACCTTTTCTAGCACGAAAACATTCGGGCAGAGAAGCTTAATTTCTGTAGCGTCTATACGCGATTCTCCGAAGCACCAACAGTCCCTTTTCAAGCTTGTGCTCTGGCTTGATTTGAGCGATCAAAAAAGACAGTCTCAAGAGAGCCGAGTAAAGCCCTAACTACGAAGCCCTAACTACGAAGCCCTAACGAGTAAGCCCTATCGAGTGAGCCCTAAAACTGAATACGAGCTCACACAGACGGGGCCCGTTGCCTAACTTTATCAACAGCCGCCTGGGTGCGTTCAAAATCCAGCGGCCAGTACTTATCCTCATGAGGGTACAGATTCTCGATGGTTTCTCCGTTTGGCGGGACAAACCAGTAGTTCACCGCCACGTGAATTTGGTCTTGCGCCGATGCGGCGTTCTCCTTCCCAAAAGACGTTACTTCGTGGAACCAGCCCGTTGGCAAATACAGCATCTCACCCGGTTCCAGATCCACTACAAGGCGGTTCGCCTGCAAAAAAAGTGGCCATTTCTCTAAGGCCTTGGCGTGGATTTTCTCTCGCACCGTTTTGTCTTTTATCTTATCCAAGTGCACGATTGCAGGTGCCACAGTAGAAAATGACGGAGGATCAAGCTTCGCGCTGGGCTCTTTTCCATTCTGTGTAGCTTCGTCTGTATCAATGAATTTTTGCATGCGATTCTTCTCGTCGAGGCTCAAAGATGCATTGTGAAGCAATTCTTGATGGGCTACTTCAGCCAATATGGCACCATCGTCACGTAATGATCTCCAAAGAGGCGATTGCTCACCCTGCGCATAATCGATAACTCCTGAGTTGTAAACGTTGCGAATAGCCCCCACGGTATACATCTTGGCGGCATCACGCGGCGAGAACAGTGTGAACCGCTTTCTTCCACTAATTGGCACATAGATGTTATCCGCGTGATCGTGATGTAGCCCTGAGGACGATCCACCGCTCGGGACAAATCTTCCTAGACCCATCTTCGGTGCCTGGGGGTCAAATTTCGACAGAAAAGCGTCATCATTTGTCTCAGTTCCAGCTGTTGACCCGATCCACAGATTTATTTGCTGCGGTATCAGCTTTTTCATGAATTCTGGCGTCTCGGGGAGCCGGTTTACTAAATGATTCATTGGAGGCTGATAAAGTTCTCTAACACGCTGTTCTGCCTCTGCCGCACTCAGAGCGCCGGTTTCCAGTTGCGCCTCTGGTTGGTCGTCTTCCGGTGAGTTAATCTCATCGAAATCGTCATGCGCATTATCCATGCTGAAAGAGCCACCGTCTGAGAACTCGTCGGCGCTGGGAAAAGCGGCAATTTCGTCTTCCTCCAATTCCTCCTCGCTTTCGCTTTCGTTGTAGAATTCTTCCGCCTCTTGCGCTACTCGCTGTGATCCACCTTCGTAGTCGTCATCCTCGGCATCTTTGTCTTCTGCATATTGCGTTGTCAGGTACAAATTGCCCTCGCCTTCTCCCAAACGACGCATAAACTCACCCAGCGTCAGCAGTATTCTTTTTTCGCCGCTGCCAAACCCTCCCTCAACCTTCCGCTCCACTTGCAAAATTTCGTCCGCTGGCAAAGCTGTAGTAATGTTTGCAGGATTCAAGCCCTTGAGCAGCACATCCTGTGAAACAACGCCCTTGATTTTGCAAGGCTTACGCTCTAGCACGTACTTTTTCAAAAATGCTGTGATGTCCTCTGCACTTTCTGGTACCTCGATTACGTCCACCGCACCATTTTTTTCACCAGGAAAGTACTTGGTGTACTCATTTTCAACTCTTTTTACCAAAGACTCTAGCCTCTTCGAGTCACTTGCAGATTCAGCACTCGCTAATCTTTTGCTCATTGTAGAGTCTTTTTGATGGTCTTTGCAAGCCTGTTCAATACATCGGTAAATGTTATCAGCTCATCAAGACATCAAACTTTTTTTTCCACTCACTAGCCACGAACATATTCAAGCTGCATGCTTATGTGATTGATGACATAACCCCGATAAGCAGAATTTTTCGATTAGCAAATTGACACATTATCGAAAAACTTGGCTCGGCGGCAGACCCTGCATGAAATAGTGAGATCGAACAACAACTCAGGACGGTGCATTCCATCAGAAGAATGCACAAAGCACACAGCACAAGAAGCGTGTGAATGAACGGTATGAATGCGTTATTATGTAGGGGTAGGTAGGAGGGGGGTAAAAAAAAAAACAAAAACATGCAAATATGGTGAGAACGTCTACGACAGGTTCTGGCCTGTGTGAAGCTCTTCAATAGGTAACAGAGCCGGTATGGTATGGGCCGAAACGAAACAGAGGCCCGAAAAATGCGTTGGGGTCCCGTTGTCTTTCGGCCAATACACGGCTACTTTCTTTTTTTTGTCATTAAAATGGATTCGTTAGCCACACAACGTTGGTTGTGCTTGTGAGTTGGTGACGATAGTTTCCACCACTTGTATCTCCAAATTTGTCATCCCACGTTTGTTTTGTATGCACTGCCGGCCAGCTGATAGTCGCAAATTTCTTATCCGCTACCTCGGGCGTTTGCAGGCTACCTCGGCCACTCCAAAGAAATCCAGATCCATGTTGGCCGAATTGCGCTTGGAATCGGACCTCTTGAAAATAGCAGGACGTACAACTCCAGACCCAATTGCATATGTAGCAGGACCACTAGATCTCGAGAGGTCCGGTGATGCATTTGAGGAAGCATTCGACTGGGGGGTGGCAATTTGGGCTGCATGAGCGGCATTGAACTTCAGTCCCATGGTAGAGGGCGTATTTGGTGTTGGAGGAACGTTAATGCGAGGAGACCGGAAATTGTGCGAGGGGAAAACAGTATCTGACTTGCCAGTGTAGGAAACGGGGCTCATGTTGACAGCCTGGGAGTCGCACTCTTGAGTTGTAGGTGAGGGAACGGAGGTTGGCTTCACCATGGAAGATGGAACAAGTGGTGGGGCAATCATCAAGTCGTACTCTATCAAACTTTTCAAAATGGGGTTAGATTCCAAAGTGTTTTGTCCCAGATATTTGAGTTTGAAACTCGAGGGAAAACTGCGGGACCGTAGCTTCTTCAAGATCAAATTGCAAACGCGTTGCAAGTTGATGTCCTTGAGCATAGTAGAGTAATGCAAAAATTCGCCGTCAACCGATAGCCTTAGCGCGTGTGTAGTGAGGGTGACAGCGGCAAGGGCCACTGCACTAGCGTTACAATCGAACGCAAGTACGTGGTCGAAGCACGCCAGTTCACACAACACACAACTCCCGTACTTCAAATCGTTGAGATTCAGTCCCTTGTAGCTTAAAGAGCTGATTTTGTTTTTCAAAAGGATATCAACGAACACGTCGTGTGGAGGGGAGTTGCAAGGAACCCAGTTGAGGGCTTTCAAAATGTGAAGTTCCATTTCCTGGAATTGAGAGCGCGAGTACTGGTTGCAACACAGGTTTTGCAGCGCGCGTAAAGACGGCACGCGGGGCTTTTTGTCGGTGTATTTGGAGGCGAGCCATAGACTGCACAAGGCGACCAATTGGTAGGTGCAGCTCTTGACAATGATGCGGCTGCAGTAGCGGTCGATGACGCTGAAGCACAGAAACAAGGTCGAGGACGAAAGTGCAAGTCGCGTGTGACAGCACATGGCGAAGTCGAAGATGAGCGAGCGCATGTGGGTGTTGATCTCAGGCTGGGCCTGGAAACTCGCGAGGCACGGGCGACTCGTCTGTTCGATGTCGATGAGGTGTCGAAGGATGTCGACGCTGTAGTCCTGGCACGCAAGCTGGTGCGAGAGAAGCTCCATCTGGACAACTCTGGGATGCGCGGCGCGTGAGTTCCACACGGCGCGTCTGACAGCGGCCATTTCGGCCAAGTTCGCAGTCATTGTGGCTGGGATTGTTGGTCTGCTTTTAGGATAAGCTCAACGCAGTTCTGGTACTTTCCAAGCAGGCAAGAAGGGTCCAGGAGACGAGAATATAAATATTATTTTTTTTCCCTTCTCAAATGTGTTTGGAACCTAAGATGTGGTAGGTCTTCGAAACTGAAATTGAAGTTGTATCAGAATAGTACTAAGTAGCACACACAACTATCCTTGATAACAGTAAGGGGATTAGATTCAAACTGCACTCTGCAAACGATGAGGATCGAAGAAAGGTGGTTGGAGCCAAAGCCCAAAAGAAAAATAAAGGAAAAGTCGGCGAACGCTTCAAAAAAAAGCTGATCTGAAGAATAACAGTGGTTGTTGCTGCGATTCGCGGCTAAAATCTAGCGGCGGGAGAGTTGAGGATTCGAACGGTCTGCGTGGGGTAGGAGATCGGTAAACCGACGGGACCAACGCTCGATTTGTTCTTTGAGGTATCCAGTGGGATCTCGGTGATTTGCACGGGTGGTCAATGAGGATCCACGCTGCCAATGATGTCTGTGGCTGCTGCTGCTGTTGCTGCTGCTGCTGCCAAGTGTTCGTTTTGAGGGTCGCGACGTCAAAAAAAACAAGAAGGGGACCAATCTAGTAATGCTTGTTGGATTCTCGAAGGAAGCTTTATAATAGCTATCCAGGTGTTCGAAACTCAAAGGGTCTGGTCTATTTCGGCAATGAAAAATCACCACACGGAAGGAACAGAGATATGGGGAGAGAGAGCGACAGTAGTAGACCTGCTGGCTACCGCGCTGTATGCGAGAGAAAAAATAGGTGAATGCTAAAAAACGGAAGACAAAATGTGGTATGTGAGTAGCGACGGACCGGCAAAGACAGACAGAAGCAGATGCAAGACTCTCGAGTTGTGGGAAGCGCGGTACACGAGACGAGACGAGACCGGAGAGAGCTGGGGAGAGAGAAAGAAAAGAGATATTACGCCCAATTACTGCTGCCAGATCCAGTGTGCCAGGGTTCGTCTCTATATATACTCGTCAATTCCGCGAGGCCCGAATCCGAAAATCTTTAAATTCTCACACTCGAGAAGGCGAAAAAAAAATGCCTTTCTGTTCAGCTTTTTTGGGCTAAAGAGCGTGCATACAACGATGAAGCCGCTGTGTGTCCCGTGGCAGCAAGACAGGTGGCCCTACGGTTTAGTGAGAATTCATTTTGATTCCGATTTAAATTTTCAGACGATGGTGGGTGCTGGTGGGTGCTGGTGATGCTGCTGCCGATGATGCTGCTATCTAAGGCTCTGCGGCAAGCCCAGTAGAAATGGAGAGGGCCAAACCCAAAAAAAAAAACGTGCCTCCAGAGATTACGGAGCCAGGGCTGGAAGGACGAGCAAGAACACTGGGACGAGCGAGGACCACTGTGCGTCGTGGTGGCAACTACGAAGACGAGTCTTGGGATCCAGCGCGATTCCCGCTTGCGCTGCGTTTCTGCAGTACTGTACATACTCTGATTTACTGAAGGACCGGGAAAATGGTGGTGATAGGGCTGATGAGCAAGCGAAAAAAAATTTCTATGGGCTGAAAAAAAATGAGCTCAACAATCTAGGGCAAAAATGTGCCTAGCTCACGGCGTATATTTCCGAATGCAGTTAAAGATATTTCAGCCCTAGCGTCCAAGGCCAGCTTTTGCCGTTTGGGGGCAAGCAGCGCAGAGAGAGCAAGTAGTGTGGGTGCTGCCGGTGATGTGCGAATGAGAAGTGAGCTCAAGCCCCCCCTAAGAAGAGTTAGCGATAGGGATCAAGGATCGAAAACTCGAGAATCTTTAACCTAATTGGGAAACGGAGATTAGGGTATCTAATAACGGTATGGGGATGAATATTAATACCGATTCAAAGATGCTTGTCATATCGAAAATGAAGTCTGAAAATCTGTTCTTCAAGCCTCGTGATATTTGGCTTGGGAAAAGTGTAAACGAATAAATCGGAAACCCGCAGGTTGGGTGGAGTTTTAGCAATCCGATGAGACATTGCGTCTTTTCAGTAATTGGTTGATCAGCAATGGTGGAAATTGGCTATGGGAAGCAACCGTGCTGAATATGCGGTTTTTCACCGTGATTCTGCTTGCGGATGGGCTAGGGAAAGAGGCCGCTGAAAATGGGGTTGTTTAGCGTGGTTCCGCTTGGAAATTGGCTGTGGAAAGTGACAGCCGAAAATGGGGTTGTTTCCAGCAATTTCAGCGCAAACGTAAAACCTCGCTCAAGATCCTCGAGACTTCTTTGACGCCAATTTCACTGTATGTACAAATAAAAGCCGTATGGCACTTTCTCTTGCAATCATCAACGAGCAATTAGTGACACTTGGAAACTCTAAGCATGTTCCAGGAAACTTGGCAAATGCAAATCAAAAACTGATCAAAACCATGCAGGTCTGAGGTTTTATGAGAGCAGAGAAGGAGCTCCTATTCAATGGTAATGATCTTGCACCATTCGACTTCGGAAATGTGGAAAAAACATCAATGAGAGATTCTAGCAAAGCAATTTGAGCTCGCTAATCTTGCGCTATTTGGTGTGACCTATTTTCAATGTCTGTCAAGTAGGAAGGGCAAAATGGAAGAGAGTTCAGACACTAGATCGAAAGCGCGCGCCCCACAGCCTGGTCACCAGATATGAAGTGGACAACGTTTAAGTGTGATTACACGGCTAGCTAAGCTAAAAGAGAAAGCAGAAATACAGAAGTTCGGAGCTTCTCGCCATCAAAGGAAAAGGAATATGGCCAAATACTCGAGTAGTCTTTCCAATTTTCTTGGAAAGGCGGATGTCTCTGGAGCATACGGGCCCTTGACAATCGAAAATTAAATTGGGCCAGAAACCCCACTCAAAAACCTGATTGTCCAACAAGTGATCTCTAACTCGAAATCTTAGTGCAAGAAACGCCGCGAAACATTGAACCGCGTCTACTTTACTGATTAACAATGTACAATGCAAGCTGCTGAGCGTAATGTTGAGCGAATCCTTACCATTTCGAATCCTTACCATTTCAGGACAAGTTTACTATACTGGTGAAAAATCAAGCAACATCAAAATCTCCTTCTCAATAAAACCATCGAAACTATAAGGTTGTCTCATTATTACCAATAAGGTAAAGCTCTTTACACTTGTGAGCGACGTCGATATATTCTGCTTTGGATCCTTCTATTCAGTGCTTGGTACTCGTCAAGTAAGCGCCAAAAGCCCTAACGCCATCGTCTTTCGGTCTACCATGAGCGTTGAGGATTTCAAAGTCATATTTCACAGTACCAACGAACTACTTAATCGCAAAACTGGAATTCTGGACAGTGTGGTTTCGCCTCTTTTGTTTGGCCGTTAAATTTGGCCAATTTTGAAAATTTCATAATTCCGGCAGGCTGGGCGCCGTATATCCTATAATAAACATTTAATGCTTATTTAAGCCTGCACTACGAGCAATAGTCCACATGCCTCAAGAAACGATATTGAATGCCAGCACAATGTCTCTGTCAGTTCAATGCTTAATCCGATGTTATCACTGTTTGATGTTTGCTTTCTTGTGACCGCTTCAATCGGAGTTCTATTCTGAGTCTGGCCATGCGGCCTCGCGATTATAACGCGTGTTCCGTCAATAAACCCAACAATTCTACTATGGAGTACAAGATGAAACCAGCTAAGCGCCCCAGAAGCCATGCTGCGTTTTGACAGATAAAAAAGGCTTCACGATATGATATAGCTATCGGGTCGTAAATGACATGACGCGGCCTGAATACCTGGAGAATGTTATAATAGATTGTCAAAGCAGAAATGAGCGTTTACATTGTCTAGCTGAAAGTTCAGACTGTTCAAAAGGTGCTCTGGAACCAAGTTTTACAAACAGAACGAAAAAGTTGAAGAAAACTCAGACTATAAAATTAGACTTCAACCGTTTTGAGCTACTTCCAAAAAATTTGTTTTTTTTTGAATTCCTCAAAACGTGCATATCGCTTCATACGCGCATTGTCTGCGTTCATGAAGTCTTGGCGTGTCAGGCCGTAGTGTACGATATGCCCTCCCGTTCTCCTATCCAACCACTCTCCAAGTATGGACGCTACGCATGCTACTGGGATGTTGTGCTGTGTGATCCTGTGTCTCAAGGCATTTTCTCTCATCACCGCTTTTCTAAATCTTGTCTTGTCTACAAAAAAAATTCACGCGAAGGCGCTTGGAGGCGGATGCTCCACGGTCGATTTGTCGTCTTGCAGTGGTGTGGCCTTCGCGCCATATATCCTCATGGCCAATAGTTGGTCGAAGTAATAAAATCTACGGCGTTCAGGCTTCCAGACTTTCTCCGGCGAGAATGCGGCCAAGAACAATAACATGCCACATCAGACGATAAGCTCCTTTCGGTTGTGGGAAAGTTAGTACGTTCAGCCTTGTTCTACTGCGGGAAAGACGCAGAAGCGCCTACAATGTGTTTGTTTTATGCGACGAATGCCAGTCCCAACTGCATTGCCTTGATTCGGCAAAAAAGTTAGAATATGAAGCAGAATTCCGCGGTTGGGAGCCTACACTAGTATCTATCCCGCCATTCTCAAATTTATGCTGCCACACACCAGCGCCGGCAGAAAAGCTCAATAATGTCGATCGCTCCCCAGTATAATTTCAACACATAATGCATGCAGTTGAGCCTCAGAAGGTTTTCATCAATCATCAACCATCTTGAGGAGAAATGTCCCGCTCTTTTTTTTTTGGTCCGTTCAAAAGCCAACCCATGTTGCTTCTTGGCTAAAAACACAACAGTCAACATACCCGCCGCTATTGAACACAGAAAACACATTGGCATTTCCAATTTGTTCTTGCGATCTTACGGGAAATTATTCTTTTGAACGCAGTTCGCTACATGAGCTTTACAGAAACTATGGGCGCTATTTACTCTTTGTAATAAATATAGTAGGCATGATTGAAGAACTTTCATAATGACGATACTGATTGTCTAGCCAAGATGCTCCTTTTGTTTGCCAGATCGGCGGCAATGCCACAAACTGATATGTAGCATGTAATGCATGGGTATGAGTTTTCAAATCGAGCAGTGTTCAGGATTGCTCGGGTAATTTGTCATTCTGGCCAACCTCAGTCATCTTGCTGCGACAAAAACCCCTGGCAAATACTGAACTTCGGGAAAGATGGAGATGGCTTCTTGCCCTATTGAAACATCAGACACGTGATGGTGAGAACGCTTATACTTGTATGAGACTGAATAGGTGCACAATTACTATTTCTAATCAATACTCGGATTAACAAACCGCAGAGCTTGGTTATACAGCCCAAAATTCTTGAAGCGATTTCTCAAAAGCATCACTTTCTGTGTGTTAGTTCTACCCGCGCTTCTTTGATATACCTTAAGCGTGTGCTCGGTGACGTAAAAAATGTTTTCCGTCTCATTGGAACTGATTTGCGTATAATATAAAGACATGGCCAGTTCGAACAAGTGCGGATACTTTGATCTTCTGTCGTACCACCACTGAATAACGCCTCGACGCGATCTTGACATAATTTTTATCTCGTTTTTGTATTGAGACCATTCCGCATAACTGCCAGAGAAGGATCCCAATTTCAATTGCTCCTCGTCCAATTTTTGGCGTTTGATTGTTTGACCTGCTTCGCGTCCTTCAGGCTTACTGGCATCCTTATCTTCACAGGAGTAGCATTTAGATAAATAATCTTGCACTGTCACTTCAACGTGGCAGATAATTAAATTCATTTCCTCCTCCGACATAAACGGCTGTAAGTCCTCAAATTTACATGACGGATCCAATGCTGCTCCTACAAAAAATAGTGAGTTGTTTTGAATGCCTTCGAAAAGTCCTTGAAACGATTTTTTACTGGTCAGTACCGCCCGTAAGACTCTTTCTTTATGCTCTGGTAGTAGATCAGCTCTGCCATTCAAATAAGAATATTCTTCGCTTTGTATATGTTCACCTTTAGAGGCCCGCTCGCACATATCAAAGAAGTGATTCAACTTATAGTAGATGATCACTCCCTCCGGCAGAAAACAAATCCCATCTGTTAGCATACTTCCTCGTAGTTTGTCGAATTCAGAACAGCAGGCGACAAAGTAACGAAATAGCTCCAGCGCATTTGCTGAGTGGCAACTTTTTTCTTGCAGTTCATTAACTAATGAGGCTTCGTTGTGATGATCTGAAGTTGCGAGCCAACGCTTCATTCGTTGATCTACCTTTAAAAATTTAGTGACTTGGCGCCATACGCCACGAGCTTCGTTTTCTTGACTGGAGAATTGGGGAGGTTTTACCAATTCTTCTGCAAAGCTTTTCAAAGATGGAACGCTTTCCCATGACTGTACAAGCTCTTCGATTTTGTGATATTCGTGTTGAAATTCTGCGTCTTTCATTAAATCCATAGCAACCCGCTCAAATTGTATTTCTAAGCCTGAGTTTATGCATCGAGTTAAACGCACATTACCCAAGCGTTGCATTACTACCGATTGGGAATTACTCAATAACTCGCTAATCAAAGCGTCGTGTAAACCTAGGGCATAACTTAGCTGATCAATCGTGACAAAAGCCACTTTGGAGGTGATATTGTAGGCATCAAGGATTTTTAACACCCCCTTGTGTATCAAAGGATGATCACTTGACTTGTCATTAAACTCGACCACGTCCAAAAGATGCCCATTGACAGGGTCTCCAGTGTTGTTCAGCAATAGTTCTGGTGTGTGCATAGCGGCGAGTCTTTCTTTATCTTTAATGTTGGGACAGTAAGAAACCGAAACGGCCAGATATCTCAAGCCGTTTTCCCTCGAGCAGACGTAAAGTTGAATACTCACAAACGTCGACGATTCTAAACTCGCTTTCAAAGAGTGATTCAAACATTCGCTGTAGTGGTCAAGCTTCTCAACCACAGCCTTACGGGTTTCTATGAGTGGGACGTCTGGCACAAGCCCGTTTATAATTTTCCAGCCCATGGATTCAACCACGTAGAAGGGTACCAAGGTTTCGGTAATCAAGACTACAGAGGCCAAAGTACCACTATCCCTGTTAAGTTCCGACACAAATTTGGCAGACAGCCGCAGAGAGCGTTCTTTGCTGGTAAGAGATGTCAAAGTGCTTTCCTTAGAGGCTGCACGTTCGCGAGACTTGTACTCGACGGCATGATTATTGGTGATGTGCTTAGACAAGTTCCCGGTGGATTCGCCTTCCTTATACTCCTTTCCACAATAAATACAGGAAGCCACTTTGGAGTCGCCGGAGATGGAGATTTTGAAATAAGGTCTAAAACGGGACCGGTTCATCCATCCATTGGAAGGAGGTGTCCTTGAGCTCTCGAAGTTACTGCGACCGGAGTAGGATAAGTTGGGGCGGAATTGGCCTTGTGATGACGGGGCATACTGATTCAGCTGCGGTTGCTGCTGTTGCTGCTGTTGATACTGATCCTGGTCAGGGAGGTCGGTATTACTAGTGCTGCTAGTCCTGGGCGAGGCCACGGCTCTGTATGGCTCGAAGCGGTCCGAGGGCTCGCGCGACAGGTCATCTATATTGTCGTGAGCGACACCGCTGGCCTGGAGAGCCACGCTAGCAGACATTGCGTGGCGCATGGTTTCGCCAAGCGAGAGCGACACGGAGTCGAGATCAGGGTCGAGCGTCATGGCCTCCTGATCATCGTAATTCTGGCTCTGATGGCCGAGATTATCTAGACTGTTAAATTCATTTGGTTTCGCTGTGGCCAGAGATCGGCGGGATGCCCCAGGCTGGTCTACAGCCGCGGACCACTGGCGATGGCCGTCTCTCAGACTTTGGGGATCATTGTGATGAAAACGCTTTCTCTGGTCCTGGTGCAGGTCCTGGCTATGGCTCCTACTTCGGCTCTGGTCCTGACTTCTTCTCACTTCCTGATCCATGCCTTGCGGATCCGCACTGCTGTTGTTGCTGCTGCTAGTACCCATGACGCAATAAACGTGTGGTCGTGCCGCTAAAAACGTTCGTTCGAAGTCGCCGCGTGTCAACACAAGCCAGACTTGCTGTAAGGCGCGATGTTACCGGAGGTGAGAGTTGTTGGTAATCTTGGTCCAGGTATGATATCGTGGACGCCCGTTTGCATCTGCTGGTGTCAAAATTTCTTCGGATCAGCAAGCGAGAAAATTGTTCGTTGAAATGAGTATAGTTTGAGTAAACTTTGTTATACCACAACCAATTCTCTCCGAAGCGGGTAACGAACGTCTGCCCAGCTCCTCAAAGAGCGCTCTCCTAGAATCCCTTTCCAGCTGTCACACCGCTTGCTTCCAGCACATGCCAATGCCTCCCTACGTACCCTTGCTTTACGGACGTTTTAAATACATCTGCTTAATATTACACATCGCTCTACTACAAACACGGTCTGCTGGCCATTCCGCCTGCCGACAACCTTTCCAATTGTGAATCCCACAGGTGAAACTTCTACACTGGCTGTCTTGTTCCTTTATATACTTGAATTCGAATCGTTTTTGTGTAACCAAAACAGTGATCTCATCGGCCCGCCCTTAAAATGTGTCAAAGACCCCAATCTACTACGCAATACGTGTCGAGTACGCCTTTGCGTAGTGCTTGCAATTCTTTTCCGACTCATCTACGTTTATCGCGGCCGAAGAGGTGCGTTGAAATGATGTCAGAGCGCAGTTTCTAGGCAGGTCGGAAGGAGAGTATACTATTCCGTGCTGGGTGACGTGGATTATTTTTGGCATTGGTCACGTGCCAGAAGTCAGCAGAAGTGCTGGCATTGGAGCAGGCGCTGAGTGGGAGCTGGGCAGGCTGTATTGCTGACGAGAATGAGGGGCGATGGGAGCCTTCCGTGAGCTGGAAAAGAGTGGAGATTGGCTCTCGTACGGTGTGATGTTTCATGTGTATTTGATGGTGTGTGGTGTGTGGGTTGTGTCGAGAATGAAAGGCTTGATGTGGATGATCGATTCACGTTTTGAGCAAGCTGGTGTCGTACTTCAGTTGCTGAGATTCAGTGAGAAGGATGATGTACGCATGTGTCAGACTAGCGCAGACTGCTGACGGTAGCAGCCTTTTCTCAACCCGCAGCAAGCAACTTTCCTGATCATCAGCATGTCCTACAAAAAGGGTAAACGATTGACTCATCGTCTTTTACCGAAAATCTCCGAGGCTGCTAGCAAGTTGAGTGGTTCTTGCTAGTGAATTAACATTGGCTGGGTAAATCTCCGTGGCATTGAAGGTCCTATGCCGATATAGTAAAGATTTATCTGTAATCTTCCAAAGCGAGTCTGATTTGGCAATAGGTGTTTGCTACTTTGTTTTGCTCTCTGGACTACTTTTGAGGCCCGCTTGAAGCAGCAATTGGTAGCCTCTTGTTATCTTTTATGAGCGTTTCCAAGATCGAGTATCTTTATTCGTGGATGAGGGTTTTACATATCTGTGAACCAACCGATGTACTCATGTAGCTCTGAGATGAAGAAGAAATCAATGAGGCACAGCTGTATCGGGAATAAGATGCAGCCAGTGTACTCGAGATCACTAAGCCTCATTGGTCTGGTACAACCGGATACCATATAGCGCCATGGCCTTACCCATATCACCTTGTACTATTCTGTCATTTTGAGGGGTGGCACTGTCAGCACACCTACTTCTACCTTTGTTGGACAGCTCCCATGTTGAATATCATTGCTCTGGATGACATTCTTATTACGCTCAAGCATCGACAACAAGACAATAAAAGCGACCCAACAGCTACTGTTTCAATTCACACCATTGGTTGGCAATCAATACAGCTATATAACTTCCCGAGACGTACTAATATATCATATGTGCATCCCCTAGCCGTATTATGTCAGTTTCAAAACGCCTAGAATTTATTGTTTGTAAAATCATAACGCTTTCAAGATTCTATCATTGTCTGGCTTTGATAAATAGAATTGTTCAGAGCTTGACGATGAGTTCGCCAATGCAAGCCGATTCATCTAACCCATGTAACATCTTTATATCTGCGGAAGCCATCATCCACAGTAAATATTGTTGCGGGCCGCTCCTATTTTTGTCTCACTCATCAACTGAGCTAAAGACACTTCTTGTTACTAGTCAAAACCAGAGAGCTCAACTAGGGTTCCAAGCTACCTGACACACTGCTGAACAGTACACTATATTTACCTGCTTGGCGGTTATATGTTTCCTAGTTTGCCATCTTTGCCCACCTCGTTTACTATTACTATTTATTTACAAATTTTTATTATGACGGGCATCCGTGAACCTTCATCATAAGCGTCAAGCATCCACATCGGACAATTGATTGATCTGGGCCATGCTTTCGAGCTCTTTCAATTCGGTTAATGCACTGTGTACACGTAGTCGATTGCTAGTACGCTGGAACACCACTGCCGCAACAGCTGCTCGCAAAATACACCCGGTCTCTCAATTAAGTACGGAACTTGCAAAAGAGCTCAACACCCACAAAGGCTCCAATTCGGCCTTTGAACTGTTCAAGGATAGAGTACAAAAAGTCTCAGAGTCTCTTCAAGATTCGCGTTTCACCCTTCAACGGTCGTTTGGTCTCAATTCCGTGCTAACGCAGCTTCTACAAGCCTCCAGAGCGGATTTGACGTCTTTGGACAATGCATCTGAATCAAGCCAGCTGCCAAAAAATCCATACGAGATTCTAACTTCAATATGTGAATATGGTCTTGCGCGCGATTCGCATTTTCAGGTGGTTTTTGAACATTTAATCGCCTCAAATTCCCCACAAGATGTTTTAGGTTTGTGGGTCAAGTACCTCGAGACATTATCCGAAAATTCCAAAACTATAACATATGGTACGCATCATGCCAACAATTCGGCCTTAGCATCCATCGGTTATTTAATGCTTCCCGGCAACTCGCCTAATTTAGCAGAGTTAGCTCAAATCCTCAATGTAGGTGATAAACTAGACGAAATACCAATTTCAAGAATCAGATATTTATTGGACACCATAAAAATGGAACACACAGTGCGGAAGAGTGCCAAAGACAATTATGCGCTATTACTCTTTGACTTTGTCAAGACCTGTAAGCCAGAGTTTGAAAACCAGCTTGAAGGCATAGAGCAAGTTCAAGATGTCCAAAATCTATTTCAGACTTTATCTTCGGCTTCGAAGAAATCGGGACAACCTTTGAGTACTGATATCATTTCCGCATTCATGTACAAATTCACTAATTTGCATAAACCACAGCAAGCTATTATTTGTTTCAACTTAGCGAAGCAGTTGGATCAAGTGGATCTTTTGGTGAAAAATGCCCTTCTTGTTGCCGTTGCAAACATTCCCGTTTTTGGACGTGATATTAGAGAACAAAAGGCGAAACGGATTGAGGCTGTTTGGAACACCTATATCGCCACCCCATCCGCCACTATCACTGTTGATTCATACATTGCACTACTAACTGCTTTAGGAGAAAGCCGGAATTTCCAAGAGTTGCAACAATTATGGAACAACGAAATCCCAGCTCCGCTAAAGGCTGATCAAACTTTGTTGGAAGCCTACCTATTATTCCAGTCTTATCGCAAAAACTTCAGTTTGGAGGGTATTCAAGCTCAACTTCCGAAGCGGCTAAAATCTATAAAACTTGCCAATGAGATTCTTTTCAAAATGGCAGAGGAAAAGTTGTCGGAAAGTAAAATAGAACAATTCTACCGAGAGCAATTTGCTGACGTCGATGCCCCACTTAAACCCGATAGTAAAACTTTGGCGTTAAGAATGTACATCAACTACCTTTACACCAAGGACCCCGAATTCCAGTTTTTGAAGAGCATTTCAAAGAGCAAGAATGACATCAACACAACCAATTCAATCTTCAAGAAATTCACAGAGTTTTGTCCTGATATTGAAATTACAAGGAAGCTGTTCGAAGAAATTCAAACTCCTCTAGACTCAAGAAAATACGGTTATATGATAACCGCCGAGTCCAAAGCTGGAAACGTTGATGCCTGTGAAGACATTTTCAAGAAATTTGCGAGCGAAACCAAACGTGTCAACACGATAACGAGATCCATTCTTGACCCAATTATCGACGCTGTCTGTGAGCAAAGCATCAGAGACAAGTCAAGTGCATTGTTAGAGAAGATTTCCATTTACGCTACATTTGCCAAAAAAGCCCAAAAATCTCTAACATTTCAAGCTGCATCGAAGATTGTTCACACTCTGGCAGTTGTTTCCAAAAGTTCGAATGGCAATTTCTCTGCCGAAGAAAACAATACCATCGGCCAACTTTTGGAAGATATAAATGGCGTTAAGAATTTTACACCAGCTAAGAGGGACTTAGAAATCTTGATACAAAATAAGATTTCTCTCCCTCAGGGCATGAAGTAAAAAATATAAGACGGATTCTTTCACTGTAAATAGTAGACAACTAACTTCACAACTATATTATAAATCACTTTTATCTATGCATGGTCAATGATGCTCGCCGGCGTCAAACCAGTGACCACGGATTTGGTGTCAAGGTAAAAAGGCTGAGATCAAAGCAGCCAAAGTGGAAATGTTTGGGGAATTTACTTCTGCTCTAACTGCCAAAATATTCAGAGATGATAGGTTCTGTCCAGCGAGCAAATCTATCCTTAGCGTTAGTCAAGTTATCCAAAGCGGGACGGACGTCGAGGTTGAATGTGGGTAGGCCTTCTTCATCATCTGGACCTCCATAGAAATCGATCACATAGCGAACTTTCTTGAAGCCAGGGTTTTCGGTTTCGGAAGATGTGGGGTCTGGTCTAAGAACAGTCCAGTCATGTCTGTCAAAGGGAAGCTCCTTGGAAAACTGAGAGGGGAATACTGAACCTAGGATACTGAACCAACGAGCTCTGGGAGAGAGCTGAGAGGGTTTACCCATGAACTGCAACAATTTGGGCTCCACGCCAAATTTCTCTGTGTATTTCTTTTCCCAATCTAGAATCTCCTGCCAGCAACCTTCGTTGAGAAAGTTATGTACAAACACCATGGATTCGACGGCATCTTCAGGAATTTCTTCCCCCGTGTTGGGGTCGATCTTGCCCTTGCGAACCATGGCGTTGTACATTTGTTGAGGAGAAGGATACTCCCAGAAATCTTCTGATTGTAAGCTACCTTTGGGGATCGAGCTAACGGTCCGATCTTTTGGCAGATCCAATTTTTGGCCGGTCTGTTTTTCAAGCGAAAGATTAGCAGGGATGTGATTTAACGGGTTCAGCCCATCTTGTGGCTTGCTGTTATGCATGACGGGACAACCTTCCACGGACTTCCCTTTCAGGGCCTTTAAGTGATCCACAGGACATTTAAGAGCCTCTTCATTGACTTTTTTGGTACAAGCCTGCGTAAGAGTTAGCTTGTTAGTATTAGAACTTCATAATCCTCTTCGAGGGCTCGAAATTAACTTCAGAAGGAGACATACATTTCCATTCCCAGATTCAGCCCAGAACCAGCCCATGTCAAAGTTATGAACAAGCAGGGATGTTTGCGCTTTCTATTGCATTTTTCAGTTAGAAGTATATCGCTCATCGCAGGGAAATTTACTTTTCAAGATTTCGGAACAAGACAAAATTATTCATGAATAGATGATTCGATGAGATCGATTGCAGACGCTATTACAGAACTAATGGCAGTGTTTATAAGCTTCATGACTATACACATACATGAGTGTCTAGCCACAAAATTTAACATAACGTCTTTTTGAAATCACACCTTATGGATGTTGAGATACTTACGTTGAGGTCGCCGGCACCAAATTCATTTAGTCTTTTCGGATTCATTTAGTCTTTTCGGATTCTTCCTGGCACCGTCTCTAGTGGAAATCTCGTTGTCGAGACCAGTGTCGAATCTCAAAAGAAAGTGGATCTGCTCCTTGCCAGACGGCATCACCAGCAATGATTGATACGGAGAAGGGGTCAAAACTCAAGGAAGAAAATCTATTTTCTTCTTTAGAATTAAGGTAGAGATGCTGGCGGGACCTCTACTCCATACTATAGAGGCATTGGGCATCGCATTTGAAATTATTATCCGTATGCGATTGTTGTGCTTGGGTTTTTTCTACTTCGTCAAGTGAGTATTGTTGAAGTGTGCTTTTCGCTTACAATGATTAAGAAAACTACAGTCTCCAAAGTGAGTTTGCCTCTACATGCTGGCATTTGCTTGCTTCAAGTGAAAAGGTGTCTCGTCACTTGGAGACTTGTCGGTCTACGAACCACGACTATCTATCTATTCGCCGCGAAACAGCTTGAGGATCGAACTTTCAAGGGAGTATGCCGGCGATTGCCAATACTTGTAGTACATATCTTCTTCAAGCCTCGCGATTGATAAAGGTTTATTTCTTGAATATGCCTCAATTTTTACCGAGAGAGGACATATGTAAGGAAATCAGAACCTTATAATCGGACGTTGCTGTATGTACTCTGCGAACTTCTACTTTGTGAGCCAACTTTTTGCTGCATTAGGCTCTAAAAAAAATGTATTCAAGTCGAAATCGTAAGTCATCGACTTGAAGTTCCTGGCAAAACGCTTTAGCTACTCCTGCGAGAAAGTTTTCTTTGAACTGCCGTTTGTCGCTTCTCGGTTTACCTTTGAGTGAGTTGACCTTTCGCCCCTGTTCATTTCAGTCTGGGATTCTAGCCAGCCAGCAGATTATGCATCCGACTTAAACTGTTGTTCCTCCTTCTGCGATGCACGATCGCGTTCTACTTCACCCTGCTTCCCTTTCCGTCAAAGGCACCTTTAATCTTTTTCCACAATTTAATTTCTTCCTTGTTACAATAACTTCATTCCTAGTTCAAGGCAGCGACTTCGCATGGAGGATTATTCCAGAGCCATCCCTCCCTCTTCCTCCATCTTATATCTGTTAGCCGCTCAGCGTAGCGCGATGAGGTTCGCTTCGATAATTTTCTTATTGTGACTGTTACCCGGATCTACGGGCCCTCAATATGATGTATGCCCAAGATCGAATATGGAAAGCTAATCATATATCAACAGATCATCACATTAGAAACGAAAGCGACCTTCCAAACTTCGTGAGCATAGTGGCTGGTACTTCTACGATATATTGCTGCCCCTCGAACGCTGTTCAGCCTGTTATGGATTCAAGAAGTGAATTGCCAGGTGCACGAACGCTGATCGATCGCAGAACAAACCTCACACATGTGGCGTCGAAGCAACTGTCGCAGCGCGACCCGACCATCAGGCTTGTGGATCTGGGAATAGCATCCTTGACTCAGGAAACCATCGATCTGCTGCTTCCCGTGGAAAGACTTTCGCTGCAGAAAAATCAGCTTACAGGCCTGCCTGAGAGTTTCAGCAAGCTGAGTGAGTTGCGGTATCTTGATCTACACAACAACAAACTACATGAGTTCCCGGCTATTCTGCTACAATGTCAGCGACTAGAGATCCTGGATCTATCGTCAAACTTCATCACAACCCTGCCACACGAGTTTCCACAAGTGTGGTGCGATAACCTCAAAGTGCTGTCGCTTAAGAATAACAACGTGGCGTCTATTCGAGAACTGTATCCCGCCGTAACGTCGTTGCGAAGCTTGAAAATCTTGGAAATCGAAGGCAACAAGATCCCCACTGAAGAACTGGAGCTGGTAAAAAACGAAATTCCACTTTCCTCGCTTCCAGACACCGTTTCGCCGGAGGAATATTGGTGTGTCGCATTACGCAAACACTTCGCAGAGTCCAAGATCAGCAAAGCTGCAAAAAGGCGTGGCTTCATCAACGTTTCGGAAGAACAGCATCGCCAGGAAGAGATGTACAGTGATATCAAATACAATGATTACTTCAAACGGTTATCGATATTACCAGAGGAGACCACCTCTCAACGCGTAACGCATGATGAACTATTGATAGCGTGCCGAAAGCTACTGTTCTCTTTCACAGAGTGCCAACAAAGTATACGCAAGATAACATCTTTTTGCGAGGATAAAGCTGTCGCGGTCAATTCTGTTTCGCTGCTTTATAGTGTAAGATCGCACATCGACAATCTCGTTGAACTCCTGGAGCAAAGCGAGAACCCCACTTCAGCGAAGAACGACGCAATGGTGAAATTATGCCTGACTATTATCGCCATCTTCAAGCAGATATTTGCCCTATTGCGAAAGAACTTCAGATCGTTTTTCCAAGGGAACGACATCTGCTTTGCGAGAATATTTTACATGAACATACTTTGTTCCTTCAACGAAATGTACAACGCATGGAGTCAGATTACGCCGAAAGATACACACACACCCGTCAAAAACAGACTCACTAGGACACACTCTTTAAGCACATCGCAGGGGTACAAGCATATAACACCACGAGCCAGAAGGAATACTCTTCAGAGGTCCCTTACCGGTAACCCCATGCATCAAGCTACATCGCCAAAAGTTCAGCCGGTAAGTCATCGTTCCACACCCGCATCAGTATTGACGACACCACCTCCTTCCCAAAACAACATATCCACAGATTTAAAATCAACCAATGAAGGTTCACCAAGGGTAAAAACCGACATCTCTCAGCATTCCCCACGCGTCGCAAGACGACCAGCTGACATACCTGCTCAGAGTGGGACGCCAATAGCTCAGAGCTCGAGCGCAACAAATTCCACAGCAGAAGAACTGGTTGATGCAGATATAGACACGCAACTATATCACACGTTGAAAACTGTCATATCGATGGTCAACGTGGTATATGCCCAGTTGACTTCATCCATAACGAAAAGCGCTATTGCCAGCACAAAAACGGCTGAGCTCTCCAATATTACAAGCACTATAGCGGCTAAAATCAAGGATTTGACCGACATCTGCTATCAATCGATGGAGCTATCAAAAGTACTAAAGGATAGGTTAATACTCATAACTGGCAGCAAGGCGGATAGTTTCGCAACCGCCATTGAGAAAGCAGAAACTTGGGAGAACATCAATGCATTCCTGAAGTCCATTATTTCTATCTTAGCAAACACGAAAATCATAATGAAAGATTTGCCCATCTTAAATGAAGTTAGACCAAACCTAGCCTCTCTAGCGAAGATCACGAAGGATGTGACCGTCATTTTAGACTTGAGCTCTTATAGGAACATTTCGCAAGCCGCTCAACAACAGCAAATTCAAGAACTTTCAGTTACTAGGCAGCAACAACAGCAGCCAATACAGTCTCAGCCGGTAGTGCCCATAGAAGAGACCCAACCACCGGTATTGGTAACACCGCTCTCTACTCCCTCGCTGGTGACGGTACATGCATCGAATCCGTTCGATCAATTTTGAACAAGCACATTTCTAAAGATTCATCTTCACTTTTCTATTATATATTTAAATATATATATATGTTAAGCGCATCTCTCCAGCGTCTCTTCATATATTTTGCTGACTTCGTAATGGTACCCGTGAACCCCTTGCTCTTCTAGAAAGCTAGTAAGCGTCATCCTAGTCCGCTCAGCGATCCCAGCAATTCTAACCATCTCAGTACCGTTCATGATAGTGTTTCCAGGTATCAGACCTTCAAGTGAGCGTGCAAATACTTTGTCCAATATCATCAAGAATTTGAATGCTTTCGATAGCGTCCTGTGTTGTTCCTCTGCAGACAGTGTACCAAGGTCGAATTTTGTCAAGTATTCCAGAAATGTGTCTGCAATTTGCATCAAGTAGTACATTTGACCAATGTTCGTTGATTTTGTGCCTGAAAATTGATTTGCGCTCATGGCATCTAGGTCCGTTCCCAGGAGATTTTCTGTATTAGACATACCCTCTACCGAATACCAGACAAAATCTAGTACGGCCTTGAGATCATCCAAGAGCGGAGCTAGCCCTCGATACCCGTTTTCCTCCGTCAACCCCCTCGATTGTACAAACTTTCTTTGAATTGCCATCAGTTTTTCATCGCAGTAGGCTATAAACTTGGACTGCTGTGCCAGTGAGAGTCTCCGCTGATTCACATGATCCGCGTTGAAGTGTCGCGCGACGTCTACGTTGGATGAAAATGGCGACCCTATATTAACACGGGGAACATAATCGTCTCTTTGGTCGTATCCCATATCCTCGTCACCGGAATTCTCACGCTTCATCCCTAAATCTTGCCCGTCATTTGCTATACTAGAAGATCCGTTGGTGTCAGCTTCACTCTCCAGATTCAATCCTTGAACGTCTGAATCGTCAAGTTCATTCACTTCATCAATATTGAGTTCTTCATCGGCACCGGTGTGCAGTGGAGTTTCGGGAGTTAAGTTCATACGCTTCTAAGTTTCTTCAATTCCATATATAATGTCACTTTTCGAAATACCTTAAAAATCAATTCGGTATTTATCATTAAATTGAGTCAATCGCACTCATAAACAAACAACAATCTTAAGTCTTCAATATCAAAAAAATCTATAAGGCAGCAATCAAAGTAGGCGTTGAATATGCATAGCCTCGAGATGACTAACAAGCAAATTTTGGGAGTTCTCGAGCCAAGCTCACTGGACTACGGCTTTCCAGGTACAAATGATTCGTTAGCCGCCGTGCCTATTGCAAAGAACAAGTTGGTAAAGTTTGGCAGAAACGATCGCGAATGCGATGTTATTCTTACACATCCATCTGTTTCAAGTATACACTGTATGTTCTGGGCCATACGATTTGATGATGACAGCGTGCCTATGTACTACGTTAAGGACTGTTCTCTGAATGGGATCCTGATCAACGGGTTATCCTTGAAAAGAGGCCAAACATATCTCTTGGAAGACGGCGATCTCGTTACCATACCAAATGCAGGAGCTTATCGGTTTGTGGCTAAAATAAAGCTCTTGACCAGTGATCTGGTAGAACAGCTGGGATTTCTCACAGAGGTTGATAGTTGGAGGATAACATCAAAAGTAGTTGGAAGTGGAACATTCGGCCACGTTCTGGTTGCAAATGAAAAGATGAGCGCCACTAATCACCAGCCGGTGAACTATGCCGTCAAGGTTATCAAGATGAAGCCAAACAGACTGGACAAGGAGGCCAAAATTTTACTGAAACTAGCGCACGTATGCTTTTCATCACACCCACAACCCTCTCTCATCGCTTTGCAAAGCTATCTTCGTAATTTCATCTACTAACTTGTCTGCAGCCCAATATCATCAAGGTTCACAAAACGTTTGCCGGCTCCAAAGATCACCTCTATATCTTCCAGGATCTAATTACAGGAGGTGATCTATTTTCCTACTTAGCGAAATCCGACTGTCTATCTCCAATTTCGGAGACGGAAGCACTGGTAATAATATATCAGATTTTGCACGCACTTCGGTATTTACATTCGCAAGGTATTGTTCATCGTGACTTAAAACTCGATAATATTTTATTATGCACACCAGAGCCATGCACGAGAATTGTTTTAGCAGATTTCGGCATTGCCAAAGATTTATCTTCCTCGCGCTCTCGTATGCACACGGTTGTTGGGACACCTGAATATTGTGCACCCGAAGTAGGATTCAAGGCTGACAGAGCAGCATATAAAGAGTTTTCAAGAGCCGCTACTTTTGAACAGCACGGTTACGACGCCAAATGCGATTTATGGTCGCTTGGCGTCATCGCTCATATAATATTAACGGGAATTTCCCCATTTTATGGGGACGGTTCAGAAGCCAGCATAATCCGTAATGCCAAAATGGGGAGTTTGAGCTTCAATTCTAAACAATGGAGCAAGGTTTCTGAGCACGCCAAAAGCTTCGTACGTCGCCTCTTGGAGATAGATGTTCACAAGCGCCTTGACAGTCAGGGCGCATTTCATCACTTGTGGATTGCAAAGCACAAAGGGCAGCTTGAGAAAATATATCATAAAAAGATCCTGCAAGGGCACATTAACGTATTGCCTAGTATTGAGGAGCTGAGCTGGAAGAGAAGGCTGCCCAAAAGTGTGAATTTATCGCCCACTGCCGTACAAAGAAAAAAATTTACCAAAGTTGATCATTGAATGAGACTAGCGGCAACACCTTCACGTACTTTTCAGTCTACCAAGTTTTTGCTAGGCACCGTGTAACAGTTGCTCTGAAATTATACTTTTCAGTACGGAATGTTAGTCCATTAAATTCGCTAAACCCCAGGATGTAATATATTTATCTAATGTCTCTCTTCAGTGAAGTTTACCGATAGCAAGTATAGGAAGCGCTTCCGTGCCTTGACCTCTGCAATTTCATCAGACAAAAGTTCTTGACTTGTGAATCCATCTCTGCATACGACTTTCTTACCACTTCTCCGTAATTCGTTGACAAGTTAGATCCATCTCATGCCGTGAAAACTACTGCAATCCGATATCAAATGCTGCGAAATAAGACCCCTGTCCTTCCTCTGCAAAGCTTTACCGCCAGGATTTTAGGCGGCGCCAAATTGATTGAGAGAGTAAATCAGATTTCGCTGGTTTCTGGGGCCAAAGCTCTCTCTCAAACTGACATCTGGTTGAATGAAGCACTCGCTAACAAGAATTACAGGCTACGAAACAACAAGGTTTTCAATAGAAATGAAGACCAAATCAAAGGCAGGGCAGAGCTCTTTTTGAATGTAGTTCTGGGAACCCTCAGAGAGTTGCGTTTGACGAAGAAAGTCGAACTGTACTATATTCTGCTCAACCGGCTGCAGTCAAGCCGAATTTCATGGGTTTCGAAGTCTGGTAGCTATATCGTTGGGCAAACTCCTGTTGAGCTATATCGCGAACTATCCTACATGCTACGATCTCAATGCACAAATAATGACGAACGAGCCGATATGATGTGCCTGACCAAATTCACTTTGCAGCTTCTCAAGAGCTATGTGGCGATATTCAAAATTAGAGACAATCTGGTGCCAGATACTATTTTTTTGCGGAACTGCGCTGAGATAGTTGGCCGCGCAGGCTCAATTCATTATTTGCATAAATTTGTCGAGCTTGTTGATGATCCGGGCTTAGAGGCTCATGCATATATTTCGTTCTATCTCCATACTGGTCAAACCGCGCATTTAGTCACATTTCTTCGATCAAGCCCTCTGTTGGAAACGCAATTGGAGCCAAACTCATTAACTCAACTTCTTCATCAATGTGTCCACAGACTTGTGTGTCTCGGCTTGGAAGATGACGCCCAAACAACGTTCGAGTTACTTATGAAGCAAGCGCCCTCAATTACTCCTCAGTCACTCTCGTCTATCAAATTTGTTACTGAGAAGTATGGGGCGTTCAAAGTCCAGCTCGCACTTAGCAAAAATATCGAAGATGCAGATTACGACGTTCCCATACCATGGAAAACATTCCAGAAGGACCTCACTTTTGGTGCCTATATTGGTTTGCTAGATGAGTCTGGCGTTGATTTTTTTAATGAATCGCAGGCGATGGATTTTTTGTTGACCAAGCTTCCAACTCATGACATGTCTGTAGAGCAATGGGGCGATTACTTTGAGGAAACTAGCCCGCGTAGAGATGCGTCTGCCTCTTTGAAGGCATTCCACCTCAATATCATTTTAACCCACGTTGCAGCACATAAGTCTTTAGGATTTGTGATCTTGATTTGGCGTCACTTAATTGTTGAGCTCCGCTTGCTAAGAGAGTTTGTGGATTCACACTACCTCTGCTCATCTAAGAATCAAAATGGGTTTCACGTATTGTTACGCGCTGTTGGTAATTCATCAGCAGCCAAGCTCGCAGGTTATGAATTATTCAAATATCTTAAAGCAGAATCTACCGATTCTATCACTAACTCAGGATCATATTTTGAGTTGACTAATAAAGATTATGTTTACTTGATGCGCTCAACACTTTGGGGGCCCGAGCGTAAGGCAATTCATCTTTATCTTTACCACTTTTTCTTGAATTTAGGTGAAACCTGCATCATAACAGATGGTAGAGGGCGCCGATCCTGGCAATTACCTCCTTCCGTTGCAAAATTACTGATGAGCCCTTACCTCGAACATCGTAACAGCCAAGAATTAGGACGTATATCGCAGCTAGTAGCGGATTGGCATTTAGATAACGGATGCAAGATTCCGGAAACACAGCTGCAAGACATCTTTGGTGCCGCATATGTTGAAGAGCTCAGCCCCCAGAAGCTTTTGAAGCTCGAGACCCAAAATAGGGAGGAGAGAGAAAATGAACCATCGCTCGGTGGATATTCATTAATAGCCGATTGGGAAAATGCAGCGCGCATACGGGAGGTACTGAAACACTTGAGATCCACGTAGTCGCAATTAGGCCACTAGATGGTGACTTTTCGACGAGCAACTTCCAAATATACTGGTTGGCTAGATGTAAACCTCTTTAATTCCTCTAATTTGTCTATTTCATCAAACGCTAAGTAGATAATCGCCATGCCTTCGCGACACACGGTTTGAAGCTGTGTTAACCCATTTGTTTCCCCATTCGCGCGCTTAGCGAGCTGCTGTAGACGGTTGAGAATGTCATTCTTCAATTGGTCATTTTCATTAGAATGTGCTGCCTTGCAGCTGACCGCAATGAAGGGGAATAATTTCAGAACGGCGCTTTTCAATGCTGTGTTTCTCAACAGATGCAGATTGTAAAACTTGGCATACGCTCCTTTCAAACTAAAGTCAGAGGGCAGATACATTCCGGATTCAAGCGCGCGACGCCAAAAATTCACGCACACAATCGCTTGTTTCATTATGTCTCTTTTTTGGCAACCTAGTCGATTAACGTGGCTTGTTGATTGTTGCCAGCTTTTCAGCTCTGAGTAAGCTGGCGTAACGCGCATAAGATCCTTTAGTAAGACGCACTTTTCTTCTGCAGGCAATTCATCATAGAAGTTGAGAAAGCAGTCGATACTACTGGCTATTTGCTGGTCAGTTGAGTAAATGGCACCGGACGAAAATACGTAACCTTGCCACAGCTCATCGCCAAATTTTTGCTTATGCGCAGAGTAAAATTGAAAAACGTTTTCATCGTGTGAGGCTTCTTGAGAAACCTTGAAATTGTAAGCACGGGCTAAAACTCGAAAACAAGTTTCTCGCAACTTATCTGTAGGCTCCGCTATTAATCGTAGGAACTTTGAGGTTACCTCTTTTTTCAATCTGGGGTTAAACTCCATGAAAAACGGGAATTGCTTCTCAATTAAAGTAGCGGTGCATTTTCTTACTATACCCCCAACATCTCCGCGATCGGTTAAAGTGTAGTCGTCCAGAAAACCTAAAATTAATTCGAGCACCTGTTCACCTTGTGATTCTACAATTGTAGGAAGTTTGTCTGAAAGGGCTTCTATAACTTGACAACGAGCTTCGCAATCCATGCGTGGGCAAACTTTGAGCAAAGAGTCCGAGAATCTTGCGGGCGGCGTATAAGCTAGCCCTGCTGAACACAATGGGTTATTGTATTTCACCAATTGATTGAAGTTTTCCTCAAAAAGCTGAGATATAACTGCAGTGCTAGAGTGAGGCTCCCGTGAAAACATCACAGTGACAATTGGCAAAAACCATTCTTTGATCTGTCCAAAGCCAGAATCAGATGGTGAGCAAAATCTGACTACCCTGAAGAGTGCGTCAATCATTGTTGAGTTGATTATTTGCAGTAATTTTTCTTCCTCTGTTGCGAGCATATTCAAAGTCTTCATGAATGACTTGATCTTAAACACTTCTTGAAGGTTTCTCGATCTTTCATTTATATTGGAAGCTATTGAGTTGAAGCACTGAAGACACGATTTTCTCACCAAATCGATGTGAAAAAGATATGGCTGCGTTGTTAAGTACAAAAACCTTGCCTTCATGTAATCGTTTTCTACCGTATTCAAAACTTTAGCGACTTGAAAGATTGGTTGCAAAAGATTGTCTTCAAGTCTTTTGGAACCTTCACTCTTTATCAACTGACTGATTGACGACGCAGATAATTCTACTATTCTGAAATTGAGATTCTTAAAAACGTTGTCTAGGATAAGCCAGTCAATCAAAGGCTTAACGTATCGGGGAGCAGATTCTTGGAAAACGCTGATTAGCTCTGAAACATTTTTCTGGAAGGAAACATCGAGACTGGATATTGGGAGCTCTATAAGTTTCATGACACTTGCGCTATCCAACAAGGTCACCCCGTACCTTCCAAGAACCTCCTGGAGGGCCGCTGAAGCCGACCTCCTGATCGTTAGCTCATGATCAAACATCGAACACAATAGTAAATTGATAAATATTGTTTCCAGGTTAAGTATAACATCGCAATTTCTTACAATTGACCAACATATGAAATTGGTAGCATCCCTTATCTGATGTCCAGTTATTTTATTGAGTCTCAATTGCTGAAACTTGATGGTTATTGGCAAAATATTTTGAGAAAACTCATTTATGGAACTCGAATCCAAAGCACCAATTCGGGCAACCTCTGCGATGAAAAGAAGCTCCGAGTGTAATTTATCAGTATCCACGGCATTTATAGGATTGTTCTCGAGTTCTTCCTTCACTTCTTGTAGAATACTCTCAACTAAACTGCTCGCTGAAGCAGGGTCAATGTTCACAAGCAATTGAACAATCTTAGCAAAACTATGAGCTAACTGGAATCTCAGCTCGGTGAAACTAAGAGCCACGTTGTTCAAAAACCAAGTTGTGATTTCCTCTATCTGTTCCCAAGATTCTTGTTCGGCGTGGAGCCTACACAACTTCGGTAAAACTTTCAATAGCAGTCCAACCCTTGCCTCACTCAGTTCCGATTCTGTATTCAAACATGTTTCGGTTAACTCTTTGAGTGTTGAAGAGTCAAGAAATGTCTCAGGAGTTCTGGACTTTGTGTGTATGAGTACGGCTTTCAGAGTGTAGTTGAGAGACAACAAGTCAATTCCTTCTTTGGCGTAGTGATCTTTGAAGAGGGGTAAATTTTTGGCGAACAACTCGGCATGGACCCCGGCGACGAGTGGTTTTAAAACTGGAGAAGTTTTGAGTTTGTTCGTCATATCAAAAATAGCCATATCGTTTTCCAGCTTGAACGGAGACATCAGTACCATCCTTAGCCAGGACAGCAGAAGCATCAAGATTTTCCAATTTTTGGTGTCGCTTAGTGTGTCTATGTGACTTAAGATCTTTGGTAGTAAGAAAATGTCAGTCGACAGATGCTTCATGGTCCTTTTGACACCGCATACTTTGGAGAGCGTGTAAAAGATGTTGGCCACAGTTTGCTGAGCCTGTGGAATTTGGTCAAAGAATTTACCTGTCAAGGTGCGGACAAAATCCGCAAGGTGGTCTTCAAGTACCGAAGGATCTTGCTGGAACTGATCTATGGCAGCCATGACTTGCGGCGTAGCCTCCAACCGGCAGACACCATCCCTTATCACTCGCAGTAGTGTTTCCACGTTAGTGACATCCATGTAGGACCCGCAATAGTTGAGTCGAAAAAGAGATAGATGGGTTTATAGGTTTCGAGTTGAGTGATGATGTTCTACGTATAGAGCGATGTCGGGCCAGGTATAGATAATGAGGAACTATACTCTCAGGAACGGTAGGAGAGTAGGAGAGATCCTACGTGGATTAAAATGGGGCCAGTGTTCTACGTTAGCCAGGCGTGCGTTCCGCTTCAACTACGAAAATTTTATCTTTCCTAAAGCTAAAAGCGTGCTTTGACGACCAAAACGTGAAAGTCGCTAGCAGTACATAAACTCCACATCGAAAAATATCATACTTTGCAGCACACCAGGGGCTGGTTCCGCTGCGCTGCGAACGGTTTCTGTGTAAATTCTCTACCACGACGTTGCGTTCGGTTCCTGTGTCACTGTCATTGCACCACTCCCACATCACTGTGTACCAGACTGGCACGGCGGCCACGGTCCGGTACTCGCGAGTACACAGTCACCATACACGAACATGAACGTTACCCGTCCTCGCCTCCCGGCTTCCGTGTACTTTCCCAATCCGGCTTCCGGGTCACGCTCCGGATGAGGAAATATTGGAAAAAATTACCGGGCTTCTGCTTTTTTTGTTTTTCCGAGAAGCCGGCGTCAGACGCAGCTCCAGCTTCCTCTGCGTCTGACGCCGGCTTCCCCGCTGGCTGCCACTAACACGATAGCCACTGGCGATAGGAAGCCCGCGCTTAATGCACGTCAGAGCACGATTACCTCTGAGGAAATGACGAGCATTAGGATTCACGATGATCGAATTTATGTGCGTGTGTAAACTCTTCTGCCACTATTATGGCCCTATCCAGGTCTGACGTTGGGTGATTAAACTGTAACTTCTTCTGACATGGCCATGGGTGACCCGCAATGGAGTTTAGAATTATGGCGATACTGCGTTAACGGTGGTTAATTGTTGGGTGTGGCCCAGAAAGAATGAGAGAGAAAGCCGGTGAAAAAAAAAAGAGAGCGCCAACTGGTGGGTGGTCCCATGTATAGTGGACGACAGTATCCAGGATCAATTTTTTGCAGTTATTGGTGGTGGTGGATCCAGGTATAAAATGAGGACGAGGAATTGTGGTATATTGTAACGTAGTTGTTGTAGGTTGGGTCCATTTATTCTAGGCTTTTTTTCTTTCTTGTTCTTTAGTCTACTACAGCTATCAGCTCACACTCATCACATATACATCACCAATCATGGAATCCAGACTAGGATGGTTATCTAACTTGCAAACCGACACCGGTGCCAACTTGAGAAGAACCTCAATCATCGGTACGATCGGCCCAAAGACCAACTCTCCAGAGGCCCTTGTGTCTTTGAGAAAGGCTGGTTTGAACGTTGTGAGAATGAACTTCTCTCACGGTTCTTACGACTACCACCAATCTGTCATTGACAATGCCAGAAAATCCGAGGAAATCTACCCAGGCAGACCATTGGCCATTGCCTTGGACACCAAGGGTCCAGAGATCAGAACCGGTACCACCACCAACGAAGTGGACTACCCAATCCCTCCTAACCACGAGATGACCTTCACCACCGACGACAAGTACGCCAAGTCCTCCGACGACAAGATCATGTACATCGACTACAAGAACATCACCAAGGTGATCGAAGCCGGTAGAATCATCTACGTCGACGACGGTGTGTTGTCTTTCGAAGTCACCAAGGTCGTTGACGACAAGACTTTGATCGTCAAGTCCCTCAACGCCGGTAAGATCTGCTCCCACAAGGGTGTTAACTTGCCAGGTACCGATGTCGACTTGCCAGCTTTGTCCGACAAGGACAAGGCTGACTTGAGATTCGGTGTCAAGAACGGTGTCCACATGGTGTTCGCCTCTTTCATCAGAACTGCCAACGATGTCAAGACCATCAGAGAAGTTCTAGGTGAAGACGGTAAAGACATCAAGATTATCGTCAAGATTGAGAACCAACAAGGTGTCAACAACTTCGACGAAATCTTGGCTGTGACCGACGGTGTCATGGTTGCCAGAGGTGACTTGGGTATCGAAATCCCAGCCCCTCAAGTCTTGGCTGTCCAAAAGAAGTTGATCGCCAAGTGTAACTTGGCCGGTAAGCCAGTTGTGTGTGCCACCCAAATGTTGGAATCCATGACTTACAACCCAAGACCAACCAGAGCCGAAGTCTCTGATGTCGGTAACGCCGTTTTGGACGGTGCTGACTGTGTCATGTTGTCTGGTGAAACCGCCAAGGGTAACTACCCAATCAACGCCGTCAAGATGATGGCCGAGACCTCTTTGATGGCCGAACAAGCCATTCCATACCTACCAACCTTCGATGACTTGAGAAACTGCACTCCAAAGCCAACCTCTACCACTGAGACCATTGCTGCCGCTGCCGTTTCCTCTGTCTACGAGCAAAAGGCTAAGGCCATCATTGTCTTGTCCACCACTGGTTCCACCCCAAGATTGGTTTCCAAGTACAAGCCAAACGTGCCAATTGTCATGGTCACCAGAAACCCAAGAACCGCTAGAATCTCTCACTTGTCTAGAGGTGTCTTCCCATTCGTCTACGAGAAGGAAGTCGAATCTGACTGGACCAAGGATGTCGACAGCCGTTTGAAGTTCGGTATTCAACAAGCCAAGGAATTCGGTATCTTGAAGGAAGGTGACACCATTGTTACCATTCAAGGTTTCGCCGCTGGTGTCGGTCACTCCAACACTTTGCGTGTCTTGACTGTTTAAGTAACTTAATGACCCCTTTATAAATATATACGCCTAGGATTAAAATCTAAGAACATTGTTCCTTTGAACTATACCTATATTACGAAGCAATGAACTACCAATCATAGATCGAAAATAACTTGTATGTTAGCGTTTCTTTCCGACGTGCTGGAGTTAAGTATTGGAATTATTCGTCTAAGAAGGTACTCTTCCCATTCCTGACGTCCTTGAATTTCTGCTGCTGTGAAAGACGAATGATACTCCAACCTAGACGACATCAGTTTGGCGATTTGTAGAATTTGGTGGGTTCTACCCTTCGTGGCGAGCCTTTCTAAATACCTGTCAAACAAATTCAAATCATCGATATGCGGTCCAACACTGACAGTCTGATCAATCCACGTTCCTACTAAATTACAGATTTCCCGGGGACGTTCTAAAGCCTGAAACTTGTCTACTTCGCTGATGGTCGACCTGTGTTTCAGCCATGGCTTTAGTACAGGTATATCTGTACTCACAATACGCCTCCTAACCGAGCTCCGCGTCTTCTTTACAATAGCGTAGTCTCTTTTGATTTCTCGCTGTATCTGTGAGGGTAAATGATTCATGAACTCCTCATCCAAGGAACTAGGCATTTCCTGTTTGAAAGTGTCATTTTGCTTATTGAACTTTTCCCAGTATTCTTTCACTGGTGACGTTGAAGAAGTCCGTTTACCTGATGGTGATGGGGGTACCTCAATTTTCCGCTTGACGAATTCGCTCCTGACGTCTTCTTTCAAAGCTTGAGGGAGTGCGTGAAAGGCGTTTACTTTTAATGCAGAGATTTTTGTCCCTGTAAAGGAGTCATGCTGCTGTTCCATGAACGGAAGCTTCCTCTGTTCACCCCTCCCCGCCTTTGTCTCGAGCTTATTCAATTGAACCGCTAACCCCCGTAACTCTTTGGGAGGGCAGGAAAGCATACGAAACGAGCTTTTGATTTCCGTAGCTATCAACCCTATTTCATCTGTAGGTACTCCGAACCTACTGCTTCTACTGAAGGTGTCGCATTCACCAGACCCCATATATTTTGCCGGTTCAATTGGAGCATGCTCACACCGTCTCATAATTTTCAGAGTGACTTGCGGAGTCAGCATTCCTAGCTCTATGATTTTCGGGATTAGGTGCTCACAGATTCGATCTATAAAATCATCAATCTCATGAATTGTGTCGAATCTAATCGCATAATTGATGTCGACAGAAATGGACTTTCTTGCAAAATAGTCGAAAGGATTTCTCAAGATGCGACTATTTTCCTCATCGTCTTTACCCGACAGAAAAAAGTGGACTTTGCGGCCAGTTTTTGTACCTAGTTTGGAAATTAACAACTGCAAGGACGACCGGCTTTTAAGCTCGCCAATTGTCGGAGTCTCTAATGTATCTGACAATATTTGTTGACAGACTTTGTCAATTATGGATGTCCCTATACCTGGCAAATCCCTCAAAGAGAACTCTGATAAAAAATGATCAATCTGAGCTTGGTTTTGTAGATCAATCACAACACAATGCCCATTAGGTTTGGCCTTTTTTAATGCGAGCCTTGCGCATACTAAAGATGGACCACAACCTATGCTTACGGTACAGCCGTTGGTGGCCGTGAAGACTTGTTGTCGTATGGATTGAGCTACGTCTTCGCACAGCTGTTGAATTTCGTGGAAATTTGACGATTTGTCCAATCTTTTCACACAGATCGCCTCATCGATCGAAATGGGGAGAATCATTTGAAAAAAGTTGGTTCCTGCCAAAATTTGATATAAAAGCTTGGAATTTATTTCGTATTGTTCAAAGTTATAAGGTAGACAAATCAAGTCGGGACATAACCTTCGAGCTGACCGTACCCACATTCCGTTTCTCACGCCAAAACTGCGAGCAACGTAATTACAACTTGCAATATCGGAGCTGCTGGTGCCATGTGCCACTGCCAAGGCATCTTTTTGAAGATCGTAGCGGGTGTCGCTGAGAGCAGAAACTGTAGCAAAGAAACAATCAAAATCGACGTGAAAAATGGCCACATTTTCTCCTTCGCGTATGGGCTTTACCTGAGCTTGGTCAATGTATTTATGACAAAAAAGTGCACGTAAATCAGCTTTCCAGGTCGATAGATGATGGAGCCTTGATTTAGCGAAAAAGCTTTGCAAAAAATTGGGATTCTTGCAGTCTAGCGTGGTAGAAGCGGCATCATTGTCACGCTGCTTTCTGAAGCTGGTGGATGATGTGTCTAACTCATTTGACTTGGCATTAGCCAAGTTCAATTTTTGTTGACCGTAATCACCAGTCAACAAAGCATAATCTTGCCAAGGTAGTCTTTTACCTGCAGCGACCGAGTCTATGACCCAGCTAGGGGTCACAACTTTGTAATTTTGAAAATCAATTCGCTTTTTGGAGGTTAAATTGCTTGCAATGATGTGAGTAGCACTAGTTTTGCCGCTCAAAAAATGCAGAAATTGTCCACCGTAAAGAACAAGCTTTTGATGTAATAGCATTCTGTCGGGATCGGTTCGGCCGTTGATATAGACGGTGCAATCTTTGAAAATTGGCGGAAATGTCTCTCCATTGTTGAGCGCGTCTTGGTACAGCTTTTTGATGTAATCGTCCCTGTCCTGTTGCTGAATTTTTTTATCTGAAAAATACTGTCCATAGTCTCCGAAATTACGAGTTGTGACTGGATCATGGGCAACATGGGGAGAGGCTGCGAGAGGTACAGAATCGGAGTCAGATACGGATGGGTCTGATTGAGGTTGCGAGGCGGCAGGACTAGTCACGATAAAGGGGTTTTCATCGTGTAGCGATTCGTCGTGCTGTGAAATTTCATCCTGTGAGTCGTCATATTCGCTATCGTTGTCGTCAGACTCACGCCCCAACAAGGAACGCTTTTCGGTCGGTTTCTCATAGGCGTTGACAAGTTTCAAAAGAGAATCATCGTCTAAAGTGGACAGAAGCCGTTGCTGCTGTGTGTGGTTGGCCTGGTGGAAACTGCTGTGCGTAGTAGTGGAATAGTTGTGCAAAGGCGAATCTGGACTTGCGTGTGAGATATTGTCTTCTTGAGACTCCACAATGGACTGGCTAATTGGGACTTTCTTGGGGGTCTGAACACATGCGTCCTGACTCGCCCTGGAGCTATCGGTCAAAAGTTCTAGTAATGCATCCCGATCCATGCGTAAGGAAAAGGGAGGGACCAGGCGATGAGATGAGATGAGATGAGATGGAAGGGCTGAAAAATATAAGCGAGCACAGGCCTCGGACGTTGAAAGTGACGGCGAGGGGAAAAAGGACAAGAAAAACGACGAGAAGACGCGAGCGGGGCGTTGAATTAGGAAAAGATGGTGCCGTGGAGAGTGACCGCATGCTGCATACCCGGAAGCCAGAGAGAGAGAGAGAGAGAGATCAAGAAGCTGGGTGCCTACTGGGATGATCTGGAAAATTTACCAGCCAAGCACGCACACAGCAGCGAGGTAGCAATAACAGAACAGCACTTTGTCCGAACCCATCTTGTGGGTTTCCGAGTCGCACACCCTCATACCCGCGTTGTTTAGCAGGACTGGCCCGCAACCAAGGGCCGATCCTGTACTCCGGTAACCGCTGCTGTGTCTACTATGGTTCGAGAGTACTCTACGTAGGCACACATCGCTCGTGCAAATTACGTTTGAACAAGAATGTTTGGGAGCGACACGTAGAGCACTGGCACGCGCAACAAAGAGGGGAGCGATAGCGAAGCTGCGACAAGTTGAGGACGAGACCAAGAATGCAAAGCCCGAGGTGGTGATAGCGGGTCACGTGGCACGGGTGGGGGTGGATTTCTAGGATTTGCGAGGGAACGGGGATAGATCGCAGCGCCGGGGCCGCGCTGGAGAGAGAGAGAGAGAGAGAGAGAGAGAGAGAGAGAGAGAGAGAGAGAGAGAGAGAGAGAGAGAGAGAGAGAG